TTTGCAATAAAATGATTTCAAATTCTCGCTTGCAAGTAACTTTGCTTTCTTTTTTATTTAAAAAATTCAATATAACAAAAAAGGGAATCAATATTAAAGATACACTGAAATTATATGCGTCTTGTTTAGTTGTTTTATATACGCAAAGGCCGTCGGGTTTTAAATCTATTATAAAATCAATATTTAAAACAAACTTACCTTCGTTAACGTTGGCTCCCTTCTTTTAGCCGATTCTTTCGCCCTTTCTTTCTTGAAATTTACAAAATCTTGCAGAAATACGAGCAAAAATGAAATATATTTGCAAGAAACTTATCAATCATCAAATTAAGAAATGTTTGCCATTTCGCTGTCGTCATGCAGTCGTTATAATGCAAACTTTAAATTGGACCAATCAGTGTCCGTTATTCATGACAGTCCACCATATTTTTGAGATCAGTGAGGATGACCACCCATAGTTGGTGACCGACGCCCGCGCCCATTGATGAACTTTAGACTTCGCTAACGCTTTCGTTTCCCGGGTGTAAATAGCCGGGGGGAATTAGCACCCTCGCACTGGGCTTCGCGCCGTCGGCTCGGGGATTATAACTAGGGATTATTATCATTTATAGACCCGGAGCGAGGGGGATTCGGCGTAATATTTCCCGAGGTGATGATATTTTCCGAGGGGCTTTGCCCCGAGGAAAATATCATCACTGAGGGAAATATCGCCGAATCCCCCGAGCGGAGGGTCTATAAATGATATATTATACCGAAAATTGAAGAACTCACTAAGAGTCTTTTAAGTTCAGAATAAACTTTAAAACTTGCTGCATATTATTAATAACCACGCGAATACAATTTTTAATTTCTCATTTATATCTGAGTTTTTGATGTTTTCTCCTTAAAATATTTGAGCAAGTATCCTTTGGATCGTTGAATGTAACATATACGTGTTGAAATCTGTAGGTTTACTTAATAAATCTTCTGTAGTTCTGTACGAAATTAATACAAACAACAGCTCGCGAACGCCATATTGTTTCAGAGCGTTGTGTCCATGCGTCGCGCGTGAGCGTGGGATACTATAATATCCCACGGTGGATCTGCGCGGGCTATTATAGTATATCACGCTGGATTGCGAAATCATGAATTTGAGTGAAATACCGTAAAAAATCACACTATTACGTGGTACAAATTCTGTTTTTTCATTGGACAATTTGAATTCGAGGTATAATATTAACATATATACTGTTTGCCGCTTCGTTTCCTGTCAACTTAAGAGCGGTTGTCTGTAATAGTCAGGTAAGACGTGTAAAATGAAAAAAATCAAAATCTTTCAAACATTGTCAGAATGTAGGCCTATATGAAGTATTAATGTTGTGAAAGTTTTATTTCGATCGGATAAATGTTAAAGGAGAGAGACATCGAAATTGGTTTTCTCAGGACAATTTCGGTTTTTAGAGGTCATTTTACGGCACTACCAAAATTGCTCTATTTTCCACGTTAATGGGAATATTTCACAAAATTTGATTTCGTCTTATAAATAAGAGTTATTTATTGAGTAGCAGACGAAATTTAGAGACATTTATGTAAAAAGTGAATATTTTACAGATTTTCTTAATGTTTTTCTTTTATTTTTATTTTTGAACCTCTTTATTATATGCCATATTAGGCAGCGAATATCTCCATTGTTGCATCGCTTCAGACAAAAAATGCATAACCATATCAAAGAAATATGTTTTTGCTTGCTATTGATCAAATGAAGTTTTGGGGCAACGTAGAATTGAATTTTTGACGATTTTTTTTCGTAACCCCTATTTGACACGAATAACCGTATGTTATATAATCAACGTCGAGTCCTGATGTAGTTCTATAAATAACCAAAGAGCTTGTCAAAAGCGTTTACTTCTTCGAGTAAACAAGCCTAGGCCTATAAAACTACCTTAGCTAAAGCTATACGATTGGCAGAAAGCATTTAGGTCTACTAAAATCACACTGTTTACAGTCGCTTATTGTTCCGGTAGTGCCTATAATATATTGTATAGCCGGCGCCGCTGATTTGGCGGATTTGGTTTTAATTATATTTTATCGGGGATATGCCGCGATAAGTATAGCAAGTGTATTTTCTCTCCCCTTCCCATAAACATCTGTTCTTTCACGACTCGTCGTGATAATAACTTTTCGAACATAAATAGTGCGCGCGCTTTTTGTCAAAAACATCGGTCATGCATGCAGAAACACTCGCTTTGCTGACAAAACCGTTGTATTTTCCGAACATGAAGTATCTAAAGTAGTTGTCATGGTAACACGATAATTTTTAAAGAATATCTTACAAATGAAAAATCGCCTATAAATATCACTTTTAATCACAAAATTATTAATTTCCCAACATATATATGTTAGGTTTGTTATTATACGTAATATAAGCCTCGATTTAAGGTAAAATTCAACCACCAACCCTTCGCAAAGCGTTTTAAAGTCACTAGTGTTCTTTAATATAAAACTAAACTGCCTTTTTAAATGGCTTTATCGATAAACTTTGAGTTTGCAATAAAATGATTTAAAATTCTCGCTTGCAAATAACTTTGCTTTCTTATTTATTTAAAAAATTCAAATCATAAAAAAGGGAATCAATATTAAAGATACACTGAAATTATATGCTGTCTTGTTTAGTTGTTTCATATACGCAAAGGCCCCCGGTTTTAAATCCATTATAAAATCAATATTTAAAACAAACATACCTTCGTTAACGTCGGCTCCCATCTTTTAGCCGATTCTTTCGCAGTTCCTTTCTCAGAGAGCTTTTGAAATTTACAAAATCTTGCAAAAATGCGAGCAGAAATGAAATATATTTGCAAGAAATTTATCAATCATCAAATCAACTCAAGAAATGTTTGCTATTTCGCTGTCGTCATGCAGTCGTTATAATGCAAACTTTAAATTGGACCAATCAGTGTCCGCTATTCGTGACAGTCCGCCATATTTTTGAGATCAGTGAGGATGACCACCCACCCAACACCGTTGGTGACCCACGCCCGCGATATTTGATGAACTTTAGACTCCGCTAATGCTTTCGTTTCCCCGAGTGTAAATAGCCGGGGGGAATTAGTACCCTTGCACGGCGCTTCGCGCCGTCGGCTCGGGGATGAATATGTAACAAAGGAAGACGAGTCTGCTCAACATTCTGAAACGCATCCTGATTTACGAAATGCACCAAGGACCGAAAAGGCATAAATGCTAAAAAAAGAAAGACCGGGATAGGACGATCAGGATCGAAGAAAAGTCAGAGAAAGAGACAAACAGAGCGTGCATTAACGGTATATGACGTATCCGAAATTATTCGCAATAAAAACATCACGAAGAGAGTGGAGCCAGTCTGTCTCGCTGTCCCACAGCGACGAGAAGGCAACACTGCTTTAGCAGAGTTTGTTGCTAACAAAGGAGAAAACACCGTCAGCGATGCTTTGGCCATAGCCAAAGAATTTGCGGAAGCCGAAAGCAAGCTTGAAAGGTCAAAGAAAACCCGCATAGACTTGCTAAAAGAAGCGAAAGATGGTCAGTGCTGCGAGGGTTGCAACTCTAAATGGTCGCTGGCTGCAGAACAGCTACTAGAAAGCAATGGTATCTCGACCAATTCGTTTTGCGAAGCCGTCTACGTTGCTCTGGAGAAAGGCAGGGGAAAGTACCAAAACATTTATATTCACGGGCCGGCAAACTGTGGAAAGACGTTTATATTGTCACCCCTTAAAAGCATCTTCAACGCTCTTTGTAATCCAGCTACAGGCTCCTTTGCATGAATGGGGGCAGACGAAGCAGAGATAATTTTTCTGAATGATTTTCGGTGGAGTCCTATCGTGATTGCCTGGGCTGATTTACTACAAGCGTTGGAAGGAGATGTGGTTCATCTCCCAGCTCCCAAGAATTTCTACAAGAGAGATCTCGAGCTTTCAGCTGACACCCCATTTTTTGCCACGTCTGATGCGCCGCTGGTTTTAATGAAAGGTGGCTGTATTGATCGAGCAAATACAGACATGATGAATGTCCGCTGGAAATTGTTTTATTTTTTCAAACAGATACCGCAGGCCTCTCAAGTTCGAATGAATCCTTGTTCTCATTGCTTTGCCAAATTTATTATTGAAAATAGGGAATGATTTAACTTCTAAAAACAGTTATAGTTTAAAATTCCATTTGGGATCAGTAACGTTCACGTGAATAACATGCGCTTTCAGGACTTGCACTTAATTGACAGTACTCATTGACAATGCTCAGCCAAAAATGGAAAATAGGAACTCATAGGACTTTTATTCCGTAGAAATTTCGTTTGGAAATGTAAACGTAAGTGAACAGCATGCATTTTTGTTCTTATTTTTCTCCCTAGCAGGCAAGTATTCGAAAATTAAGAGAGTAATCGCCGTCGCGTCGGAAGTATAAACAAACAAACTGTTATTTAACACGGACATTGTGATGAGTACTGTTAATTTACGCACAATAACAGCATCTATTTTATATCTAAGTAATACAGAGTGACGATGACATTCATATTAATTTTTCTTTAACTTCTATGTTCAAAATAGTTCAAAATTGAGGTCGAAAAGATGATATTTGCGTGAGTACTGTTGGTGAGAAATGTATTAATTACAGTAGCTTATTTTTCACCCTGCTCGGTTTCCTTTGTTCTTATCGGAGAATATATTCTATATTCCCCTATAATCAATTTCCGTTCAATAATCCCCTCTAATATTCACCTGCAATTGATAATCCCCTCTAATATTCACCTGCAATGTCTTTGCAGTACAAAAAATGAGAAAAAAAAACAACATAACGAAGGCAATATGGCATTAAGAATTATTTCTATTCTGACTCATTAACGCGACCTCGCAGTGTGAAAAATAAGTACGTTATTTTGAGGCACCTCGGGGATATGTGTTTATTCACCTCGGCGCTGCGCGCCTCGGTGAATAAATCACATATCCCCTCGTTGCCTCAAAATAACCTATACATATTTCGCTATATCTAAAACTAAATTAATATTTAGTTCGGTAGCCGCCAGATTCGATTACTGCATCAATACGCTTTGACAATCTTGCAATTGTTTTATCAATTATATCACATGGAATACGTTTCAAGGCACCCACCACTCTTTCGCGAAATTCAGAAAAATTTTCCGATTTTATATGTTTGTTCACAGCTTCTTCACGTAGATCACGTTTGACAATATGGAAAATATTTTCTATGGGGTTTAGGTCTGGTGATCGCCCTGGGATTTTTAATAATTCAGCTTCAATGCCTTCTAGTGCTTTCATGGCGACTTTACTGCTTTGACAAGGGTCATTGTCCATTACAAAAAGCCGCTTGCCGTCGTCTTTCGGGCCTGCCTGTGCAAAGCATGTATTAAAGTTGTCTTTAATAAAGTCAGCAAAGAATTTCCCCGTCATTTTTTCATACGGTTTTGCTAAAATGACTCCCTTTCCGTAAGCAATTGCGACCATCACGTGAACCCTACGACCACCTGCCAGCTCTTTACTTCCTTTTCCAGTATATTTTAGTCATTCTCCTTTTGACGCCACACTCTTGCCATTCCGGTTGTTGTCGCTGTTCTCATTGGATTATATTTGTGTATAAAGAAACGCCATCTAAATAGAATGCTACTTCTTTTTCCCAAAAATGTCTGTTTCGTTTTGTACAATTGTGCATTTCCCTGCAAAATCTTTTCCTCAGCTTTCTGTCGTTATCTGACAAAATCCCCTTTTTTCGCCTCTGCAGAAATCCATATCCATTTTCGTTTAGTATACGCGAGCACGTTCTTCGACTAACTTTAGCTAAACTAAGACCGCTTTCAGGCACTAACGTCCTAACAGATACGTTTGGTTCGCGCATTCTCAATATCTTCAGTGTTCGTATTAGCGATCGTACATTTCTTGCGTTCAACTTTCGTGGTCGTCCTTTCTTTCTGCTGCATTTCCTCTTGCCTTTAATGTCCATTTTACATATTCTATGACTAGATGTTTTTGAAATTTTGCATAATTTTGCTATCTCACTAAACGACGCGTTTTCCTTTTGTCTTAGTAAACGGGCGTATGCCATTTGAACGGATGAAATTTTAGTACATGACATTGGCACTGATTTTGAAAACGGTTTTTGAAATCGATTGTGAAAATAATTGTTTACGTATTAATTAGTTCATTAGTGCGTTTAATTAGGTATTACTGATTAACAGAGAAATAAAAAAATTACATAACAGGCTTATTAAATAGTAATTTTTAAGAAAGAAAATCATTACCGTTCTCAGACAATCCTGGCCAAAATTGGTGGAACGACACAGGTTCTACCGTGATATAGTAATACTCTGCCCCCCTCCCCCCATTCAATGTTGGTAATGTCAACTTCAATGGTCAATGATGTAATGGAAGAATACGAAGACCAATTCAACATTGAATGGGGGAAGTGGGGGGAGGAAAAATCATTATAATTATTATGCGCCAACTTGCAAAGTGAAGGGAGAAAAGGCGCGTGCACTTTCCCGTTCCACAAACTTTTGGCCAGGATTCAATCCTGGCCAAAATTGGTGGAACGACACAGGTTTTACCGTGATATAGTACTCCTCTGCCACCTCCCCCCATTCAATGTTGGTAATGTCAACTTCAATAGTCAATGATGTAATGGAAGAATACGAAGACCAATTCCACATTGAATGGGGGGAGTGGGGGAGGAAAAATCATTATATTAGGCGCCAACGTGCAAAGTGAAGGGGGAAAAGGCGCATGCACTTTCTCGTTCCACAAACTTTTGGCCAAGATTGTAGGTCAAAAACGCGTTTTTTTAAAAATTTTTTATTTTTTATTTAAAATGCTTTGCCATTACAAACAATACGAATTTACGATACTGACAATACATACACTAATACATGGCTGGGTTATCATCACAGCTCCGTAGGATAATATCCACGGGAGCCAATTACGATGAGCCCTGATATACTTCTAAGTTACATCACTGGTTACATTAGTTAAAAACAGCACGGTTTTTGGAGAACGTGTGCTAGTTCTCTGTTCGCGTGACATTTCACGCAGTTCGACTTTAAAGTTACAGCATTGTCGGGATCGTAGACATCTCTAAGTAGCCCGTTATATTTCCTCGTGAGACTACGTTAAAAAGTAGCAGCGCTTTGAGACAAGTCCCTTTCAACTGGTGTTAGACTGTTCCATATTCTACTTGTGCGGACAAAAAAACTGTTCTGGAATGATACTGTTTTAGCACGAGGTATCTCGGCGAGAACACCTGACTGAGGGTTATTATGACGCGAAATACGAATTTGTTGTTTAATTTGGACCAAGCCATTATTGTCGAGAAAAATTTCTCCCTTTAATGTACGAAAGTAAAAAACCAAGTCAAGAATTTCTAGCCAGTAAGTAAGTGGTAAAAGGCCGAGCTTTAACAGCCGTGTTTGGTATGAAACCTTTGTGCGAAACGGTAGTTTCAGTAAAAATTTTGTTGCACGCCTTTGCACCCTTTCCATCATGTTTATGTATTTGATTTTCTGAGGAGCCCACAATTGGGATCCGTACGAAAACAGGGATCTTACCAGACTGGTGTAGAGAGTGCGACGCGCGTTTAAGCTAGAGAGCATAGAGCCCTTAGAGCATACAGTAGCCACGTGACTTGACCATTCCATAGAGCTGGTTATCAGGATTCCGAGATCCTTCTGTTCGTTGACTTTTCGTAGCTCGGATCCATTAAGTGAATATGATTGAATAATTGGATGGTGCTTTCTGGTGAATGACACTATGGCACACTTTGTCTCGTTAAAGTCCATGTTCCATGACTTAGACCAAGATGACAGATTGTCTAAGTCAGATTGTAAAAGGAGCGAGTCGTTTAACGATTTTATGACTCTGAAACATTTACTATCATCAGCATACAACGCCATCCCAGAGTCCCGATGGACCACTTCAACAATATCATTGATGTAAATCAGAACGAATATAGAACCCTGGGGTACTCCAGATAGAACAGGTAAGGACATTGAGGTAGCCCCTAATACTGTGGTCTGCTGGGAACGATTCGAGAGATAGTCCTTTAACCAGTCATGTAGTTTACCAGTTATACCGAATAGTTTAAGCTTGAATATAAATTTATGATGGTTCACAGAGTCGAAGGCCTTGGAAAAATCTAGGAATACCATGTCAGTTTGTATGCCGGCGTCCATAGCTTCTTGAATTTTATGATAAACTGAGAGTAATTGAGACGTTGTTGATCTACCTTTGAGGAAGCCGAATTGAAGGTTGGACAGATTACTGGCTATGTGATCAATGATCTTGTTGAGAATACACCTTTCAAGCAACTTCGACACCAGGGAAAGCAGGGAAATAGCCCTATAATTTTCCACTTTTTCAGCGGGGGCTTTCTTTAATAAAGGCACGATGTTAGCTAGTTTCCATTCCGTTGGCAGAGTGCCCGATTGCAAGGATAAATTAAATAAATCTGTTAGAGATGGAGAAATTTGTTCAGCACACTCCACTAAAATCTTTGCTGGAATCTTATCCGGCCCTTGAGCTATACTGCTGTCTATGGTCTTTATTGCTGCTAAAACGTCTACAGAATCCAGAGATATCTGTGACAGGGATGGAATTGGGCTGGAGAGGTAATAATGTTGGTCGTTGGAGTGAACCTGTGGATTACCAACTTCAGGAGTTGAGTAGGACGAAAAGAAAAACCGATTAAACATATCAGCAATTAGGTTTGGACCCTCGGTGAATTTACGACCACCTGCTCCGTCAGCGATAGAAACTTTCTCTGGGACGGTGTGTTTCTTTGTTTTCTGGCTAAAGATAGTCCAAAACCTTTTCGGGTTCGAGTATAAAGACTCAACCAACGAAGTATAATATTCTTTACGCTTTCGAGAAATGAGCTTTTTGATACCGGATCTTAGTTCTTTAAATCTCTCCCAGTGAATCGATAGTTGCGTAGATTTAGCCTTGATTCTTGCACTAGCTTTTTTCCATACCAAGTGAATAATTTCGCCTGATATCCAAGGTGGAGAACTCTTACTCTTTAATTGAATTTTAGGGGTATATTGATCGATCATGGATTGCAACGATGATTTCCAATTATACCAAACATTATTAATGTCAACGATTTCATTTGATTGTACATCAGATGTGAGAGACTTGACAGACTCTCTGAGGGCGGAAAAATTTCCTTTCCTATAATTATAAACCGATCTAGGTTTCTTGACTATACTCCGAATAGTCGTGCGCATAGTGAATTCCATAAAGAGATGGTCAGTATAAATAAGTGGATCACCAACAAGCAAATTAGATATTTTCTCCGGGGAATCTGCAAATAACAGGTCCAGAATGTTATTGCCGCGAGTAGGTTGATTATTTACTTGGGTAAGGAAATAATCGTCCACTAGTGATTTGAACAGATGTGAGCTGCTATCGTTTGAATTATTTGAATTATTTGATAACTCGAAAGTGTCACTCGGGTACTCTTCAAAATCCCAAGGGATATCGGGATAATTGAAATCCCCGGTAATATAAATGCCATCAAAGTTGTTATTTGAATATATTTTGTCAAGGAAGTCGTCGAAAATCTCCAACCAGCGGCTGTCGGATGACGGTGGACGATAGCATACGGCAATAAAAGTACCTTTACCGTTCGGTTTAGTCATTATGTTTACCGCGACGATCTCAAGTTCGGCCGATTGGTTTTCACAAATGCGTTGAACATTTAGTTCAGATTTAACCGCGATCAAAACACCGCCGCCCGTTCCGCACTGACGATCGCGTCTGAAAATATTATATCCAACTGGCAGTATCTCTCTGTTAGATATTCCCTCGTTCAGCCAGGTTTCGGTTACACAAACTATGTCGTAGCTTTCGCTGTACACTTGGTCTTGAAATAGCGTTAAATTTGACACATACCTCTGGTTGTCGTCTATATGAGTACTCTTTAAACTGCGGGCGTTAAAGACAGCGACTCGGCGGTTGTTTGAAAAGGACATTGAAGCAGGGCCAGGATTCAGAGATATATCATTGCATTGTAGAATAATGTTTATAATAACCACATTCCGAGCAAGATGAATAAAGCGGTTGAACCTTGCCCTTTCCTCAGCTCTATCAATAGGCTTTCCCGATCTTGATGCGACTCTGGATCTTGGTGCGAGTAAATTGTTTATCGGTAGAATTTGAAGTTTGTTCGCTTCATTTGAAGCAGCAAGTGCAGCAGAAAGGTCTCCGGAATAAAACTCTTCAGTTGTTTGGTGTTTACGATCGAAAACGGTGAGCAGATAACTCGAAACTAAAGATAACTTGACAGCGTATAACTCGAAAACAATTATAGATATAAAAAAAAACTGTTTAAATGTCTTATATGTCGGTTTTTGTAAGCTGCCTTTGTAAAATTTTACATTTTCTTGCTGTAATACAATTTAATAGAGGATAATCACTGATCACACATTTTCTCGGTGTTGGGCAAGTTTTTTGCTTGGGAACTTTTTGTGGTAATTAAGCATCTATGGTTCTATGAATTGAACCACAGAAAATCTATTTCCCAGGATGGTGCCACGAAACTGCTTTTCTAGGCACTTTTTTGCACAACAGCTCACGGCCTATATCCATTTTTCCATCAAAATGCGGTCTCCAAAAAACAACTTTTACTTTTTCAAACATTTTTGATGGCCACAACTGTCAGTTGGTCGCCATTGGCGCGTTTTGACAAGAAAACAGGTATTATTCTTATAGCTGTATATATTTTATTTCTCTTGTTGTTGTTGTTGTTGTTCGTTTGCTTAAATTACAGGATGTTTATGTTAAATTACAGAATGTTTCCATATAGTACAGCAACCTTCAGCAATCAAGAGAGAAAAGACGCAAATTGAAAAACATATCCACATGCTCTTTGGCAGTTGGCTGTTTTTTCGTCTGTTCTTTTCCACGACTTATGTATTCTGCTACGCGTTTGGTCGACATCAAACATGCCTTTTTACAATAGGCAAGTCTTGCTATTTAACATATGGTCTGTTACCTCCTTCTCTGTGAACTCGACGTTCAACTGTCTGATATTTTTCTGGAGAAATTCCATTGTCCGTCGATAAGGAACGAAAATAGCAAAACGCTTTCGAACTGCAAATTCCTAACTGGACGTGTTAAGCAACATATTTTTGGATATTATAAGGTAGAAGTTACGATTACCATTTCTATATATATATATAGCGCAAACATTTATTCATTGGTATGAAATAGGTAATTGGACAAGTACTGGTGTAAGACATTGTGTAGCCTAAATAACGAGGACCAGCAGTTCAAACGGTTATCCTTTATTTATTTACTCCGACTCCTGTGATGGTGAACATGTACACAAAAAACAAGGAAAACTACGATTAGATAGTAACTGAATATGTGAATTTTACGTGACACGATGAGGGCGAGCGAGGATATATAAGAGCGAGAGATTGAATTGGAATAGGAAAGGCAACCCTGTACGCGTTTCGACCTAACAGTCTTCTTCAGCAGGGTTTTTTTAAGGCGGGGTGTAGATAGAGTTTGCAGAGTGAAACTAGAATGCAGGAGAGTTTAGGAGCACTGAACATATGTGAAACCAGAGAAAACAAATTATTACGAAGTTATAATGAATTACACAATACAAAAATGAAGGTTGAAAGAAAGTGAAAAGGAGGAAATTACTGAATATGTTAGTAGTAATATAGGTACCGTTCGACCCGGATTTTTGTGGTGGTGTGTGGTGGTGGTTGTGGTGGTGTGTGGTGGTGGCGTGTGTTTGTCGTGGTGGTTGTGGTGGCGTGTGGTTGTGGTGGTGTGTGGTGGTGTGTGGTGGTGTGTGGTGGTGTGTGGTGGTGTGTGGTGGTGTGTGGTGGTGTGTGGTGGTGGGTGTCCACCACCTCATTTATAATTAATACTCGTACAAATGAGGGTGCGTTTTGACGTCACTCATTAACATACGTCATAATTATATGCAATGACGTCACGCGGGCGAGCTTAAACACGATCGGGCGAAACTTGCTGACTAAGCATTTTTTAGCGTCTCTCCGCGTGTATGATACAAAAGAGGGATTAATCTTGGCCTACTATGATTGGTTGTTTGATTTAATGAGCGTCTGTATAAAATCGACAAGCGTCTTGTAACAAGCATAGTTCTGCATTAGTTATACATCAGTCATGGAGTGTCTACACGGAAAAGCTGCTGCCTCTACAACTACAAACAATGGTACATTTTGGTTTTGTGGGGAAAAACCAAGCTGTGAGTTCTTTTGCACGGACGAAAATTGTTATATGTATACCAGAGCTGTAGCTGCGTTTCGTGCAAGTGGTTCTATACATCCCGTATGTCCTACACATCAGAAATTTGCCAAGTTATGTGTGGTCAAAGACACAATGAAAGATAATTACGGACGACCCTTCTTCGTATGTTCTGAGCGAAAGAATCCCTGCAAGTTCTGGCAATGGGGAGACGTATTCGAAGGTCCGAGACCGGTATGTCAACATGGAATAGTGTACTGTGAACGAAAAGTCAAGAAAGATGGTCCGAATCAAAACCGTCTGTTTTACTGCTGTCCGAAGGACGACTCTTGTGGTTTCTTCGAATGGAAGCAACAAGGCCCTCGTGTTACCAACACTGGCATCGTGCTCTTCAGTAATCCACTACAATACCAGTACATGATTGAAGAAACAGGAGAGACATTTAATAGTTCTAAATCTAACACTAGGGAGGTCTATGGTGAATTTCGTAGATTTGGTTTAACAAGTGAACTTGATAAAATAGACCTCTTGTAATAATAATACGTTGCTAGTTAATTAATGTAAATTTGCATATATTTACTGAAATAAATACTGTGTGTCTCATTTGTTGTTCAATCGTTGTGGTGAGAGTATCATGGATAACATCGATATAATTTTTGATGAGTTGAAACGAAATGAAATTGATATTGATAAGCAAACTTTATCGTTTCATATAAATACAATTCTCGACCGCCATCGAGATCTATATCGTGCAGTGAATGCTCGTGATCTAAACCTTAACCAAATCTACAGAGAGATCAATGTTACAAACTTTGGTTGTATTATTGCCTATTTAGCTTTGGTATGTGTACAAAATGATAGCGAGGAATCTATTCGTCACAATGTACAAAAAACCATCGAGGCATGTCGAATTTTTACTATTCCCAAACATAAACGAAGTAAACGTCCAATTTTAATAACACTCTCACTCACACTGATCACTTTATATATCAGTCTATAATTACTGGCTGTTTCATTTTGTTCAAACCTCTGAAGAGTAAGGATGCCTTGCTGTAAAGGTTTACCACAAATCTCTCTTCGAAATATTTTTCGAAAAGTACGCTGTATATCTGCTTGCTGTGGTGGAAAAATTGTAATTCAAACCTCAGACATCGATGGCGGAGAAATATCTAAGCCAGATCTATTACGATCCAGAAAGCCTCGCAAGTTTTGGTGGCGTAGATTCCATTTATCGCGCCGTGAAAAACGAAGGGAAGTATGAGATATCGCGGAATAAAATACGCCAATGGTTACAAAAGCAAGATACCTATTCATTGCATAAACCTGTGAGATATCGCTTCAGGCGTAACCGTGTTATAGTTGGAGCCATGGATGATGAATGGGAGGCAGATTTAGTCATTATGGATTCATTAAGTCAACAGAATAATGGGTACAAGTACGTTTTAACTGTTATTGATGTACTCAGCAAATATGCGTGTGTTGAAGCGATAAAAGCAAAAACTGGGAACAATCTTGTCAAAGCCTTTGAGAAAATAATCAAGAAAGGACGTAAACCGAAAATGTTTCACATTGATAAGTGGACGGAGTTTATCAATAGACAGTTTCAAACCTTATTGAAGAAACATAGCGTTCGATTTTTTACGACGTACAACGAAACAAAGGCCTCAATTGTCGAAAGGTTTAATCGTACGCTCAAGACGAAAATGTGGAAATACTTTACAGCGAACAATACGCTCAAGTACGTGGACATTCTCCAGAAACTGGTCAAATCTTATAATCGTTCTCGACATCGTAGTATTGGTATGATACCGGTAGAATGGTAGATGTGAATAAAAGGAACGAGAATATTGTGTGGCAAACGCTCTACGGGAACGAGTCAAAAAATCAATCCAGTTTAAGTTTAACATTGGCGACCAAGTCCGGATTAGCAAAGCAAAGCGAACATTTAAGAAAGTATACTTGCCCAAATGGACTGAAGAAGTGTTCACGGTAACGAAACGCGTACCTCGACGACCGCCTGTTCACAGGATTGTAGATTATGACGGTGAAGAACTGGAAGGAACATTTTACGAACAGGAACTTCAGAGAGTCAACAAATTAGACAGTGACTATTATAGAGTAGAAAAAGTAATAAGATTACGCATGCGTAATAAATTGGGTTACCCTGACAAGTTTAATTCTTGGGTACCAGCAGAGAGTGCAAAAGATCTGAAATAAATATATTTGAAACTCATAACTTGTATTCATTTGTATGTTGGTCTTCAATATGGCAACACAGTTTTATCTCACTTTACCGAGTAATAGTTCTATGGCTAATTTTCAAAATAATACAGTGGAAAATTTTCGAGTGAAATTGGCCGAAACCATTGTCTTGCCAGGCCAATGGGAGGAACCTTGTCCTCAGAGTGAATAACCTTTTCCTCAGAGTGAGGAAACTAGTTGTCAGAGTGAGGAACATTTTCCTCAGTGTGAGGAACCTTCTCCTCAGTGTGAGGAACCTTGTCCTCAGTGTGAGGAACCTTGTCCTCAGAGTGAGGAACCTTGTTCTCAGAGTGAGGAACCTTGTCCTCAGTGTGAGGAACCTTGTCCTCAGAGTGAGGAACTTTGTCCTCAGAGAGAGGAACCTTGTCCTCAGGGTGAGGAACCTGCCTTCAGAGTAAGGAACCTTGTCCTCAAAGTGAGGAACCTTGTCCTCAGAGTGACGAACCTTGTCCTCAGAGTGAGGAACCTTGTCCTCAGAGGGAGGATCCTTTTCCTCAGAGTGAGGAACCTTGTCCTCCGAGGGAGGATGCTTTTCCTCAGAATGAGGATCATTGTCCTCAGAGTGAGAAGCCTTGTCGTCAGAGCGAGGAACCTTGTCCTCATAATCAGAAACCTTGTCTTCAGAGTGAGGAACCTTGTTCTCAGAGTGAGGATCCTTGTCCTGAGTGTGAAGAACCTTGTCCTTTGAGTGAGGAACCTTGTACTCAGAGTGAGGAACCTTGTCCTCAGAGTGAGGAATGTGCCTTCAGAGAGAGAAACCTTGTCTTCAGAGTGAGGAACCTTGTCCTAAGAGTGAGGAACCTTGTCCTCAGAGTGAGGAACCTCGTCCTCAGAGTGAGGAACCTTGTCCTCAGAGTGAGGATCCTTGTCCGCAGAGTGAGGAACCTTGTCCTGAGAGTGAGGAACCTTGTCCTCAGGGTGACGAACCTTGTCCTCAGACTGAGTAACCTTGTCCTCACAGTGAGGAACCTTGTCGTCAGAATGAGGAGCCTTGTTCTCAGAGTCAGGAACCTTGTCCTGAGAATGAGGAACCTTGTTCTCAGCGTGAGGAACCTTGTCCTCAGTGTGAAGAACCTTGTCCTCAGAGTCAGGGACCTTGTCCTCAGAGTGAGGAACCTTGTCCTCAGAATGAGGAACCTTGTCTTCAGAGTGAGGAACCTTGTTCTCAGAGTGAGGAACCTTGTCCTCAATGTGAGTAACATTGTTCTCAAAGAGAGGAACCTTTTCCTCAGTGTGAGGAACCTTGTCCTCAGAGTGAGGAACCTTGTTTTCAGAGTGATGAACCTTGTCCTCAGAGTGAGGAACCTTGTCCTCGGTGTGACGAACCTGCCTTCAGAGTGAGGATCCTTGTCCTCAGAGTGACGAACCTTCTCCTCAGAGTGAGGAACCTTGTCCTCCGGATGAGAAACCTTGTCCTCAGAGTGAGGAACCTTGTTCTCAGAGTGAGGAACCTTGCCCACAGAGTGAGGAACACTGTCCTCGGTGTGAGGAACCTGCCTTCAAAATGAGGAACCTTGTCCTCAGAGTGAGGAACCTTGTCCACAGAGTGAGGAACCTTGCCCTCAGAGTGTAGAACCTTGTTCTCAGAGTGAGGAACCTTGTCCTCAGAGTGTGGAACCTTGTTTTCAGAGCGAGGAACCTTGTCCTCAGAGTGAGGAACCTTGTCCTCACAGTGATTAACCTTGTTCTCAGAGTAAGGAACCATGTCCTCAGAGTGAGGAGCCTAGTTCTCAGGTGAGGAACCTTGTCCTCAGTGACAGGAACCTTGTCCTCAGATGGAGGAACCTTGTCCACAGAGTGAGGAACCTTGTCCTCAGAGTGTAGAACCTTGTTCTCAGAGTAAGGAACCTTGTCCTCAGAGTGTGCAACCTTGTTTTCAGAGCGAGAAACTTTGTCCTCAGACTGAGGAACCTTGTCCTCAGAGTGATGAACCTTGTTCTCAGAGTAAGGAACCATGTCCTCAGAGTGAGGAGCCTAGTTCTCAGAGTGAGGAACCTTGTCCTCAGTGACAGGAACCATGTCCTCAGAGTGAAGAACCTTGTCCCCAGAGTGAGCCTTCAGAGTGAGGGACCTTGTCCTTAGAGTGAGGAACCTTGTCTTCAGAGTGAGGAATCTGCCTACAGAGTGAGGAACCTTGTCCTCAGTGTGAGGGACCTTGTCCTTAGTGTGAGGAACCTGATGTCAGAATGAGGAACCTTGTCCTCAGAGTGAGGAACCTTGTTCTCAGAGTGAGCAATCTTGTCCTCAGAGTGAGGAACCTTGCCCTTACAGAGAGGAACTTGTCCTCAGAGTGAGGAACTTTGTCCTCAGAGTGAGGAAAATTGTCCTCAGGGTGAGGAACCTGCCTTCAGAGTGAGGAACCTTGTCCTCAGAGTGAGGAACCTTCTCCTCACGGTGACGAACCTTGTTCTAAGAGTGAGGAGCCTGCCGGCAGAGTGAGGAACCTTGTCCTCCGAGTGAGGAACCTTGTCCTCAGAGTGAGGAACCTGGTCCTCAGCGTGAGGAACATTGTCGTCAGAGTGAGGAACCTTGTCGTCAGAGTGAGGAACCTTGTCCTCAGAGTGAGAAACCTTGTCCTCAGAGTGAGGAACCTTGTCTTCAGTGTGCGGAACCTTGTCCTCAAAGTGAGGAACCTTGTCCTTTAGAGTGAGGAACCTTGTTCTCAGAGTGAGGAACCTTGTCCTCAATGTGACAAACCTTGTCCTCCGAGTGAGTAACCTTGTTCTCAGAGTGAGGAACCTTGTTCTCAGTGTGAAAAACCTTGTCCTCAGAGTGAGGAACCTTGTCCTCAGATTGAGGAACCTGGCTTCAGAGTGAGGAACCTTGTCCTCAGAGTGAGGAACCTGGTCCTCAGCGTGAGGAACCTTGTACTCAGAGTGAGGAACCTTGCCCTCAGTGTGAGGAACCTTGTCCTCAGAGTGTGGAACGTTGTCCTCAGAGTGAGGAATCTGCCCTCAGAGTGTTTAACTTGTCCTAAGGGTGAGGAAGCTTCTCCTCAGAGTGAGGAACCTTGTAATCAGAGTGAGGAACCTTGTCCTCAGTGTGAGGAACCTTGTCCTCAGTTAGAGGAACCTTGTCCTCAGAGTGAGGAACCTTGACCTCAGAGTGAGGAGTCTGCCCTCAGAGTGTGGAACCTTGTCCTAAGGGTAAGGAACCTTGTCCTCATAGAGGAACCTTGGTCTCAGTGTGAGCAACCTTGTCCTCAGGGTGAGGAACCTTGTACTCAGTGTGAGGAACCTTGTCCTCAGAGTGAGGAACCTTGGCCTCAGAGTGACGAACCTGCCTTCAGAGTGAGGAACCTTTTCCTCAGAGTGGGGAACCTTGTCCTCAGAGTGAGAAACCTTGTACTCAGAGTGGGGAACCTTGCCTCAGAGTGAGGAACCTTGTCCTGAGCGTGAGGAACCTAGTTCTCAGAGTGAGGAACCTTGTCCTTAGTGTATGGAACCTGCCTTCAGTGGGAGGAACATGCCTTCAGAGTTAGGAACCTTGTCCTCAGAGTTAGGAGCCTTCTCCTCAGAGTGAGGAACCTTGTCCTCAGAGTGAGGAACCTTGTCTTCAGAGTGAGGAACCTTGTTCTCAGGTGAGGAACCTTGTCCTCAGAGTTAGGAACCTGCCTTTAGATTGAGGAACCTTGTCCTCAGTGTGAGGATCCTTGTCCTCACAGTGAGGAACCTTATCCTCACAGTGAGGAACCTTGTCCTTGGTGTGAGGAACCTTGTCCTCACAGTGAGGAACCTTGTCCTTGGTGTGAGGAACCTTGTCCTCAGAGTGAAGAACCTTGTCTTCAGAGTGAGGAACCTTGTTCTCAGGTGAGGAACCTTGTCCTCAGAGTTAGGAACCTGCCTTTAGATTGAGGAACCTTGTCCTCAGTGTGAGGATCCTTGTCCTCAAAGTGAGGAACCTTATCCTCACAGTGAGGAACCTTGTCCTTGGTGTGAGGAACCTTGTCCTCACAGTGAGGAACCTTGTCCTTGGTGTGAGGAACCTTGTCCTCAGAGTGAAGAACCTTGTCCTCAGAGTGAGGAACCTTGTCCTCACAGTGAGGAACCTTTTCTCACAGTGAAGAACCGTGTCCTCACAGTAAGGAACCTTGTCGTCAGAGTGAGGAACCTTGTCGTCAGAGTGAGGAACCTTGTCCTCAGAGTAAGGAACCTTGTCCTCAGAGTGAGGAACATTGTCCTCGGTGTGAGGAACCTTGTCCTCAGAGTAAGGAACCTTGTCCTCAGAGTGAGGAACGTTGTCCTCAGAGTGAGGAACCTTGTCATCAGAGTGAGGAACCTTGCCCTCACAGTGAGGAACCTTGTCCTCAGTCCTCAGTGTGAGGAACCTGATGTCAGAATGAGGAACCTTGTCCTCAGAGTGTGGAACCTTGTTCTCAGAGTGAGCAATCTTGTCCTCAGAGTGAGGAACCTTGCCCTTACAGAGAGGAACTTGTCCTGAGAGTGAGGAACTTTGTCCTCAGAGTGAGGAAATTGTCCTCAGGGTGAGGAACCTGCCTTCAGAGTTAGGAATCTGCCCTCAGAGTGTGGAGCTTTGTCCTAAGTGTGAGGAAGCTTCTCCTCAGAGTGAGGAACCTTGTAATCAGAGTGAGGAACCTTGTCTTCAGTGTCAGGAACCTTGTCCTCAGTTAGAGGAACCTTATCCTCAGAGTGAGGAACCTTGTCGTCAGAGTGAGGAGTCTGCCCTCAGAGTGTGGAACCTTGTCCTAAGGGTAAGGAACCTTGTCCTCATAGAGGAACCTTGTCCTCAGAGTGAGGAACCTTGTCCTCAGTGTGAGGAACCTTTTACTCAGTGTGAGGAACCTTGTCCTCACTGTGAGGAGCCTTGTCCTCAGATTGAGGAACCTTGTCCTCAGAGTGAGGAACCTTGTATGCAGAGTGAGGAACCTTGTTCTCAGTGTGACGAACCTTGTCCTCAGAGTGAGCAACCTTGTTCTCAGAGTGAGGAACCTTGTCCTCAGTGTGAGGAACCTTGTCCTCAGTGTGAGGAACCTTCTCGTCCGTGTGAGGATCTTTGTCCTCAGAGTGAGAAAACCTTGTTCTCAGAGTGAGAAACCTTGTCCTCAGTGTGAGCAACCTTGTACTCAGAGTGAGGAACCTTGCCCTCAGAGTGAGGAACCTGCCTTCAGAGTGAGGAACCTTGTCCTCAGAGTGAGGAAACTTGTCCTCAGAGTGAGGGACCTTGTACTCAGAGTGGGAACCTTGTCCTCAGAGTGAGGAACTTTGTCCTCAGCGTGAGGAACCTAGTTCTCAGAGTGAGGAACCTTGTTTTCAGTGTATGGAACCTGCCTTCAGAGGGAGGAACATGCCTTCAGAGTTAGGCACCTTGTCCTCAGAATTAGGAGCCTTCTCCTCAGAGTGAGGAACCTTGTCCTCAGAGTGAAGAACCTTGTTCTCAGGTGAGGAACCTTGTCCACAGAGTGAGGAACCTTGTCCTCAGCGTGAGGAACCTAGTTCTCAGAGTGAGCAACCTTGTCCTCAGTGTATGGAACCTGCCTTCAGACGGAGGAACATGCCTTCAGAGTTAGGAACCTTGTCCTCAGAGTTAGGAGCCTTCTCCTCAGAGTGAGGAACCTTGTCCTCAGAGTGAGGAACCTTGCCTCAGAGTGAGGAACCTTGTCCTCAGAGTGAGGAACCTTGTTCTCAGGTGAGGAACCTGGTCCTCAGAGTTAGGAACCTTGTCCTCCGAGTGAGGAATGTTGTCCTCAGAGTGAGGAACCTTGTCCTCAGAGTGAGGACCCTTGTCCTCACAGTGAGGAACCTTGTCCTCACAGTGAGGAACCTTGTCCTCAGAGTGAGGAACCTTGTCGTCAGAGGGAGGAACCTGGTCCTCAGAGTGAGGAACCTTGTCCTCAGAGTGAGGAACCTTGTCCTCAGAGTGAGGAACTTTGTTCTCAGGTGAGGAACCTTGTCTTCCAGAGACAGGAACCTTGTCCTCACAGTGAGGAGCCTTGTCCTCACAGTGAGGAACCTTGTCCTGAGAGTGAGGAACCTTGTCCTCAGTGTGAGGAACCTGCCTTCAAAGTGGGGGACCTTGTCTTCAGAGCGAGGAACCTTGTCGTCAGAGTGACGAACCTTGTCCTCAGGGTGAGGAACGATCTCCTCAGTGTGAGGAACCTGCCTTAAGAGTGGTGAGCCTTGTCCTCAGAGACGGGAACCTTGTCCTCAGAATGAGGAACCCTGTCCCCAAAGTAAGGCACCTTGTCCTCAGCGTGAGGAACCTTGTCCTCAGAGCTAGGAGCCTTGTCCTCAAAGCGAGGAACCTTGTCCTCAGCGTGAGGAACCTTGTCCTCAGAATGAGGAACCTTGTCCTCAGAGAGAGGAACCTTGTCTTCAGTGTGAGGATCCTGCATTCAGAGTGAGGAACCTGGCCTTCAGAGCGAGGAACCTTGTCCTCAGAGAGAGGAACCTTGTCCTCACAGTGAGGAACCTTGTCCTGAGAGTGAGGAACCTTGTCCTCAGTGTGAGGAACCTGCCTTCAAATTGAGGGACCTTGTCTTCAGAGCGAGGAATCTTGTCATCAGAGTGACGAACCTTGTCCTCAGGGTGAGGAACGATCTCCTCAGTGTGAGGAACCTGCCTTAAGAGTGGTGAGCCTTGTTCTCAGAGACGGGAACCTTGTCCTCAGAGTGAGGAACCTTATCCTCAGAGAGAGGAACCTTTTCCCCAGAGTGAGGAACCTTGCCCTCAGAGTGAGGAACCTGCCTTCAGTGTGAGGAACCTCGTCCTCAGAGTGAGGAACCTTATCCTCAGAGTGAGGAACCTTGTACTCAGAGTGAGGAACCTTGTCCTCAGAGTGAGGAACCTTGTCCTCAGTGTGAGGAACCTTGTCCTCAGAGTGAGGAACCTTGTTCTCAGAGTGAGGAACATTGTTCTCAGAGTGGGAAACCATGTCCTCAGAGTGAAGAACCTGTCTTCAGAGTGAGGAACATTGTCCTCAGAGTGCGGAACCTTGTTTTCACAGTGAGGAACCTCGTCCTCAGAGTGAGGAACCTTATCCTCAGAGTGAGGAACCTTGTACTCAGAGTAAGGAACCTTGTCCTCAGAGTGAGGAACCTTGTCTTCACACTGAGGAACCTTGTACTCACAGTGTGGAAACTTGTCCTCAGAGTGAGGAACCTTGTCCTCAGTGTGAGGAACTTTCTCCTCAGAGTGAGGAATCTTGTCCTCAGAGTGAGGAACCTTGTCCTCATAGTGAGGAACCTGCATGCAGAGTGAGGAACATTGTCGTCAGAGTGAGGAACCTTGTCCTCGGAGTGAGGAACCGTGTCCTCAGGGTGAGTAACATTGTCCTAAGAGTGAGTAACCTTGTCTTCAGAGTTAGGAAGCTTGTCCTCAGAGTAAGGAACTTGTCCTCAGAGTGAGGAACCTCGTTCTCAGAGTGAGGAACCTTGTTCTCAGAGTGAGAAACCTTGTCCTCAGAGTGAGGAACCTGTCTTCAGAGTGAGGAACCTTGTCGTCAGAGTGAGGATCCTTGTCCGCAGAGTGAGGAACCTTGTCCTCAGAGTGAGGAATCTGGCCTCAGAGTGTGGAACCTTGTCCTAAGGGTGAGGACGCTTGTCCTCAGAGTGAGGTACCTTGTAGTCAGAGTGAGGAACCTTGTCCTCAGTGTGAGGAACCTGCCTCAGAGGAAGGAACCATGTCCTGAAAGTTAGGAACCTTGTCCTCGGAGTGACGAACCTTGTCCTCAGAGAGAGGAGCCTTGTACTCAGAGTGAAGAACCTTGTCCTCAAAGTGAGGAACCTTGTTCACATAGTGAGCAACCTCGAGCTCAGTGTGAGGAACCTTGTTCTCAGTGTGAGGAACCTTGTCCTCAGTGTGAGGAACCTTGTCCTACTTGTGAGGATCTTTGTCGTCAGAGTGAGAAAGATTTGTTCTCAGAGTGGGAAACCTTGTCCTCAGTGTGAGCAACTTTGTCCTCAGAGTGAGGAACCTTGCCCTCAGAGTGAGGAACCTCCCTTCAGAGTCAGGAAACTTGTCCTCGGAGTGAGGAACGTTGTACTCAGTCTGAGGAACCTTGTCCTCCGAGTGAGGTACCTTGTTCTCAGAGTGAGTAACCTTGTCCTCAGAGTGAGGAACCTTGTCCTCAGTGTGAGGAACCACCTTCAGAGTGAGGACCCTTGTCCTCAGAGTGTGGAACCTTGTACTCAGTGTGAGGAACCTATTCCTCAGAGTGTAGAACCTTGTCCTCAGAGTGAGGAACCTTGTCGTCAGAGAGAGGAACCTGCCTTCCGAGTGAGTAACCTTGTCCTCAGAGTGAGGATCCTTGTCCTCAGAGTTAGGAACCTTGTCCTCATATTGAGGAAACTTGTCCTCAGATTGAGGAACCTTGATCTCAGAGTGAGGAACATTTTCCTCAGTGTGAGGAACCTTGTCCTCAGTGTGAGGAACCTTGTCCTACTTGTGAGGATCTTTGTCGTCAGAGTGAGAAAGATTTGTTCTCAGAGTGGGAAACCTTGTCCTCAGTGTGAGCAACTTTGTCCTCAGAGTGAGGAACCTTGCCCTCAGAGTGAGGAACCTCCCTTCAGAGTCAGGAAACTTGTCCTCGGAGTGAGGAACGTTGTACTCAGTCTGAGGAACCTTGTCCTCCGAGTGAGGTACCTTGTTCTCAGAGTGAGTAACCTTGTCCTCAGAGTGAGGAACCTTGTTTTCAGAGTGAGGAACCTTGTTCTGACTGTGAAGGACCTTGTCCTTTGAGTGAGGAACCTTGTACTCAGAGTGAGGAACTTTGTCCTGAGAGTGAGGAACCTTGTCCTCAGAGTGAGGAACCTTGTCTTCAGAATGAGGAACCTCGTTCTCAGAGTGAGGAACCTTGTCCTCAATGTGAGTAACCTTGACCTCAGAGAGAGAAACCTTGTCCTCAGAGTGAGAAACCTTGTTCTCAGAGTGAAGAACCTTTTCCTCAGTGTGAGGAACCTTGTTCTCAGAGAGATGAACCTTGTCCTCATAGTGAGGAACCTTGTCCTCGGTGTGAGGAACCTGCCTTCAGAGCGAGGAACCTTGTCCTGAGAGTGAGCAACCTTCTCCTCCGTGTGAGGAACATTGTTCTCAGAGTGAGGAACCTTGTTCACAGAGTGAGGAACCTTGTCCTGTGTTTGAAGAACCTTTTCCTTTGAGTGAGCAACCTTGTACTCAGAGTGAGGAACTTTGTCCTAAGAGCTAGGAACCTTTTCCTCAGATTGATGAACCTTGTCTTCAGAGTGAGGAGCCTTGTTATCAGAATGAGGAACCTGGTCCTCAGAGTGAGAAACCTTGTTCTCAGAGTGATGAACCTTGTCTTCATAGTGAGGATCCTTGTCCTCGGTGTGAGGAACCTGCCTTCAGAGTGAGGAGCTTTGTCCTCAGAGTGAGGATCCTTGTCCTCAGAGTGAGGAACCTTGTCGTCAGAGTGAGGAACGTTGTCCTCCGGATGAGGAACCTTGTACTCAGAGTGAGGAACCTGGTCCTCAGAGAGAGGAACCTTGTCCTCAGAGAGAAGAACCTTGTCCTCAGAGTGAGGAACCTTGTCCTCAGAGTGAGTAACCTTGTTCTCAGAGTGAGGAACCTTGTCCTCAGAGTGTGGAACCTTGTTTTCAGAGTGAGGAACCTTGTCTTCAGTGTGAGGAATCTTGTCCTCAGAGTGAGGAACCTTGTCCTCAGAGTCATGGACCTTGTCCTCAGAGTGAGGAACCTTGTCCTGGGTGTGAGGAACCTGCCTTCAAAGTGAGGAACATTGTCCTCAGAGTGAGGAACCTTGTCCTCAGAGTGCGGAACCATGTCCTCAGAGTGACGAACCTTGTTATCAGAGTGAGGAACCTTGCCAACAGAGTGAGGAACCTTGTCATCAGTGCGAGGAACCTTGTCCTCAGAGTGCGGAACCTTGTCCTCAGAGTGAGGTACCTTGTCGTCGGTGTGAGGAACCTGCCTTCAAAATGAGGAACCTTGTCCTCAGAGTGAGGAACCTTGTCCTCAGAGTGAGGAACATTCTCCTCAGAGTGAGGAACCTTGTTCCGAGAGTGAGGAACCTTGTTTTCACAGTGACAAACCTTGTCCTCTGTGTGAGGAACCTTGCCCTCAGAGTGAGGAACCTTGTCCTCAGAGTGAGGTACCTTGTCCTCGGTGTGAGGAACCTGCCGTCAAAATGAGGAACCTTGTCCTCAGAGTGAGGAACCTTGTCCTCAGTGTGAGGAACCTGGTCCTCAGACTGCGGAACCTTGTTCTCAGATTGAAGAACATTGCCATCAGTGTGAGGAACCTTGTCCTCAGAGAGAGGAACCTTGTCCTCAGGGTGATGAACCTTGTTCTCAGAGAGAGGAACCTTGTCCTCGGTGTGAGGAACCTGCGTTCAAATTCAGGAATCTTGTCCTCAGAGTGAGGAACCTTGTCCTCAGAGTGAGGAACCTTGTCCTCAGAGTGAGGAACCTTGTCTTCAGAATGAGGAACCTTGTTCTCAGAATGAGGAACCTTGTCCTCAATGTGAGTAACCTTGTCCTCAGAGAGAGAAACCTTGTCCTCAGAGTGAGAAACCTTGTTCTCAGAGTTAAGAACGTTTTCCTCAGTGTGAGGAACCTTGTTCCCAGAGAGATGAACCTTGTCCTCATAGTGAGGAACCTTGTCCTCGGTGTGAGGAACCTGCTTTCAGACCGAGGAACCTTGTCCTGAGAGTGAGCAACCTTCTCCTCAGAGTGAGGAACCTTGTCCTCAGAGTGAGGAACCTTGTCCTCCGGATGAGGAACCTTGTCTTCAGAGTTAGGAACCATGTCCTCGGTGTGAGGAACCTTGTTCTCAGAGTGAGGAATCTTGCCCAAAGAGTGAGGAACCTTGTCTTCAGAGTGAGGAACCATGTCCTCGGTGTGAGGACCCTTGTTCTCAGAGTGAGGAATCTTGCCCAAAGAGCTAGGAACCTTTTCCTCAGATTGATGAACCTTGTCTTCAGAGTGAGGAGCCTTGTTCTCAGAGTGATGAACCTTGTCCTCATAGTGAGGAACCTTGTCCTCGGTGTGAGGAACCTGCCTTCAGAGTGACGAGCTTTGTCCTCAGAGTGAGGATCCTTGTCCTCAGAGTGAGGAACCTTGTCCTCAGAGTGAGGAACCTTGTCCTCCGGATGACGAACCTTGTCTTCAGAGTGAGGAACCATGTCCTCGGTGTGAGGAACCTTGTTCTCAGAGTGAGGAATCTTGCCCAAAGAGTGAGGAACCTTGTCCTCAGTGTGAGGAACCTTGTCCTCAGAGTGAGGAACCTTGTCCTCAGGGTGAGGAACCTTCTCCTCAGAGTGAGGAACCTTGTCCTCAGTGTGAGGAACCTTGTCCTCAGTGTGAGGATCCTACATTTCAGAGTGAGGAACCTTGTCCTCAGAGAGAGGAACCTTGTCCTCAGAGTGAGGAACCTTGTTCGCAGATTGAAGAACCTTGTCCTCGGTGTGAGGAACCTTGTCGTCAGTGTGAAGAACCTTGTCCTCAGAGTGAGGGACCTTGTCTTCAGAGTGAGGAACCTTGTCCTCAGAATGAGGAACCTTGTCCTCAGAGTGAGTAAACTTGTCCTCAGAGTGCGTAACCTAGTCCTCAGAGCGAGGAACCTTGTCCTTAGAGTGAGGAAATTTGTCCTCGGTGTGAAGAAACTTGTCCTCAGAGTGAGGAACCTTGTCCTCAGAGTAAGGAACCTGCCTTCAGAGTGAGGAACCTTGTCCTCAGAGGGAGGATCCTTGTCCTCAGAATGAGGATCCTTGTCTTCAGAGTGAGGAGCCTTGTCCTCAGAGCGAGGAACCTTGTCCTCAGAGTGAGAAACCTTGTCCTCAGAATGAGGGACCTTGACCTCAGAGTGAGGAACCTTGTCCTGAGTGTGAAGAAACTTGTCCTTTGAGTGAGGAACCTTGTACTCAGAGTGAGGAACTTTGTCCTCAGAATGAGGAATCTGCCTTCAGAGTGAGAAACCCTTTCCTCAGAGTGAGGAACCTAGTCCTAAGAGTGAGGAACCTTGTCCTGAGAGTGAGGGTCCTTGTCCGCAGAGTGAGGAATCTTGTCCTCAGAGTGAGTAACCTTGTCCTCACAGTGAGGACCTTGTCGTCAGAGAAGGGAACCTTGTCCTCAAAGTGAGGAACCTGGTCCTGAGAATGAGGAACCTTCTTCTCAGCGTGAGGAACCTTGTCCTCAGTGTGAAGAACCTTGTCTTCAGAGTGAGGGACCTTGTCCTCAGAGTGAGGAACCTTGCCCTCAGAATGTGGAACCTTGTCTTCTGAGTGAGGAACCTACCTTCAGAGTGAGGAACCTTGTCCTCAGAGTGAGGTACCTTGTCCTCAGAGAGAGGAACCTTGTCCTCAGTGTGAGGAACATTGTCCTCAGAGCGAGGAACCTTGTCCTCAGGGTGAGGAACCTTGTCCTCAGTATGAGAAACCTTGTCCTCAGTGTGAGGAACCTGGTCCTCAGTGTGAGGATCCTGCTTTCAGAGTGAGGAACCTTGTCCTCAGAGAGAGTAACCTTGTCCTCAGAGTGAGGAACATTGTTCTCAGATTGAGGAACCTTGTACTCAGCGTGAGGAACCTTGTTCTCAGAGTGAGGAACCTTGCCCACAGAGTGAGGAACCTTGTCGTCAGTGTGAGGAGCCTTGTCCTCAGAGTGAGGAACCTTGTCCTCAGGGTGAGGAACCTTGTCCTCAGTATGAGAAACCTTGTCCTCATTGCGAGGAACCTTGTCCTCAGTGTGAGGATCCTACTTTCAGAGTGAGGAACCTTGTCCTCTGAGAGAGTAACCTTGTCCTCAGAGTGAGGGTCCTTGTCCGCAGAGTGAGGAACCTTGTCCTGAGAGTGAGGAACCTTGTCCTCAGGGTGACGATACTTGTGCTCAGAGTGAGTAACCTTGTCCTCACAGTGAGGAACCTTGTCCTCAGAATGAGGAACCTTGTCTTCTGAGTGAGGTACCTGCCTTCAGAGTGAGGAACCTTGTTGTCAGAGTGAGTAAACTTGTCATCAGAGTGAGGAACCTAGTCTTCAGAGCGAGGAATCTTGTCCTCAGAGTGAGGAACCTTGTTCTCAGAGTAAGGGTCCTTGTCCGCAGAGTGAGGAACCTTCTCCTGAGAGTGAGCAACCTTGTCCTCAGTGTGACGATACTTGTGCTCAGAGTGAGTAACCTTGTCCTCATAGTGAGGAACCTTGTCCACTGAGTGAGGCACCTTGTCCTTAGAGTGAGGAACCTTGTTCTCAGAGTGAGGAACCTTGCCCACAGAGTGAGGAACCTTGTCCTCAGTGTGAGGAACCTTGTCCTCAAAGTGATGAACCTTGTCCTCAGAGTGAGGAACCATGTCCTCGGTGTGAGGAACCTTGTTCTCAGAGTGAGGAACCTTGCCCACAGAGTGAGGAACCTTGTCATCAGAGTGAGGAACCTTGTCCTCAAGGTGAGGAACCTTGTCCACAGAGTGAGAAACCTTGTCCTCAGTGTGAGGAACCTTGTCGTCGGTGTGACGAACATGCCTTCAGAGTGAGGATGCTTCTCCTCAGAGTGAGGATCCTTGCCGTCAGAGTGAGGAACCTTGTCCTCAGAGTGAGGAACCTGGTCCTCAGAATGAGGGACCTAGTCCTAAGAATGAGGAACCTTATCCTCTGTGTGAAGAACCTTGTGCTCAGAGTGAGGAACGTTGTCCTCAGGGTAAGGAATCTTGTTCTCAGAATGAGGAACCTTGTCCTCAAAGTGTGGAACCTTGTTTTCAGGGTGAGGAACCTTGTCCTCAGTGTGAATAACCTTGTCCTCAGAGTGAGGAACCTTGCCCACAGAGTGAGGAACCTTTTCCTCAGAGTGAGGAACCTTGTCCTCAGTGTGACGAACCTTGTCCTCAGAGTGATGAACCTTGTCCTCAGAGTGAGGATCCTTGTCCTCAGAGTGAGGAACCGTGTCCTCAGAGTGAGGAACCTTGTCCTCCGGATGAGAAACATTTTTCTCAGAGTGAGGAACCTTGTCCTCAGAGTGAGGAAACCTGTCCTCTGTGTGAGCAACCTTGTCCTCAGAGTGAGGAACCTTGTCCTCAGTGTGAGGAACCTACCATCAGAGTGAGTTACCTTTTCCTCAGAGTGAAGAGCCTTGCCCACAGAATGAGGAACCTTGTCCTCAGGGTGAGGAAATTTGTCCTCAGAGTGAGGAACATTGTTCTCAGATTAAGGAACCTTGTCCTCAGTGTGAGGAACCTTGTACTCAGGGTGAAGAACCTTGTCCTCAGGGTGAGGAACCTTTCCCACTGAATGAGGAAACCTGTCCTCCGAGTGAGCAACCTTGTCCTCAGAGGGAGGAACCTTGTTCTCAGATTGAGGAACCTTGTTCTCAGTGTGAGGAACCTTGTCCTCAGAATGAAGAAACATGTCCTCCGAGTGAGGAACCTAGTTCTCAGAGTGAGGAACCTTGTCCTCAGAGTGAGGAACCTTGTCCTCAGTGTGAGGAACCTTCCTTCAGAGTAAGGAACCTTTTCCTCAGAGTGAGGAACCTTGCCCACAGAATGAGGAACCTTGTCCTCAGAGTAAGGAAATTTGTCCTCAGAGTGAGGAACCTTGTTGTCAGATTAAGGGACATTGTCCTCAGTGTGAGGAACCTTGTACTCAGAGTGAAGATCATTGTCCTCAGTGTGGGCAACCTTGTGCTCAGAGTGAGGAACCTTGTACTCAGAGTGAGGAACGTTTTCCTCAGTGTGAGGGACCTTGTCCTCAGAGTGAAGAATCTTGTTCTCAGAGCGAGGAGCCTTGCCTCAGTGTGACGAACCTGCCTTCAGAGTGAGGAACCTTGTCCTCAGAGTGAGGATCCTTTTCCTCAGAGTGAGGAACCTTGTCCTCTGAGTGAGGAACCTTGTCCTCAGAGTGAGGAACCTTGTCCTCAGTGTGACGAACCTTGTCCTCAGATTGAGGAACCTTGCCCTCAGAGTGAGGAACCTTCTTTCAGATGAGGAACCTTCTCCTCAGGGTGAGGATCCTTGTCCTCAGACTGAGTAACCTTCTCCTCAGAGCGAGGAACCTTGTCCTCAGTGTGAGGAACCTTGTTCTCAGTGTGAGGAACATTGTCGTCGTAGTGAAGAACCTTGTCCTAAGAGTGAGGAATGTGCCCTTGGAGTGTGGAACCTTGTCCTCAGAATGCGGAAGCTTGTCCTCAGGCTGAGGAGCCTTGTCCTCAGAGTGAGGAACCTTGTCCTCAGTGTGAGGAACCTACCTTCAGAGTGAGTAACCTTTTCCCCAGAGTGAGGAACGTTGCCCACAGAATGAGGAACCTTGTCCTCAGAGTGACGAACCTTGTTCTCAGATTAAGGAACCTTGTCCTCAGTGTGAGGAACCTTGTACTCAGAGTAGAACAAGGTTCCTCACCCTGAGGAGAAGGTTCCACCCTCTGAGGACAAGGTTCTTCACACAGAGGACAAGGTTCCTCACTCTGAGAACTAGGTTCCTCACTCTGATGACCAGGTTCCTCACTGTGAGGACAATGATCCTCACTCGGAGGACAAGGTTCCTCACACTGAGGACAAGGTTCCTCACTCTGAGAACTAGGTTCTTCAGTCTGACGACCAGGTTCCTCACTTTGAGGACACGGTTCCTCACTCTAAGGACAAGGTTCCTCACTCTGAGGACAAGGTTCCTCTCTCTGAAGGTAGGTTCCTCACACCGAGGTCAAGGTTCCTCATTCCGAGGACAACGTTCATCACTCTGAGAACAAGGTTCCTCACTCTGAGGACAAGGTTCCTCACACTGAGGAAAAGGTTCTTGACTCTGAGAACAAGGTTTCTCACTCTGAGGACAAGGTTCCCCTCTCTGAGGACAAGGATCCTCACTCTGAGGACAAGGTTCTTCACACTGAGGAGAAGGTTCCTCACTCTGAGAACTAGGTTCCTCACTCTGACGACCGGGTTCCTCACTCTGAGGACACGGTTCCTCACTCTGAGGACAAGGTTTCTCACTCTGAGGACAAGGTTCTCGCTTTGAAGACAAGGCTCCTCACTCTGAGGACAAGGATCCTCATTCTGAGAACAAGGATCCACACTCTGAGGACAAGCATCCTCGCTCTGAAGGCAGGCTCGTCACACCGAGGACAAGTTTCCTCACTCTGAGGACTAGGTTCCTCACTCAAAGGACAAGGTTCTTCACACTGACGACAAGGTTCCTCACTCTGCGAACATGGTTCCTCACTCTGAGGACAATGTTCCTCACTCTAAGGACAAGGTTCCTCAATCTGAAGACAAGGTTCCACAGTCTGAGGGCAGATACCTCACTCTACAGACAAGGTTCCTCACTCTGAGGCAAGGTTCCTCTCTCTGAGGACAATGTTCCTCACACTCAGAACAAGGTTCGTCGATCTGAAAGCAGGTTCCTCAGTCTGAGGGCAAGGTTCCTCACTCTGACGACAAGGTTCCTCACACTGAGGACAAGGTTCCTCACCCTGAGGAGAAGGTGCTCACTCTGACGACAAATTTCCTCGCTCTCAGGACAAGGTTCCTCACTCTGAGGACAAGGTACCTCACTCTCAAAGCAGGTTCCTCACTCAGAAGACAAGGTTCCTCATTCTGAAGACAAGGTTCCTCACTCTGAGGAAAAGGTCCCTCACTCTGAGGACAAGGTTCTTCACTCTGACGACAAGGATCCTCATTCTGAGGACAAGGAATCTCCCTCTGAGGACAAGGTTCTTCACTCTGAGAACAAGGGTCCTCATTCTGAGGACAAGGTTCCTCACTCTGAAGGCAGGTTCCTTACTCTGAGGACAAGGTTCCTCACTCTGAGGACAAGGATCCTCATTCTGAGGACAAGGATCCTCACTCTGAGGATAATGTTCCTCATTCTGAAGGCAGGTTCCTTACTCTGAGGGCAAGCTTCCTCACTCTGAGGACAAGTTTCTTCACACTGAGGACATGGTTCCTCACTCTGAGGACAATGTTCCTCACTCTGAGGACAAGGTTCCTCAGTCTGAGGACAAGGGTCCACACTCTGAGGGCAGATACCTCACTCTACAGACAAGGTTCCTCACTCTGAGGCAAGGTTTCTCACTCTGAGGACAATGTTCCTCACACTCAGGACAAGGTTCCTCAATCTGAAAGCAGATTCCTCACTCTGAGGGCAAGGTTCCTCACTCTGGCGACAAGGTTCCACACACTGAGGACAAGGTTCCTCAATCTGAGGACAAGGTGCCTCACTCTGAGGACAAAGTTCCTCGCTCTGAGGACAAGGTTCCTCACTCTGAGGACAAGGTTCCTCATTCTGATGGCAGGTTCCTTATCCTGTGGACAAGGTTCGTCATTCTGAGGTCGAGTTTCTTCACACTGAGGACAAGGTTCCGCACCTTGAGAACAAGGTTCCTCACTCTGAGGACAAGGTTCCTCACTCTGAGAACAAGTTTTCTCACTCTGAGGACAAGGTACCTCACTCTCAAAGCAGGTTCCTCACTCAGAAGACAAGGTTCCTCATCCTGAAGAGGAGGTTCCACACTCTGAGGAAAAGGTCCCTCACTCTGAGGACAAGGTTCTTCACTCTGAGGACAAGGATCCTCATTCTGAGGACAAGGATCCTCCATCTGAGGACAAGGTTCCTCGCTCTGAGGACAAGGATCCTCATTCGGAGGACAAGGATCCTCCCTCTGAGGACAAGGTTCCTCACTCTGACAGCAGGTTCCTTACTCTGAGGACAAGCTTCCTCACTCTGAGGACAAGTTTCTTCACACTGAGGACAAGGTTACTCACTCTGAGAAAAAGGTTCCTCAATCTGAAGACAAGGTTCCTCACTCTGAGGACAAGGTTCCTCACTCTGAGGACTAGGTTCCGCACTCTGAGGACAAGTTTACTCACTTTGAGGACCAGGTTCCTCACTCTGAAGGCATGTTCCTCACTCAGAAGACAAGGTTCCTCATTCTGAGGAAAAGATCCTCACTCTGAAGACAAGGTCCCTCACTCGGAGGACAAGGTTCTTCACACTGAGGACAAGGTTCCTCACGCTGAGGACAAGGTCCCTCAATCTGAGGACAAGGTGCCTCGTTCTGAGGACAAGATTCCTCACACTGAGGACAAGGTTCGTCACTCTGTGCACAAGGTTCCTCACTCTGAGAACAAGGTTCCTCACACCGAGGACATGGTTCCTCACTCTGAGAACAAGGTTCCTCACTCTGAGGACAAGGTTCCTCACTCTGAGGACAAGGTTCCTCACACTGAGGACAAGGTTCCTCACTCTGTGCACAAGGTTCCTCACTCTGAGAAAAGGGTTCCTCATACCGAGGAAATGGTTCCTCACCCTGAGGAGAAGGTTCCTCACTCTGAGGACAAGGTTCCTGACTCTGACGACAAGGTTCCTCACTCTGAGGACAAGGTTCTTCACAATGAGGACAACGTTCCACACTCTGAGGACAAGGTTCCTCACTCTGAGAACAAGGTTCCTCGCTCTGAGGACAAGGTTCCTCACTCTGAGGACAAGATTCTACACACAGAGGACAAGGTTCCTCACTCTGAGAACTAGGTTCCTCACTCTGAGGACCAGGTTCCTCGCTCTGAGGACATAGTTCCTCACTATGACGACAAGGTTCCTCACTCAAAGGACAAGGTTCTTCACACTCAGGACAAGCTTCCTCACTCTGAGAACAAGGTTCCTCACTCTGAGGACTAGGTTCCGCATTCTGAGGACAAGTTTACTCACTCTGAGGACAAGGTTCCTCACTCGGAAGGCAGGTTCCTCACTCAGAAGTCAAGATTCCTCATTCTGAGGAAAAGGATCCTCACTCTGAAGACAAGGTCCCTCACTCTGAGGACAAGGTTCTTCACACTGAGGACAAGGTTTCTCACACTGAGGACAAGGTCCCTCAATCTGAGGACAAGGTTCCTCACTCTGAGGACAAGGTTCCTCACTCTGAGGACAAGGTTCCTCACTCTGTTCACAAGGTTCCTTACTCTGAGAACAAGGTTCCACGCACCGAGGAAATGATTCCTCACTCTGAGGACAAGGTTCCTCACTCTGAGGACAAGGTTCCTCACTCTGAGGACAAGGTTCCTCGCTCTGAAGACAAGGTTCTTCACACTGAGGACAAGGATCCTCACTGTGAAAACAAGGTTCCACACTCTGAGGACAAGGTTCCTCACTCTGAGGTCAAGGTTCCTCACTCTGAAAACAAGGTTCCTCGCTCTGAGGACAAGGTTCTTCACTCTGAGGACAAGGTTCCTCACTCTGAGGACAAGGTTCTTCACACTGAGGACAAGGCTCCTCACTGTGAAAACAAGGTTCCACACTCTGAGGACAAGGTTCCTCACTCTGAGAACAAGGTTACTCGCTCTGAGGACAAGGTTCCTCACTCTGAGGACAAGATTCTACACACAGAGGACAAGGTTCCTCACTCTGAGAACTAGTTTCCTCACTCTGAGGACCAGGGTCTTCACTCTGAGGAAAAAGTTCCTCACTATGACGACAAGGTTCCTCACTCAAAGGACAAGGTTCTTCACACTCAGGACAAGGTTCCTCACTATGAGAACAAGGTTCCTCACTCTGAGGACAATTTTTCTCTATCTGAGGACAAGGTTCCTCGCTCTGAGGACAAGGCTCCTCACTCTGAGGACAACGATCCTCATTCTGAGGACAAGGATCCTCACTCTGAGGACAAGGTTCCTCACTCTGAAGGCAGGTTCCTTACTCTGAGGACAAGGTTCCTCACTCTGAGGACAAGTTTCTTCACACTGACGACATGCTTCCTCACTCTGAGCACAAGGGTCCTCACTCTGAGGACAAGGTTCCTCACTCTGAGGACAAGGTTCCTCACTCTGAGGACAAGGTTCCTCACTCTGAGGACAAGCTTCCTTACTCTGAGGACAAGGTTCCTCACTCGGAGGACAATGTTCCTCACACTAAGGACAAGGCTCCTCACTGTGAAAACAAGGTTCCACACTCTGAGGAGAATGTTCCTCACTCTGAGAACAAGGTTCCTCACTCTGAGGACAAGGTTCCTCACACTGAGGACAAGGTTCCTCACTCTGAAAACAAGGTTTCACACTCTCAGACAAGGTTCCTTACTCTGAGAACAAGGTTCTCACTCTGAGGACAAGGTACCTCACTCTGAGGAGAAGATCCTTCACACAGAGGACTAGGTTTCTCACTCTCAGAACTATGTTCCTGACTCTGAGGACCAGGTTTCTCACTCTGAGGACACGGTCCCTCACTCTGAGGACAAGGATCCTCCCTCTGAGGACAAGGTTCCTCATTCTGATGGCAGGTTCCTTACTCTGAGGATAAGGTTCCTCACTCTGAGGACAAGTTCTTCACACTGAGGACAAGGTTTCTCACTCTGAGAACAAGGTTCCTCACTCTGAGGACAAGTTTCCTCACTCTGAGGACAAGGTTCCTCACTCTGAAGGCAGGTTCCTCACTCAGAAGACAAGGTTCCTCATTCTAGGGACAAGGTTCCTCACTCTGAGGACAAGGTCCCTCACTCTGAGGACAAGGTTCTTCACGCTGAGGACAAGGTCCCTCACGCTGAGAACAAGGTTCCTCATTCTCAGTACAAGGTTCCTCACTTTGAGGACAAGGTTCGTCACCCTGAGGACAAGAATTCTCACTCTGAGGAGAAGGTTCCTCGCTCTGAGGACAAGGTTCCTCACTCTGAGAACAAGGTTCGTCACTCCGAGGATAAGATTTCTCACTCTGAGGACAAGGTTCCTCGCTCTGAGGACAAGGTTTTTCAATCTGAGGACAAGGTTCCTCGCTCTGAGGACAAGGCTCCTCACTCTGAGGACAAGGATCCTCAATCTGAGGACAAGGATCCTCACTCTGAGGACGAGGTTCCTCACTCCGAAGGCAGGTTCCTTACACTTAGGACAAGGTTCCTCACTCTGAGGACAAGCTTCTTCACACTGAGGACATGGTTCCTGACTCTGAGTACAAGGTTCCTCACTGTGAGGACAAGGTTCCTCACTCTGAGGACAAGGTTCCTCACTCTGAGGACAAGGTTCCTCACTCTGAAGGCAGGTTCCTTACTCTGAGGACAAGGTTGCTCACTCTGAGGACAAGTTTCTTCAAACTGACGACATGCTTCCTCACTCTCTGCACAAGGTTCCTCACTCTGAGGACAATGTTCCTTACTCTGAGGACAAGGTTCCTCACTCTGAGGACAAGCTTCCTCACTCTGAGGACAAGGTTCCTCACTCTGAGGACAATGTTCCTCACACTCAGGACAAGGTTCCTCAATCTGAAAGCAGGTTCCTCACTCTGAGGGCAAGGTTCCTCACTCTGGCGACAAGGTTCCTCACACTGAGGACAAGTTTCCTCACTCTGAGGACAAGGTGCCTCACTCTGAGGACAAAGTTCCTCGCTCTGAGGACAAGGTTCCTCACTCTGAGGACAAGGTTCCTCATTCTGATGGCAGGTTCCTTACCCTGTGGACAAGGTTCCTCATTCTGAGGACGAGTTTTTTACACTGAGGACAAGGTTCCTCACTTTGAGGACAACGTTCCTCACTCTGAGGACAAGGTTCTTCACACTGAGGACAAGGTTCCTCACACTGAGGACAAGGTCCCTCAATCTGAGGACAAGGTTCCTCACTCTGAGGACAAGGTTCCTCACTCTGAGGACAAGGTTCCTCACTCTGAGGACAAGGTTCCTCACTCTGAGGACAAGGTTCCTCACTCTGAGGACAAGGTTCCCCGCTCTGAAGACAAGGTTCTACACAATGAGGACAAGGATCCTCACTGTGAAAACAAGGTTCCACACTCTGAGGACAAGGTTCCTCACTCTGAGGACAAGGTTCCTCACTCTGAGAACAAGGTTCCTCGCTCTGAGGACAAGGTTCTTTACTCTGAGGACAAGGTTCCTCACTCTGAGGACAAGGTTCTTCACACTGAGGACAAGGCTGCTCACTGTGAAAACAAGGTTCCACACTCTGAGGACAAGGTTCCTCACTCTGAGAGCAAGGTTCCTCGCTCTGAGGACAAGGTTCCTCACTCTGAGGACAAGATTCTACACACAGAGGACAAGGTTCCTCACTCTGAGAACTAGTTTCCTCACTCTGAGGACCAGGGTCCTCACTCTGAGGACAAAGTTCCTCACTATGACGACAAGGTTCCTCACTCAAAGGACAAGGTTCTTCACAATCAGGACAAAGTTCCTAACTATGAGAACAAGGTTCCTCACTCTGAGGACAATGTTTCTCTATCTGAGGACAAGGTTCCTCGCTCTGAGGACAACGATCCTCATTCTGAGGACAAGGATCCTCACTTTGAGGACAAGGTTCCTCACTCTGAAGGCAGTTTCCTTACTCTGAGGACAAGGTTACCAACTCTGAGGACAAGTTTCTTCACATTGACGACATGCTTCCTCACTCTGAGCACAAGGTTCCTCACCCTGAGGACAAGGTTCCTCACTCTGAGGAAGGTTCCTCACTCTGAGGACAAGCTTCCTCACTCTGAGGACAAGGTTCCTCACTCTGAGGACAATGTTCCTCACACTAAGGACAAGGCTCCTCACTGTGAAAACAAGGTTCCGCACTCTGAGGACAAGGTTCCTCACTCTGAGAACAAGGTTCCTCACTCTGAGGACAAGGTTCTCCACACAGAGGACAAGGTTCCTCACTCTGAGGACAAGGTTCATCACTCTGAGGACAAGGTTCCTCACTCTGAGAACAAAGTTTCTCAATCTGAGGACAAGGTTCCTCGCTCTGAGGACAAGGCTCCTCACTCTGAGGACAAGGATCCTAATGCTGAGAACAAAGATCCCCACTCTGAGGACAAGGTTCCTCACTCTGAAGGCCAGTTCCTTACTCTGAGGACGAGGTTCCTCACTCTGAGGACAAGTTTCTTCAAACTGAGGACATGGTTCCTCACTCTGAGAACAAGGTTCCTCACTCTGATGACAAGGATCCACACTCTGAGGACAAGGTTCCTCACTCTGAGGACAAGGTTCCTCACACTGAGGACAATGTCCCTCACTCTGAAAACAAGGTTCAACACTCTGAGAACAAGGTTCGTCACTCTGAGAACAAGGTTCCTCACTCTGAGGACAAGGTTGCTCACTCTGAGGACAACGTTCTTCACGCAGAGGACAAGGTTCCTCACTCTGAGAACTAGGTTCCTCACTCTGAGGACCAGGTTCCTCAATCTGAGGACAAGGTTCCAAACTCTGAGGACAAGGTTCTTCACACTGAGGACAAGGTTCCTCATTCTGAGAGACTGGTTCCTCACTCTGAAGACCAGGTTCCTCACTCTGAGGACAGGGTTCCTCACTCTAAGGACAAGGTTCCTCAATCTGAGGACAAGATTCCTCTCTCTGAAGGCAGGTACCTCACACCGAGGACAAGGTTCCTCATTCTGAGGACAACGTTCATCATTCTGAGGACAAGGTTCCTCACTCTGAGGACAACGTTCCTCACACTGAGGAAAAGGCTCTTGACTCTGAGAACAAGGTTTCTCACTCTGAGGACAAGGTTCCTCTCTCTGAGGACAAGGTTATACACATTGAGGACAAGGTTCTTCACTCTGAGAACAAGGTTCCTCACTCTGCAGACAAGGTTCCTCACTCTTAGGCCAAGGTTCTTCACTCTGAGGACAAGTTCCCTCACTCTGAGTATAAGGTTCCTCACTCAAAGGACAAGGTTCTTCACACTCAGGACAAGGTTCCTCACTCTGAGAACAAGGTTCCTCACTCTGTGAACAAGGTTTCTCACTCTGAGGACAAGGTTCCTCGCTTTGAGGACAAGGCTCCTCACTCTGAGGACAAGGATCCTCATTCTGAGTACAAGGATCCTCACTCTGACGACAAGGTTCCTCACTCTGAAGGCATGTTCCTTACTCTGAGGACAAGGTTCCTCACTCTGAGGACCAGTTTCTTCACACTGAGGACATGCTTCCTCACTCTGAGGACAATGTCCTTCAATCTGAGTACAAGGTTCCTCAAACTGAGGACAAGGATCCACACTCTGAGGCAAGGTTCCTCACTCTGAGGACAATGTTCCTCACACTGAGGACAAGGTTTCTCAATCTGAAAGCAGGTTCCTCACACTGAGGGCAAGGTTCCTCACTCTGAGGACAAGGTGCCTCACTCTGAGGACAAAGTTCCTCGCTCTGAGGACAAGGTTCCTCACCCTGAGGACAAGGTTCCTCACTTTCAGGACAAAGTTCCTCACTCTGAAGGCAGGTTCCTCACACCGAGGACAAGGATCCTCAATCTGAGGACAAGGTTCATCAATCGGAGGACAAGGTTCCTCACTCTGAGGACAAGGTTCCTCCCACTGAGGAAAAAGGTTCCTCACTCTGAGAACAAGGTTTCTCACTCTGAGGACCAGGTTCCTTTCTCTGAGGACAAGGATACTCAATTGAGGACAGGGTTCCTCAACCTGAGAACAAGGTTCGTAACTCTGAAGACAAGGTTCCTCACTCTGAGGACTAGGTTCCTCACTCTGAGTACAATGTTCCTCACTCAAAGGACAAGGTTATTCACACTCAAGACAAGGTTCCTTACTCTGAGGACAAGGTTCCTCACTCTGAGGACAAGTTTCTTCACACTGAATATATGGTTCCTCACTCTGAGGACAATGTTCCTCACTCTGAGGAAAAGGTTCCTCAATCTGAGGACAAGGTTCCATACTCTGAGGCAAGGTTCCTCACTGTGAGGACAATGTTCCTCACACTGAGGACAAGGTTTCTCAATCTGAAAGCAGGTTCCTCACTCTGAGGGCAAGGTTCCTCACTCTGACGACAAGGTTCCTCACACTGAGGACAAGGTTCCTCACTCTGAGGACAAGGTGCCTCACTCTGAGAACAAGGTTCCTCAATCTTAGGACAAGGTTCCTAACTCTGAGGGCAAGGGTCGTCACTCTGAGGACAAGGTTCCTCACTCTGAGGACAAGGTTGCTCACTCTGAAGGCAGGTTCCTAATTCTGAGGACAAGGTTCCTGATATTCTGAGGACAAGGTTCCTCACTGTACGTAAGGGCAAGGTGCCTCACTCTGAGGACAAGGTTGCTCACTCTGAGAACAAGGTTCCTCACTCTGAGGAGAAGGTTCCTAAACTCTGACGTCAGGTTTCTCACACTGAGGACAAGGTACTTCCTCACTCTGAAGGCAGGTTCCTCACTCTGAAGACAAGGTTCCTCACTCTGAGGACAAGGTTCTTCAATCGGAGGACATAGTTACTGACACTGAGGACAAGGTTCCTCACTCTGAGAACAAGGTTGCTCACTCTGAGGACATGGCTTCTCACCCTGAGGACAAGGTCCTCACACTGAGGAGAAGGTTTCATCAATCTGAGAACAAGGTTCCTCGCTCTGAGGACAGGCGTCGTCACTCTGAGGACAAGGTTCCTCACTCTGAGGACAAGGTTCCTCACTCTGAGGACAAGGTTCCTCACTCTGAAGGAAGGATCCTCACACTGAGGACAAGGATCTCCCCTCTGAGGACAAGGTTCCTCCATCTGAAGGCAGGTTCCTCACTCTGAGGACAAGGTTCCTCACATTCTGAGGACAAGGTTCCTCACTGTAAGGGCAAGGTTCCTCACTCTGAGGACAAGGTTGCTCACTCTGAGGACAGCGTTCCTCACCCTGGGGAGAAGGTTCCTCGCCCTGACATCACGTTTCCCACAATGAAGACAAGGTTCCTCACTCTGAGGACAAGCTTCCTCACTCTGAAGGCAGGTTCCTAAGTCTGAAGGACATGGTTCCTGACACTGAGGACAACGTTCCTCACTCTGACGGCATGGTATTTCACACTGAGGACAAGATTCCTCACACTGAGGACAAGGTTCCCCACTCTGAGAACAAAGTTCCTCACTCTGAGGACTGGCTTCCTCACTCTGAGGGCAAGGTTACTCTTTCTGACGACAAGGTTCCTCACTCTGAGGACAAGGTTCCTCACTCTGAGAACAAGGTTCCTCACTCTGAGGACAAGATTCCTCACACTGAGGGCAAGGTTCCTCACACTGAGGACAAGGTTCCTCACTGTGAGAACTAGGTTCCTCACTCTGAGGACAAGGTTCCTCACTCTGAGGACAAGTTTCCTCACACTGAGAACAAGGTTCCTCACTCTGAGGATAAGGTTCCTCGCTCTGGGGACAAGGTTACTCACTCTGAGGACAAAGTTCCTCACTCTGAGGGTATGGTTCCTCACTCTGAGGACAAGGTTCCTCACTCTGAGGACAAGGTTTCTCACTCTGAAGGCAGGTTCCTAATTCTGAGGACAAGGTTCCTGACATTCTGAGGACAGGGTTCCTCACTGTACGGGCAAGGTGCCTCACTCTGAGGACAAGGTTGCTCACTCTGAGGACAAGGTTCCTCACTCTGAGGAGAAGGTTCCTCACTCTGACATCAGGTTTCTCACACTGAGGACAAGGTTCCTCACTCTGAGAAAAAGGTTCTTCAATCGGAGGACATAGTTACTGACACTGAGGACAAGGTTCGTCACTCTGAGAACAAGGTTGCTCACTTTGAGGACATGGTTTCTCACCCTGAGGACAAGGTTCCTCACTCTCCGGACATGGTATCGCACACTGAGGACAAGGTTCCTCACACTGAGAACAAGGTTCCTCACTCTGAGAACAAGGTTCCTCACTCTGAGGGAAGTTTCCTCCCTCTGAGGACAAGGTTCCTCACTCTGAGGACAAGGTTCCTCACTCTGAGAACAAGGTTCATCACTCTGAAGGCGGGATCCTCACACTGAGGACAAGGTTCCTCACTCTGAGGACAAGGTAGCTCACTCTGAGGACAAGGTTCCTCACTCTGAGGACAAGTTACCTCACAAAGAGGACAAGGTTCCTCACTCTGAGGACAATGTTCTTCACTCTGAAGAAAGGTTCCTCACCCTGAAGACAAGGTTCCTCACGCTGAGGACAAAGTTCCTCACTCTGAACGCAGGTTCCTCACTCTGAGGACAAGGTTCTTCACTCTGAGGACATGGTTCCTCACACTGAGGACAAGGTTCCTCACTCTGAGGACAAGGTTCCTGACTCTGAGGACAAGGTTCCACACTCTGAAGGTAGGATCCTCACACTGAGGACAAGGTTCCTCACTCTGAGGACAAGGTTCCTTACTCCAAGGAGAAGGTTCCTCACTCTGAGGACAAGGTTCCCCTCTCTGAGAACAAGGTTCCTCACTCTTAGGACAAAGTTCCTCACTCTGAGGACAATGTTCCTCACTCTGAGGACAAGATTCATCACTCTGAGGACAAGGTTCCTCACTCTGACATCAGGTTCCTCAGAATGAGGACAAGGTTCCTCACTCTGAAGGAAGGTTCCTCACTCTGAAGACAAGTTTCCTCACTCTGAAGACAAGTTTCCTCACTCTGGGGACAAGGTTCCTCACTCTGAAGACAAGTTTTCTCACTCTGAAAACAAGTTTCCTCACACTGAGGACAAGGTTCCCCACTCTGAGGACAAGGTTCCTCACTCTGAGGACAAGGTTCCTCACTCTGAGGACAATGTTCCCCTCTCTGAGAACAAGGTTCCTCACTCTTAGGACAAAGTTCCTCACTCTGAGGACAATGTTCCTCACTCTGAGGACAATGTTCATCACTCTGAGGACAAGGTTCCTCACTCTGACATCAGGTTCCTCAGAATGAGGACAAGGTTCCTCACTCTGAAGGAATGTTCCTCACTCTGAAGACAAGTTTCCTCACTCTGAAGACAAGTTTCCTCACTCTGAGGACAAGGTTCCTCACTCTGAAGGCAGGTTCCTCACTCTGAGGACAAGGTTCTTCACTCTGAGGACATGGTTCCTCACACTGAGGACAAGGTTCCTCACTCTGAGGACAAGGTTCCTCACCCTGTGGGCAAGGTTGCTCACTCTGGGGACAAGGTTTCTCACTCTGAGGACAAGGTTCCTCACTCTGAGGACAAGGTTCCTCACTCTGAGGACAAAGTTCCTCCAACTGAGGAGAAGGTTCCTCACTCTGACGACAAGGTTCCTCACTCTGAGGACAAGGTTCCTCACTCTTACGACAAATGAAGTGGCATTGACTGAACTGCATTACTCACATACGTGGATCACCCTAAAACGTGGAGTGCAACAAACGTTTTTTATATAAAATTGGCAGCAGCCCTTATCAAACTGTCGTGCTTAAAGAAACACAATATTCTTCTATTGAGCAACTAACAAAAGCACTCAATGCCGGCATGTCGAAAGAAACACAAACGAAAGTGAAGTTTAGTTATAATCGCAGTTCTCGCAAAGTTTCGGTTGATGTAAAGCAGCACACAACTGTGTGGTTTACCGCAGAATTAGCAACCGTCTTGGGATTTGACCGGACACGTTTATTGAAAAGAAAACGTCGAGTCCCTATCCTGCAGATATCAATGGTGAATTTTCCTCCATGTATGTCTGTACTGATATCGTTGATGGACAGTTTGTCGGCGATGTGAAAGTACCTTTACTACGAATCGTTAATATCGAAGGGGAATATGGAAACACCGTTCACGCCAGTTTTCGTAATTTGCAATACGTACCGGTTAAAGTAAATTCTTTTGAGACCATTGAAGTGAATATAAAGAATGACCAAAACGAAAACGTCTCATTTGAGTTCGGCAAGTCAATCGCAACACTTCACTTTAGACAGAAGAGATGTCAGTACTTTATCTAAAAATGCGTGGAAGACTAGTTGTGGATGCTAAACTATTGAAAGACCATTTCTTGAGACAACAGCGTGGTGGGAATATCGCTGGGTTTGTGGTGCACGTATGCAAAGGGGATATGGTATCGGAAGTATTTTCAAGAGCCTTGCGAGGTATGCTATCCCTCTGTTCAAACAAGGCGCTAAAGTTGTTGGAAAAAGAGCATTGCAAGCAGCCACAGAAGTCGGTCAAGATGTACTCCAAGGAAAAAATGTAAAAGAAGCTTTTAAATCACGGGGAAAACAAGCAGCATCTGATGTTGCAAAAAACGCTGCCTAGAAAGTAATGACCGGAAAGGGTCGCAAAAAGGGAATAAAAAGAGCAGCGCCAGCTAAAACGCCCATTCTTGGTCCAAAAAAGAAGCAGAAAACATCTCTCGATAACTATAGTCCAAAGTGGCATGGCTCTTGAAACAATGCATAAAGACTCCTGTATGTGTTCAAAATCTGAACTCGATTTATTTTCTATTCCACCGACTCAAGTGGTAATAGAAAAGGGGTTTTGGGAAGCCGTTGATCCTATTACGAGTATATCTTCTTCAGATACGATAGAATTTTTATGTGCTGCAAATTCTGGTGTTTATACCGACTTAGCAAGCAGTTGCCTATACGTTAAAGCAAAGATCACTACTGCGGCCGGAGGAAATGTGGATGCCGACATTCAAGTTTGACCTTCAAACCTTTGGATGCATGCATTATTCTCACAACTTGAAGTATTTCTGAACAACAAACTGGTCATCCCATCAAGCACAGCATACCCTTACCGAGCGTATATCGAAACGATCCTGAACTTTAGTAAAGACGCCAAAGATTCACATTTGACCTCAGCACTGTTCTATAAAGATAAAGCTGGAAAGATGGATGTAGTAAACCCTCTCGCACAAGACGCCAACGTACGTCAACACGGGATTAAAACAACGCCATGCATATACACGTGAACGCAAATCTGTCGCCATGGAAGGAAGACTTCATTCTGATCTATTCGCGCAAGAGCGTTATATTCTTGGTGCTGTTCCAATCAAGATCAAGCTGGTGAGATCCAGAGACCCGTTTTGTTTGGTATCATCCGCAGAAAATCCCAATTTCAAAGTGGTCATCGAGCAGGGCCGCCCAGAGGCTGACCAGGCCCGGGGCAAAATTTTTTTTAGGGGCCCTATCTAAAAAAATTTTCCCGGAAAAATTTTTTCCGGACAACAACTTCCCCCCCCCGTCGCCAAAAAATTTTCCGTCAGTGTACCATTTTAGGGGTAAAAAATTTTTTCCGGAGTACAAAATTTTTCCGGACGAGTACGTTGCAATTGCTTTCGAGGGACTTTATCTCATTTTTTTATGCCAAAATTCGGTACTTAGCCCAAGAAAACAGATATCTTGTCCTTTGCGCGGAAATATTTAACAGGGGCTGGGGCCCCCAGCAACTCGGGACCCGGGGCAATTTGCCCCCTTTGCCACCCCCCCCTCTGGGCGGCCCTGTCATCGAGGAATGTTTGTTACGTGTACGACGAGTTAACGTAGCCCCAGGTATTATACTGGCTCATTCCCAGTCCCTTAAACAAATCACTGCCAAATACCCAATCAACAGGATCGACTGCAAGGTTGTCTCCGTACCTCGGGGGAATATGTCTGGAAATCAACCTAATATATTTCAAGGTGGTTTACCAAATCGTATCGTGATTGGAATGGTCGACGCGGATGTCTTTAACGGTACATATACGAAGAATCCGTTCAATTTTAAAAATTATGATATCACAACCATGGGTCTCACTGTCAACGGAGAGAACTTACCTGGAAAACCACTACAGTTGAAATTTGGAGCAGACAGTAATTACATTTCTGCTTTTCAAACGCTGTACGCCGGCGCACACAAGATTTTTGATAATCAGGGTAATGGTATAACATGTGAAGAATATGCAAACGGTTATACACTGTTTGTGTTTGACCTCACTCCTGACTTATGCCTTGGTGATCATGTACAACCGATTAAGAACGGAAATGTGTCAATTGAATGTCGATTTGGAACACCGTTGGAGACAGCTATAAATATCGTGGTACTTGGTGAATTTCAAAGTCTTATCGAAATTGATGCGAACCGGAACGTACTGTGTGATTTCAACAACTGAAGATGAACTCGCTGCAGATTATGAACATTCTCAAGAATGATCCATTTACAAAAACGGTGTTTACGGACGTTTTACTATCAGATCGTTTACCTCGCGAAATAAGAACGAGGCCTAGAGGGTATATACTTAACACGGACGCATCCGATATGCCTGGATCACACTGGATTGCAATGTACCTTACAGAAGATGGCAAAGGGGAATTTTGGGATTCGTATGGTCATGCAGGCTCCTGGATTTTATAATCAGAACTTTACTCAATTTTTGGACAAACATTGCGGTACATTTACATGGAACAGAAGAATTTTGCAAGCCCCTTCATCAGACGTGTACGGACAATATACATTATTCTTTGCTTTACAACGATGTAGACATATTCCAATGTCAACCATTGCAAATATGTTTACGGATAGCAAAGAATGGAATGATGAGCTTGTGCGTGATTTTATAGACAAGTGGTACAAACACTAGATTTAGTTTTAAATAGATTTATTGTAAAATTTTCTCTTACAAGAAATAAATTATTTTAACCATTTATATGGACTACTAATATTGTTTCTGCGTTTTTTCCTCTTTTCTTGCTGCACTCGAGGGGTGGTGGGTAGATTTTCCGGGATACCTTTGGTTTTATATTCGCGAACAATTCCAAGACGGTTTTCGTTTCTCACAATACCTTCGGGTACATTCAAATGTCCGAGAACTTTTGAAAACAATTCCCAGCCGTCGGGGTTGAAATTCTTCCTTTGACGTAGAGAATCATTCTCTAAATCAACTATATTTGTGCTAGGAACCGATCTTCCTTTGAACACCATCTGGCCTTGTTCATTCCAACCAATAAGATCCTTATTTGACTTGAGTTATTTTATGAGTTGTCGAGATCTTGACTTCATAGTAGCTGGTACACTATCCATGATATCTGTTTCAATCTCGTCTGAGGGTTCCGGCTCTTCACTCGGCTGTTCTTCTTGAGGTTCTTCAAGTTTATCGGTGTGCGTCACGTTTACTCGAAGAGGTTTATTCATTCGTTTATCATAAAAGGTTAAATAGCGTTGCAGATTCTGGTCGTATAACTTTGCCTTTTCATCGATTGGTATATCTTGTCGTCGAATAATATCTTGCATGTCCGAGTCTATTTCGTTGACCTGTGTCGCCAAAGGCGCCGCGAGAGGTTTCTTGCGCTGTTCAGCCATATGTTCAGGAACAAGTACTAATCGCTTGACGTGCTCCATTATAAAAAGTTAGCCAACTGTTCCAAAACTGAAGTGAGTAGAAACGGTAGCAAAAACCCTCCCCTTTTTGGACTAGACGGGTTCTTCTTTTTACGATAGGATTTCGTTTGTCAGCCGCAAACTTTATATGCTTGGAATGTGGTGCAAGTTTTTAGCTTTTTTCGGTTTCAGTTTAATCGTGTCAAACCAAACGTTTAATAGACACTGTCTTATAGCTTCAAACACATCGTCTTCAGCCGCTTTCAAAATAGCTTTTCTCAGTTCAGGTTTACACTTGGCCAATACTTTCAGAAGTTCGGAGTTCCTCTTCATACAAGCAGACATGATCAAATGACCATTTTACACACGTTCCCACATTCTTATACTCTGGGTTGATAGACATAATGCGTATCTGTTGGAACGATCCCGGATCGAATCCGTATCTCGTCAGGACACGTAGACACAAATAGATACGAATAGGGATCTTTGGTTGCCAGCTGATAGGTTGCTGAAAAAATTTGGTGTTACTGGGGTACAGTTGTTTAGCGAGATGAATAATTTGACTTGCCTCTCGCACGTTTTTCGTTAAACATAAATAACTTGCATTGAGAGAAATTGTACGGTGTTTTTTGCTATGATGAAATAAATTTTGTACAATGTAGATCACCCTCAGGTTACCATGATGTGATTTTTTCGTGAATAATTTTGAAATAACTCCATCCTTCTCACCCATGAAATCATCAATGACATATAAATTGCGTGTTTCTGGATTAATACTATCCAGTATATCATCAGGTAAGCCTTTTACAAATTTTATTCCAGGCACTAAATTTTGAATTTCTCCAAACGTATCTTGGTACTCGGCATAAAAATACATAATGTTTTCTGGAAGTTTGTCTATCATGACATTAACACAACTCAAAAGTTTTTTCACAAATGTAGTTTTGCCTGACTTTGTGCTCCCAGACACGAGAAGGCCAAACGGGTGTGTTAACTGTATGGAGTACATGTTGAAAATGAAATCATATATTTTGCTCGTCACCATTTATATCATGCGTCCAATGAGTCTACAGGGTGTATAAAAAAAGCGCAATCTTCGACTGAAATGTAAATTGCTAAACAAGCGTCCGCTTGGACGCAGTCGTCGTAACATAATCGGAAAAACGAACTAATATTTGCATCATACTCGTAGTTTGTCGTGAGAATACAGATCAGTGTCAGTGTGTCACTGATCGGAGAAGCAAAGAATAAAAAGTTTAATCTGAAATCGACTAATCGAGTTTCATTGAACCTAAGCGTTACACTTAGTATAACCATTTTATAATGTTACACGTTATACTACAGTAAGCCTAGTGCTTTCACAATGCAATCACACGTACTTGAGTGGCGATTGAAGCGTATATGACTGTATATTGGAGCGCAAAATAGAAATAAACTATATATAAATATAATGTAGACACATATACTAAACTCAGTGAGATCACGACTACAACGAGTATATATCTCGCAACACATTCATTTGCTACTCAAATTCTGACTTACCTCGTAGAAGATTGCCGATTAGTTGATATGCAATTCTGTATTTGAATAATGTTATGTCGACTTCGTAACTCGTCAGTATATTAAAACGAATATGCTCATTTACAATATATTTATAGTGCTTTTGACTTTTCATATAAAGTACCATTACTACGAGCCACTATATAACTTTATTTACAGCAACAAATTTGTGTTGTTTTTCCAAAGCAGCAAATGCACATGGTGAGATGTCATATAAATAGATAATTACCATATAATTTCTGGATAAATGACTTCTCTTAATCCCTTAATGGAATACCTTTACATGTCCAGGAAACAGTCTTTGTGTTTCAACACGGTTCAATGACTGTGACTCATCGCTTGATTTTCAAAGTTGCAGTATAATTCGCTAAAGCTGAAGTGAAGAGCTCAGACTAATATCACTCGATTCGTATTACTATCAGACTAATAAAATGAGGTATCGATCGCTTACTTGTCAACGTATTTTGGGTTTCAAATCTTCGAAGAAGATATAAAACCATACGTGCATTTTGCCAACCGGCAACGTTATAGTAGGGTCAAAGTCTTACATCCCGTGACCAACCTCCGGCTAGTAAAGTTTTATGATTTATTTTCATTATTTAGGGTATTTATGACAAAATAAGCTTCCATGCCGGTCTTCAAAATCTGGGCAACAATCTGCAGAGCGAAAAATTAAAAAATAGGGACCAGCGGCCATTTTGAATAAATAATGTTTTTAGTAAATGGTATCGGTCTTGTCAAAAATACTTATTTGTGCGCTTTGCAATAAAATTTCGTCATAAAACAAACATTAGGAGCCTATTTAATAAAAACCCCGAAGTAAATAGCCAAATTTCGCCAAGAAAACGTGTTTCATTTTTAACCTAACTATATTTATATTACATGACGTACATGCCATATTAATTGAGGAAGACATATTAATTTTGCATGGTTATGGAAATATGACGGGATAATTTGCAAATTTAACATGTAATGTGTTGTTTCCATCTGTTTTCTTTATTTTTTTCTTGAAAACTGTAAAATATGACTTCTAAAACACAGTTTTCTTGTCTTCTTCAATGCCAAAAACCGTGTGATGCATCAAATGCAATCGACAACTTAGGTAAAGAAGCATGGGAAAAACTCAAACTCATAGCCTTTAACTGGAAAGGTCTTGAAATGTTCGAAAATGTGTATGACACTGTGAATTGGCAAACGGGGCCCAGTGGTAAACATGTGCATGGTAATTGTCGTTTTGACATATCTAGCTCAGATAAATTGAATAGAGCAAAGATCAGGCAACAAAAACGTGAAAGAGACTCAGCTTCTCATGAATGCCCAGATGATCACGGCTTGGCAGGACCTGCACCAAAATGTCTCTGATCGAGCGTGGGTATCGTACATGACAAAAATCTCTGTGTGTGGTGTATGAAACTTGAAGACACCAAGCATCCTGAGCGCACGGGAAAATGGCTTCTTATTTCGTACATACCGGCATGGAATGTCTTTAAAAGCCACACCGTAGTTCTTCAGGATGATGCCACGAGAGACAGGATCAACCGCCTTATCGATTCAATAACTGACCCCTTTTCAACTGAGATCAGATACCATCATAAGTGTTGGCTTAAGTACATTGGCGCCTATCAAAAGATTCCTGTTGAACAACACCATGAACGTGCTCAGAAGAATCAGAGTGAGGTTGTCTACGATACGGCAGGTGGCGCTTCATACATTGAGTCCACTATCTGCTCACTTGGAATAAGCAATGAACAACTAGTAGAGAACGTGGCTAGTAGACTGAGGAAGGAAGTCAAACAAACAACAACAATTTCCTGGCCACCACAAGTTGTTGAGCTCGAGCAGGAGGAAAATCTCCCACCTCTTCTTGTTCAACTTATCTCATCACTCAAAAAACCTGGTCAGGTTGAGCAAGATGCCAAAGTCCGAGCTCTAGCTTCAATGATCACCTACTATGTCACTGGGAGTCCAACAACTACTGCAGTAAACCTGAGTATGAATTTGCACGGTCTTACTCGTAGTCAGGAGTTAGTTGACACATTCCACAAATGTGGTGTTGGCATTAATTACTCGTCAGTTCTTCTGTTGCGTGACGCATGGGCGGTGCATGGCATCCAGCTCTGCAGTGAGTGCCCCAACGAGATTGCGGAAAAAACACCTGGAGTCATAGTCGTCGACAACGATGATTTTCAAAATGAGACATTGACTGGTGGTGATACATCACATCGTACTAACGTAATGTATGTTAGCCGGTCTCTCTTGAAAATCGTGATATTCAGTCTGGTGAACGTGTCAAAAATGCTAAAACCCTTTCGTCACGCCTAAAGAATATCGCAACGGGCATGAACACACACGATCGTTACGTTACCTACAAGCGAGGAGAGCCGACAGTCAGTGTTAGAGTAGAGCCTAAAGTTGGGAGTACAGTTCCTCAAAGAAAACGGTGTGTTATTCACACACTCGTCCGTGCTAATGCTGCTGGTGAGCGGCCTCCTACCGTTGATCAAATGGTACCTGGTTTTGCTGGCTTCCAAGCATTGATCTCAACCTCCGTAGAAAAGAGCAAACCTTACTACTTCATGATATACCCAGATCCTCGGAAAAAGGCGGTTCTTAACGATGTTCTGGTAAAGGCTAATAAAGCAATTCAAAGAAAGAACATGCCATTTGCTGTAGTCGTTGGAGATCAACCGGTGTACACACTGCTCGTTGAGATCAAGAGTGAACATCCAGAGAAATTCGAGAAAATCATTCCATTCCTTGGTCCCTTCCATATTCAAGGTTCTATGATCTATGCTATATATAAGCGTCATAAAGGAAGTGAGATAGCCGATGTTTTAGTTGCTGCTGGTGTCATTGCTGAAGGTTCTGTTGATCAAGCTTTGAGAGGGAAGCATTATAAGCGAGCTCTGCGTTGCCTAATGCTAATGTACGAGTCATTTATGCATCTCCTTCTAAATCAGTTCCACGAGGAATCGCAGCTTGAGGCTTCCACGATGACTAGACTTGCTATACTCCGTGATCCAAAGGCAAACTCTCAGGACTCCCTCGCTACTGCTCAAAAGGAACTTGAGAATGATCCAGCCGTAGATACTCTTATAAACAACATGTTTGATAAGATTGAGAAGACAGACATGGCTTGCTACTGGCTTGACTTTATGACAATGGTCGAGATTTTGATGATGAATGTGTATGCCATTCACACGTGCAACTGGGACGAATTCCTCACCTTTCTGCGAGAGATGATGCCTTGGATGGTGATCTACGATCAGACACACTACGGCCGCTGGCTACCACATTTTTGGGCTATGCTTTCGTCACTATCTCCGGATCAAACGCAGTTCTTCAGTTCAAACTTCGCCCAGTCTATTACAGGTAATCCATTTTCATGCATCCCTTGGGACATGTGGATCGAGATGACCATGAACAAGGGCTTGAAGTTAAAGGCTGGTTGGCTGTCAATCCTCCGTAATGAGAAGCAGCTGATGACTGACATCAGAAATGCCAACAATCTTGGTCGAGTTCGCACCGCTGTTCACAATCAAATCAACAGAAAGCAAATATCACGAACACATTCTGAGTTTGCTCCCACAAGGATGTGCAAGGACGAACAAGCTGTCCAGGATCTCATTGCATGCATCAAGGAGTTTGATTGCTTCCCTTTTGACGTGTCATCACCAAATCTACGAACCTTGCAATCAGCAATTCCCGCTCCAACTGAGATGATCCGTGATTTCCAGACAGCCAAACAAGATGGTGAAACAAAGTTGAAAGAATTCATGGACGAGTGTGTTTATTCGAAGGAAAAGTCTCTGTATGATCGTATCAAGCGTCACTCTCGTCTCACTTTCGCTAAAGCACCAACGACCAAAACTGGCGAAGTCCTTAAAGTTAAACAGGGAGAAATGGAAAACAGAGCTTTGGCGTCTGTAGTTAATCTTGTTGATGTCAGCGGCTTGATGATGCTTTCTGATGTAATGAAATACCGCATAACTGAGGAGTGTCTCACGCTATTCAATGTTAATGGTACCTTCAGGAAGACACAGAAGAGCAAGATACTCCAGAAACTGACACAAGAGCCAATTGATGTCTCATCTTACACCGCGCTGGTTGACATGGGGATGATCTGGCGTCTTGCATCTCCCACTATGGAGGACCGAGAAAAGAATGATGGGTCTACTTATACCTGGGGTAACTACACCGACAAAGTTACCAGCATGCTACTTGCACGCCATGTGGACGCTACTACCATTATCTGCATTAACGACCCATATGATCACGTTGAATCCATCAAAGATGACGAGCGTGAGTCGCGTATCCAGGGGCAAGGTCATATTCCCAATGTGTATATGAAATCAACTGACAAGTTTCCATCAGCCCGAGATTTTAAGACCTTTCTCTGCAGTTCCGGGAATAAGAGACGCCTGCAGGCACTTATTAAGTCTCAACTATCTAAAGTTGTCCAGTCAACAATCAAGTCCTGCTCTATTCAGTTGGCGTAGAATGTGTAAATCTCTCATCTGGTAGTATTCAACAAGACCTTGCCTTCGATCAGTGCGAGGCTGACACCATCATACTGTCATTTTACACAGCTCTGAGGGCGTCTGGTTACAATGACCCTGTGATCATAGATGCAGCGGACACAGATGTCTACATACAAGCAGCTGCCATTTCGCATGATGTTCCTGGTATAATCTGCATCAAGAAAAAGAAGGAATTGCTTTTCTGCAGAGGCATGTGTGCTGACGAGGACATCGCTAAATGTCTTATCCAATTCCATGTCATGACTGGCTGTGATGCAAATAGCTGCTTTTATGGTCATGGTAAATCGACCCTCTATGACAAAATGGTAAAGAGTGTTGAGTGCCGCAGACTTCTTTCAAGCTGTGAGGAGAGCCTTCCTTTAAAAGAAGATGTTCTAAATGACCTCGTATCTTATGTCACACGGTTTGTATACGGTGATGTACATAGTTCTTCTCTGGATATTGCCAGAGCAGCTAAGTGGAAAGGGCAAAAGAACAAATCCTTGATGCGTCTTCCACCTGACTCGGACAGTCTGAAGCAGCACATTCTCCGAGCTAATTACTTGGCCTACATCCAACGTCATCCTGAACTAAGAACACATCCCTCACCTGTTGGTCACGGTTGGGAACTCATCAATGGGTGTTGTAAACCAGTGAGACACACGCAACCTCCGCTTCCTCTTACCTTATCCAACACTTTACCTCCACATGACTCAGATATTGATTCTGAGTTTTCCGACGTGATAGACTCTGATTTGGACACCTCATCAGATGAAGAGGACTGAGTTGACTGATTGTTTGCAAAGCTCATGTATCTTTTTGTAAAACGATCTGGCATATAAACATTAAATTTTGTTACCGATTCTTTGTTTTCGTATGTTTGAATTGAGAATAGCTGCAGAAAGTAATTTCTTTCCCACGAATTATGTTATTCTATTATTAGTACAATAAGTATTTTTGATGACATCATGCCCTTTGTTAAAAATATCATTTATATAATCACGTTTTCTCGGGTTTTGCATTAAATTGGCTCCTGATGCCTGTTAAACGTACTTTGATTTAAAAGTACAGAAATAAGTATTTTTGACAAGACTATGACATTTGCTAAAAAATAATTTATTCAAAATGGCCGCCAGTTCTAATATTTAATTTTTTTGCTCTGCAGACTTTTGCCCAGATTTTGAAGACCGGCATGGAAGCTTATTTTGTCATAAATACCCTAAATAATGAAAATAAATCATAAAACTTTACTAGCCGAAGGTTGGTCACGGGACGTAAGGCTTTGACCCTACTATCATGCAAGAAAAAACATACCAAATTTTTTTTAATAATATTTTTAATAAAACAAGAATACCTAAAAAAGCAGGACTTTATTAAAGAAAATGGGATCTGGGCATATTCAAAATATTGTTTGCTCTTTTATAATTAATACCTATAAAGGTTGCCATGCAGTAGTTCTTCATTCGAACTTCAATCCCCAAATCCATTTATACCTGCATGCTGTGCATTCTGATTCAACAACAACTATAAACTATATATTATTTATATGAATTATTTTATATTGTTTGTTTTACATTTACTCATCATCACTGCTAACATCACAGCTATCATCAGCATAATAGTTTTCATCAGAAAAATAATCAACATCATCATCCTTGTCATTTTCGTCTTCTTCGACAACTTCATTGTTGCCCTCCTCCTCTGGGAAATGTTTAACATACTCCTGAATACTGGAAACAGCTTCATTAGTTATCAGGCCTTTCTGATAGATTATTTTCAGATATTTTATTTGACAGGCAGATACACTCGCCAGGGCTTCAACATTTGGCTATCAATTACTTCTAAAGTAGCTGTATTTGAAATGAGTTGACGGACTTTTTCCACATTTTCGCTCTCTCTCATAGCTTTGTGCTTTTTCGCTATTCTTCTGTTTTGCTTTTCTGACCTTTCTTGTTTTTTCTGTTTGGTGGTTGCGACTGTCTGAATATATCAGTGCATTTTTCTAGTTCACCACTAAGCTTAACCTCAATTTCGGTGAGTTTGTCATTAATGTTTCGAACTTTCCCAATGGTTTGTTCATCGAATTCCTTCGCACAATTATGGCCAGACAAAATTTTACCAGATTCAGCAAACAGTCCAAAAAAATGTTTCTTCGCCATTTCTTCCTCCTTTTGGTTGCATTCTCTTGTACTTTTTATCACTGCCAGATTGTTTTTCAGGACAATCTGATCGGAGGGAGAGAGGATGTAATGTTCGTCAAAATACTTTCCTGCTGCAGCTGGATTCTCTGGCTTTAGAATAGCAAATATAAATTAGTTTGTGTCCCATTGGCGCCTTCCTTCAGCATGAAAGGCAGAAACAAACTCACATGAACTTCTTGAAAGTTTGAACATTGACTGGTAGAATAATGGCAGAAGCACATTCATAAACATGGCTCCTGGAGTGGTGGCATTTGGAATCCATCCAAACTTTTTATCTTGCCATGGGTTTTTTTAACCAGGCCGATGAAAAGTGATTTGCCCTAACTGAATTTCAGAACTCTTCGACAATGTTGGCTCTATGATCTGCTTTTCCTTTGTCTTTTCATTCGTATGAACCAGTTCTTCTTTTTTCCGAAAGTATCGTTTCATCTCGACTTTGGAGAGACCTGTTTTCAATTATAAAATGTATATAAATATTATGGATGTAGCTACTAGTAACCTGTCAATGTTTAGCCCCAGGGCAGGGGGCCAAGCAACCCAGGGAGATTTGACTATTGCACTTCTCCGGAGTTGTCCCATGGGTGGGGAATTTGACATTGAGAATCATGACATGGGTGGGCCAATGTGACATTTTAAAACAAACATTGACACAGTATCTTGTCCCTAGGGTAGGATATTTGACAAAGTGTCATTCAAAAATGTAAAATTCCCCGAGTTTGCCTAGGGCTTAGAATAAACATTGATAGGTGCATTACTGGTATGCTACACCGAACTAAGAAATACATTTGACTGAAAAACGTATACATGTGCAGATATTTTAATTAAAATGTCAGAATTGAATCATTCATATGTCAGGGCATATATGTCAGAATAGAAATCATACCAAACTCCTTTAAGTCTTCCTCCTCTGTAGATCTTGAAGGTGTTCTACTTTAGTAATTCCAGCTCCCACGAATTTTTCTTTTCTCACTCAGCTGCAAAAATTCTGAAAAACTTGAATATTCATGATCTGTATATGCCATTGTATATTCATGTCCATCTGTTTTGGCTGCCATGTTGTTTAAGGGTGTTACCGCTGATTAGCTTGTTAGTGGGCACATGTAAAAAAAAGATGGCCGCCGAATTTGAAGAAAGTAGTTTCGAAACAACAGCTGACGTTGCAGACGAAAATGCCGAGAAACTCCAGAGCAAAGATTGTCAGGAAAGCAGAAATAGTCAAACTTTTTCTTCCAAATGGAGTGAAACTTGAAAGAAATTTGCGGCTGAGGGAAAATATTTGCAGAAATCACTCCAAATTTGTAAAGTTGCAAACAACCTTGCAAAGCTTGAAGGATTGCTAAAGGTAACAAAAAGTACATCAAAGGCAAAAATTATATACAAGGGCTTTTGTATGTTTTGAGGCAGCTCTTGGTTAAAAAAACGGGAGGTGAAAAAGTCATAGGCTTTCTTACATTTCATGATGCATACGATTTATATTGTGTATTCATGGATACCATACCAGAGGAAGCAAATTTTCGTGATCACCTGCTGGACGAAGATCATGGGCTATGTGTTTACATTGCCACCATTTGTAAGACACGCTTTGTTATACTGCAGAACGAAATCACCGATACTGGGCAGTTTTTTCTTGAACTTGAGCATATTCAAGATGAAGCAGAAAGAGATGTTTCTGTTCGATATTTCTTGGATGAAAAATCTTTGTCAAAAATTATATCATCTATGGATACAGAATACGATCGCATGGCTCTTAAAGAAGTGATATTTGCAGTACACTCTAGGACTGAAACTTACAACCTTGGTATCAAACCAGACAGGGCCGTAACATTCCTTTCTAAAGTACTTTTTGCATGCGAGGAAAGTGAGAAGACATTACAAGAAGCAGCAGACGTTCTTCAAGTCAGAACATGTGATAGAATTAAGAAACTGGAAAACAAAGTTCAAAGTATTGATCAAAAAATTGAAAAACAAGAGCATTTTCTCTCAGAAAAGAGGAGGACTGATCTTGAAGGAGAAAAAGATGCACTCAATGAACGGTTGGATAATCTAAAAACACTAAGAATGAATGATGAAAGAGCGGGCAGAAGAGTGAAACAAGCAAGGAAACGAATTGCCAATCAGCTTTTGAATTCACGTGGAATTAAAAGACGAAAACTTGGCGCAGGTCTGCCCTCCTTACTGGACGAAGAAGATGAAGAATTTATTGCAAAGGCAATTGAAAGTAAAAGTACATGCCATGGACGGCGTCATGAAACAACACTCTTCACACACCACAGAGTGAAAAAGAGGCACTTTCTTTCACTTGCGCACCACTCTTTATTAAAAAGAGGCAAGAAACTAATCACATCTGCTACAACAGTGACTAATAGAGGGAAACCAAGAAATATTAAATCAGTGGCTGCAAAGGCTCATCATGGAAAGTGACTATGGTGTGCAAAAAAGCCTCGCAAGACTGAAGAAAGTGAGACTGTGTCAACACATCATCAGCGCACACATATCCGAAATGCAAAGTTCAGCATGTTTGCTAAGGAGCAAGAGAAACATAGTGTTGTAATAAGTATGGATGACAAAGCATACCTATGACCTGGTACTGATGTTGGTGCAAGGGATACAAAAGCTGGTGTTGTGTATGATGTTGCTGATCCTAATAAAAGACGAAAACTACCCCAGCATGATTTCAATCAACCACAAGTGAATCAAACACCAGTATCATTCCGTTTCATTAAAGGACATGTAGAGGAAATTGAAGGCAAGAACAATTTGATAAATGACAAAGACCAGACTGTTGTAATTATTCGACCAAAGTACTACATTGGTAGGTCTGGTAGTGTCTGGGCCTCAGATTATCTCACATTATGCCACAAACATCCATCACTATTTCAAGAGTCTGGATTGAATCCATGCAGCAATGAGTTAAACAAATATGTCTGTCATATTCATGATATCATGTTCTATTTTGTGGATCTCACAATGATGGAAGACGTGCAAAATGCAACCACAAAACCTCACTGTCAGCATAGGCAATATGAAGAAGAAAAGTTACATTGGCTGGTGCAACAAAGTCAAGATGCAGTCCTTGAGAAGGAAGGAATTCTACTAGATTCTGAAAGAGAAATTGCAAATGAACTTGAAAACGATATTCATGGAATTCAAGACAAAGCACAGTTTTGTAAACAGAATTGCTGTGAATTGATCAGAAAGAAAGAACTTTGGGAGAAACTGTTCAGAGAAACTGTTCAGAGATCCTTCTTCAAATTGAAATGTTGCAGCTTCCACCAATGTGTTGTGATGTGCTCAAAGCCACTGATGCAGGACCAGGAGTTGGAGTGTCAAATATAGAAGTCCGCTTCAGAGATGTTGAAACAGCAAGAATGCACTCCTCAGATCGTGTAAATCGTATTCACCGGGCCCCTGGAGACTCTGGACAGAACAAAGCCGAGAGATCAAATGCAGCAATCGGAGATGCTTTGGTGGATGGAGGGTCACTAAAATGGCAGTATTATGGGCCTTTTGATGGCCTTGCTGAAGACGAAATTGATAAACTTTCAATTTCAGAAGTCAAGAAAAGGGAGGAGGAATGCATGGAGAAAAATGCCTGGAGAGTATCTGACGAAATTAAGCAAGTCATCGATGATGAACCAGGTCCTGCTGGCGATTTCATGAAATGCTCTGTCACCACTAGTAAAGAAATGCAGTTCCTTTTCCATTCAGCATACCTGATGAAATATTCCACTGCCAAGTCAGAAGTGAGGAGGAAATCAATCCCTGGAAATACCTACTTCAGCAAAATCAATGCTTTCATGGTTGCTCATTGTGACATTGGTGAAATGTATTTTGAGTATTTGAAAGGGTCTTGTGAAGCGAAAAGCGGCAAAAGATGCAATTATTGCATTTCTCATGACTTTTGCTGCTCTTCCATTACTCGTGCCGCAAGGCCTTATCCTAATTTGAAAATTTCTGGCTTCCATTACCTCGCTGCAAAAGATGCCCCTACTGCTGAAAGAAGTGTTGATGACTATCATCCAAGGGTGCAGTTGAAAAAGACCTTTGCTCAAAACAAAGATTACTTTGATGAGCCAAACCATATTGAACAATTTTCAAAGAAATTTGTGGTAGCAGAAGCAGCTGTTCGGAAATATGTGGATCATATGAAGCTTTTGGAGTTAAAGCATTAAAAGAGAATGCGGGAAAAACTGACGCTGAGGCAAAAAAGAGCTACAGTGACTATGATTGGAGCAAAATGTTTCACGATGGTTGCCTTGCAAAGCTAAAAGTTACTGTGCTAGACAAATACCTAAATTATCATAATATCGGATGATTTCCCAATAAAAAAGCAAAGCTGGAGGCTATCAACCTACATTTAGCTCAGCAAGTGTATGAGCATGTGGATGAAGATGACCAAGACAATTAGAGTGAAGATCTGACAGATGAAAGTGACTCAGATGAAGAACATATTCTCGAAGAGATTGGGTTATCAGGTTCTGATGATGATTATGATAATGTTGAGGGTGGTGATATCCTAGAAGGTCCACAAACATCACACATTTACACTAAATCGGGGAGGAGGGCAACACGATTTAAATTATAAGGTACGAACCATAAAAATTGGGGGGGGGGGTCAGGCAAAAATGTGCATCGCTTTGGGGGAGGGTCAGGAAAAAATGAGCATGGTATATTTCATTTGCACCAGCCCTCCCCCCCCCTATAATTAATGACCGATCCCTAATATCCCACAGCAGATCCACTGTGGGATATTATAGTATCCCACACGTCACGTGTGGACACCACACTCTGAAACAATATGGTGTTCGCGAGCTGTTGTTTGTAATGATTTCGTTATTTTCGTATAGAAGATTTGATTTAAACAAAGATTTTCAAGACGTATGTTACCTTTAATGATCCAAAGGATACATGCTCAAATATTTTAAAGAGGAAACGTCAAAAACTCAGGTATACATAAGAAATTCAAAATTGTATTCGCGTAGTTAATATTCAGCAAGTTTTAAATAAAAATATTTCCTACGGAAATATGGTTTTTTATGTCAAGCCTGAATTATAGTGATAAGATAAAAGTAGGAAATAGTTAGATTGGATTGTGGCAGATTAAGGTGGGACTTGGCGGAGAAGGAAATTCCGGTGCTTTTACCTACGTAAGAAACATAAAGTCAAGGCCAAATTTTAGCTACTAAAAGCAAAGCAAAGTTATTCACTTCTCAATTCAACCTTTCTCGTGATCGAGTGAAGACATACGAATTTTCTTTGACGTTTTGGACTTCTTTCTTTTACCTTTATACAGGTGAGATTTTCAATTATTATTATTCTTATATTATTCTTATATTTTGATACTTTTAATTTGGGTATTATGGAATTGTCACGCCCAAAAGTTCTTGTTTTTGGACACTCGTTTGTCAAACGTCTCCATCGCGATTTGCGCTCTAATTTCGACGTCCGTGCGGCCATTAGTTTTAATATACAAAGGGCCTCCGTCAAATTGCATGGAATTGGGGGACGCACAGTAGACAAGTTGATCGCGTTCGATTTAGATAAAGTTCGTTCATTTCGGCCTGCCATTGTAATTTTGGAAGTGGGTACTAATGACCTTAGCCATAGCAAACCCGAAGTAGTGGGTTCCAAAATCGATGACCTCGTTCATCTTTTACTTCAGCTCCCTTATGTTCAGATAGTAGGGGTTTGCCTCATTACACATCGGGCAGCTTCCCCGGAGTTCAACAGGCAGGCGTTTATTTTGAACCAATATTTAGAGGTCGTTCTGGACGGTGTTCCCAACGTTTTTTGCTGGAGTCATAAGGGATTCTTACAGCGCGTAAAATCTCCGTTTCTACCAGACGGTGTTCATTTCAATCGTAGAGCGCAATACACGCTGTATCGCAGTTATCGCGGTGCTATTCTTAAGGCTTTAGCAAGCCTTCCTAGTTGTTAGTCTGTTATCTTCGGTTGTATGTCTTTTATACTTTTATGTCACCAGATACTGTTTAATTTTATTTAGATTTCTTCTTGCACGAGGCTACGCCCTCACACTTTGATTCTGGTGTTGGCTACGTCCACACAGAATATGTTTTATTTGGAGAAGTACTCCATACTTTATAATCCTTGTGAGATTTTATTCTCGTTATTTGTGATGGCTACGTCCTCACACGTGTTAATCTGAGGCTACGTCCTCATTATTTCTTAGTGGCGTTTTATTGGGCGAGTGGTGCGGCCACTTTGTTGTGTGCCATGCTCGACCCAGCCTATATTGTAGTTTTATTTTATCTTGTTAGATTTTATACTTCATAAGCTTTTAGTATTCTCCCACTACGTTTCTGAGTGTGTTTTTTAGGAATTTTACCATGCCCGCCACTCGAAATCAACGTGCTCAGCGACCAGTATCGGTAGCCGTACCACCAGCACGCCGTTCCCATCGCGCTCGAGCGCCCCGTGCCTCAGGAACAACCACGACGGTTCCTTCGTCCAGTTCTCCTCGGCCAGCAACAGCTGCTCCTCTTGCTCCAGCCTCGGCTATCACGCCCCAACAGCTCCAAGAGATCGTCAGCTCCGTAACCGCAGAAGTGACTCGACGCCTGCAAACTGTAGCAACTCCAGTGCCTGGTGTCCACGCAGTCCCATCGAGTTCTCCTTCTGGACCTGCTGCCTCAGTTACGGAATCGCCTATTGTCCGCATCTCAGAGCATGTTGCGACTCCTCCGACGGCTGTGGCGCAACTTGCTGTTTCCAACGCTCTTGGTTCGGCCCACGCCACAATTTCAGGTGAGACGTTTTTGGCGCCTAATTCTAGCCATGTTCAACCAACGCAGGAATATCACTCTATTAGTTTACCTATAGACTGTCGGATTTCCATTAAACTTAAAAATAAAATTTGGAACGATGAATACATCGATTTCGGGTCTTTGTTGAGCAATCCAATGTCAGATAACAAATTCCAATTGAGCTTTAGCTCTTCTGACGCCGGTTTACCACCATCTCTTTCTGTAGAGCCGATAAGTAAAGCCAAGAAAATAACAAATATTTCTGTTTGGATGAGTGCGTTTCGCATTTTTGTAGGGGTTTATGCTCAAAAGTATCCTCATGAGTCCCCCGCACTCATGAAATACGGGGATATAGTACAGGACTTGGCAGATCGGGGTCAAAATTGGCGGTTCTATGATGAAAACTTTCGCTTTTTGCGTCAAACCCAGCGTAGTTTGTTGTCTTGGGCCAATGTTCACTGGGAATTGTGGCTGCGATCGCAGCATACTTCGCAAAAATCACCCAGTACAATGCAACGTGCCCCGTCTACCCTTTCTGGTAAGGGGCCGCAAAATTCAATTCCTCGAGGCTACTGCTTCAAGTTTCACAAAGGAGAGGCTTGTTCTGGGTGTGAATTTAAACATTCCTGTTTTAAGTGTGACGGCCTACACCCTGGCCTTAAATGTAATTTTCGTGGCCAACTCAGGCGAGATTTTCCCAGACCAACCCGTAATTCTGCCAAGTCAGGTGCTGCTCCCAACGCCAATCAACCTAAATCGGCTTGAGCCATATTTAAACGGCTATTTTGCAGACATAATTTCTACGCTCGTTTCTGGTTTTACTCATGGTTTTGCGTTACATTTTTCTGGTGTTGTTAATACCCAAGAAGGCAAAAATCTGCCTTCGGCTTTAGCTAATCCAACCGTGGTTGATAAAAAACTTGCTAAAGAACTGTCAGCTCTCAGGCTTGCGGGGCCTTTTACTGCCGCGCCATTTCACCCATTTAGGGTTTCTCCGTTAGGTCTAGTCCCAAAAAAGACCATAGGCGAATTTCGTTTGATTCACCATTTGTCCTTCCCGCGCGGTTCTTCTGTCAACGATGGCATAGCTACTGAAAACACTAGCGTGCACTATGCCACAGTTGCAGATGCTATTCGTTTAATTAAACTCGCGGGACCTGGATGTTTTCTTGCAAAAACCGACGTGAAGAACGCTTTTCGCATTATACCAATTCGACCCTCCGACCATTATCTGTTGGGCATGAAATGGCGCGGACGGTATTACTCCGCGATTTACGTTCGACTGACTTCAATGGCATAGTCTTTGGCGTGTAGTCCTGCCACCTTTACTGGCAATGAACATTAACAGACTCAAGTTATTAACTGAAATTATCAATTTTAATGATTTTATGATATTTCTAATTAAATGACGAGATTTTAAATAAAGCGGCTGTGAATCAATTTCACAGCCAAATTATCCCAAGTCGGGTGTTTTGTTTTGCCAGTAAACTGAGCTCATTAAACGCAACACCTCGTGAAAAGCAGGAAGGCAAAGACATAAATAAAAATATTTCCTATGGAAATATGGTTTTTTATGTCAAGCCTGAATTGTAGTGATAAGATAAAAGTAGGAAATAGTTAGATTGGATTGTGGCAGATTAAGGTGGGACTTGGCGGAGAAGGAAATTCTGGTGCTTTTACCTACGTAAGAAACATTAAGTCAAGGCCAAATTTTAGCTACTAAAAGCAAAGCAAAGTTATTCACTTCTCAATTCAACCTTTCTCGTGATCGAGTGAAGACATACGAATTTTCTTCCCACCTCCTCCCGCTGGCCTGCCGCTTTGTATTTTAGTTTGTTGTCTTTTCTTGTACATATCATTATTATACCTTTTTTGCCTAATTGGCGTGTAGTCCTGCCACCTTTACTGGCAATGAACATTAACAGACTCAAGTTATTAACTCAAATTATCAATTTTAATGATTTTATGATATTTCTAATTAAATGACGAGATTTTAAATAAAGCGGCTGTGAATCAATTTCACAGCCAAATTATCCCAAGTCGGGTGTTTTGTTTTGCCAGTAAACTGAGCTCGTTAAACGCAACACCTCATGAAAAGCAGGAAGGCAAAGACATAAAGTTTATTCTGAACGACTGAACTTAGCGAGTTCTTTAACTTTTGGTATAATATATCATTTATAGACACTGCGCTCGGGGGATTTGGCGATATTTCCCTCAGTGATGATATTTTCCTCGGGGCAAAGCCCCTCGGAAAATATCATCACTTCGGGAAACATTACGCCGAATCCCCCTCGCTCCAGGTCTATAAATGATAAACTGGTTAAATAACTACTGAATAGAGGGATCATGAAAATCTTCTAAGATTGAGTTTCTTCACCTTGATGAACAAAATCATATAGCATTAGAAAACTATAATGCCATCAACTAATTCCCATTTAAATCATTTAAAATTTCATGTTGGTCACTGTGAAATATAATCTTGAGGCCATCTTAATGATTGTTTACTATCTATCTGATTGATGACATGATTATATATATTTCCATGGAATTCAAGTTGGCTTTTTCCCAAGTTCATGTAAAATATGGTTCACCTGTTAAAATAATAAAAAGTTTATTAGTTGTTTTCAGAGACGCCGGAAAGGGCAACGCAGGGGGCATCGCTGCCCCCCTCTTGCCCTTCAGTAAGGGGGCAGGGGGGGGGGCGAAAGTGCCCTTATAGATAAAAATTCTAACCCCAAAAATATCAGGTACAAGGACTAAAAAGTATGAATTACAGGCGAAATGTACGTAATATTGAAATATACGTGAAATTTTCTAGAATATTGTGTGAAAAATTATGTTTTCAAAATTTTTGCCCTTGTTTTGGTGAATTAAGGAAAAAATTTAATGAATTAATAATAATTAATAAGTATAGATAATAGCATGGTTTCGAGTGCAATTTGGATATAAAATGCACGAGTGAGTTTTTCAAAGACCTCAAAATAGCACGAGTCTGAAGGACAAGTGCTATATGATGTCTTTGAAAAACTCACAAGTGCATGTATATCCAAATTTCACGAGAAACCATGATATTACTTATTAATAATTTACATAACAACGTTCGAGACAATTGTAGTTTTAACTTACGCGTTTATAGCGAACATTCCACTGGCAAAGTTTTCCTGGCTTTGTTATATCACATTATACAACGCTAACAGCTTGAAAATTCCACTCAACTATGTAATTTCTGTCATTCTTGTTTAAGGTAAATGCTTTTCCATTTAAAAATAAAGATAAAAGTCATATTTTCCACGCGAAGGCAACTTTTACTCTGTGTAGCGCGGCGCCATGTTTGTTTTGTTGTGAAGCGATCTGTGACTGTTACTTCTTTAAACTAAATTGCTTTAAACTGATTGGTTGATTTAATCATCACAATGTTTTTCCACCAATCAGATCAGTTTTTTTACAGATTTATGCACTGTGATTACAGAAAATTGCACTGTGATTACAGAAAATTGCACTGCTGTTTGGGATTAACTGCACTGAAATCAACCAATCACAGTCGAGTAATATCTTTATGTGTATTATTATATTAATAATTAATTATTAATATTAATTAATTTAATGAATTATTAATTAATATTTAATTTTTTAAATTTAAAAAATTTAATTCGGAAACGAAATATTAATTAGTGAATTGCCATTAAGTCAACATTGCCCCCCTGTGCCCTACCCTCGCTCCGGCATCCCTGGTTGTTTTGTAACAGAACAGTACCTGCTTTAAAGAAAATATAGGAAAGAGAAAATCGAAATAACAGTTGTACTGTATATGTAAAACAGAATAAAATCTTTCTAAGCATTTCTACTGTTATCATAATTTTATTAACTGATGAGATAATATGAAGTCTTTCTGTATGTTAAAAACTGTGATTTCTGAAGAAGTCTTTCTGCATGTGTGAAATGAAGTCTTTCTGTAGGTGTGAAACTGTGTTAGAAAATGTGATTTCCAAGACTCTGAGAAAATTTGAAAGCAACGTGTGAAAATAAATCGAATAAATTCAATATAAATGTACAGTACATACCTTGATATACAGAACAATCAATCAATATCATTTCATATTCCAGGCAACACTATCAGTGTTTTATATTCAGTCGCATTATAATTTGAAGCCGAATAGCATGTGATATATATGAGGGTTGCCAAAGCGAACAAAACGATGTCACAAATATGAGCACCATACTCCGACAAATTGATACAATATGATGATGAATGTTGCATAGTTTTGTGTACATGTGTGTTCACAGCTTATATCTGAAGTATGTTTCGTAAAATTTGTTAAAACTTTGAGAATAAATACATAAGCAATCAACAAAACATGTATATTGTTAAGCAAGAAAATCGTAAGCGCCAGCGCTAATTGTAGTCAGCAACATAATGTTGTCGTTACTGTGCATGCGATAAATCTCCAAGAATCTTGGAGATTTCATCGTATTTTACCAGGGTCTTCCTCAGCTCGCGTACCCAGACTAGTCCCAAGTCCTCTGTGCACGCTTTTGATTTCCGTGACGTCACCGCATTAATATGCAGAAACGCGAAATAGGCGTACTAAGAGGCCTAGGGACTAGGCTGTTGCGCACCACCACGAGGAAGACCCTGGGGACGAGGTTGCCCCTCGCCTATAATTTCTAAACATTGTTTCAACATGAAGTATTCATAATTACACCAACACTGAATGCAGGCTCTTGTGTTTCAGGTCATGTTAGTCATGGCAACACGAATTACGATTTTTTAAAATTTTTGTGCAAAGCTGCAAAAAATAGATGAAACAAGTGAACACTTTTAAACACAAAACTATCAATTTCTAAAATATATAAAGTAGTTATATTATTTTGGTTTGTATGGGCTTTATTACTCCGCCTGCGCATGCGCAGTGCGGAGTCTAAAAATGCCTGAGTCTGTTGTCGGTTGTCGTCAGTGTCACAAACAGGCTCCTTGATAAATGTGTACATTCCATGATATTTAGATACTTTCTATTGACATTTGTGGATAATGTTATACGATTTGGCAGGGCAATGCGCATGCTTACAGCTCTGCTTACAGTATTTTTCTAAACTGCGAACTGCGAAACGGTCTTGTGCGATGAAATATTCTAAACAATGAAAAATACTAAAAAGATGAATGTCAAGACAAAGCTTCCAGACTCAACTGAGGTAAGGGATACTAAACATTCTAATTTTGGTAGTACATGCTGCATTTTGGCAACAAGAAATTCTTTAAAGTCATAAATAAAAATATTCACTCCTACTGTATGTCGTAATGTCGATCTTATATTCTTGACTAGCAAAATATATTCTTGTGTGAAAGGTGCCTACAATGTTCTGAAGAGTTTAGGCTATGTAGTGTTGAGGCTATCGCGTTATTAAATATATTTCAATGTTTTGAAGAGTTTAGGAAATGTAGTATTGAAGCTGTCGTGTTTATAATTTACTATACACGTTTAGTATGCAACTACCGGAAACGGCAGCCATGTGGTAGTATTAAGACAAAGAATCTCATTATTTTTTACTGAATTTCGCACATTCTTTTAATTCTCAAGGGATTGGTTGCAAGACAAGAATATAATCTATGATATACAGGGTGTATAAAAAAAAAGGAGACCTTTAGAAATCAAGCATATTGTTAAAATTTGAATGCCATTTCAATTGCACATATGCTGAACTGTGGTGCGTGAAATATTGATGGAGTGCATATATTAGAAAAAGGAGACCTTTAGAAATCAACCATTGTTATAATTTGAATCCTGGAGCACTTTGCTAAGCACATGGCAGATTGTTCCCAGGAGCAGACAATCTTTTGTTTAAATGTTATTTCAAATTCTAAAGGTCTCCTTTTTCTAATATATGCATGCATCGATATATTTCACGCAATACGGTTCAGCATATGTGCAATTGAAAAGGCATTCAAATTTTAACAATATGCTTGATTTCTAAAGGTCTCCTTTTTTTTTATACACCCTGTATAGTCATGTTAACAAATAACAGAAACGTCAGCTTCTTGAACTCACAGCTAGCTTGGGTTTGTTTGCTTTGCTCTTTCTACTGCCCTTGTGTGTTAATAGATACTATGTGTTGTGTAATGTATTTCATTCAACCCTACTAGGACTCTGGGCAGAATACCTACCAAGCCACTCAAACATGCTTTTTGGGCCTCTATTATTACAATGATGGGCCAAACAGAATTGGTGTGTCAGAATTAATATCCTATTTCTGTCTCTTATAGGTTATGGCACTTATGAAAATTCAATGTAAAGTTTGGACATTAGGACGTCAGTTTCAGGCTCCTTGCACGCCATCACAGCCAGTTTAGACGTCAGCTTCAGCCCCCTACACACGCGTTAATTAAGACGTGTAGTGGCGTCAGCATTAGCCAAACGTCACCACTTCGGCTTATATTTGGCTTCACTTTTCCGTCGCACCCTACATTGTGCCCATTTTCTCCGCAGGCCGGCAGGTGGAGTGAACGCCTGAGTAGGCATCTTGTTTTAATGTAAAATTCAAAACGAAACTCTACATAAAAGTTTTTAAATGTGAATTGAAATCAGCTGCTTTTTGCCAATATTTATATAAACTCTTCATCTCAAGCTTCTACTTATTACTCGCACTTTGAAAGGAAATAAATTTAATTCATACAGGACGGTAATAAAAATAATTTGCTGTCTTTTTTATAATGAACTTCTACAAAGGTTAATTTAACTAAGAAACGTTCGCAAACAATGCATAGCCATAGGAAATACCTGAACATCAAGAACAAAGTCCACATTAATACAAAGGTCAAAGTCATACATCACCATATATGGCATATTGATATTGTTTAATAATTATATATTGACATTATCATAAACATTAGAACTTCCGGTTTATTGCTAGTCACTCACATGACTGCTTGTACTTCAAAAATACGAATTGCTCTGTAAAAACATTATACTGTTTTATCGTTCATTTAATATTTATGAGTCTTTCTTCTTTACTGGCATGGTGGCAGCGATTTATTTCCTTATCCTTCGATCTCTAACACAGCAGAGATCATAATACACAGCTCAGAAGAAAGTTTCTCGGACCAAAACAAGGTAAAAGCAAAGCAGTTTTCAGCTGTTCTACGAATCAGAGCTTGTACAGCAAGACCTCGAGAGTGCCCATACTAAACGGAAGTCAATTGTTCGTATAGTTAGTTGTCTTTCTCATTAGTATGGCAAGCAACCGTGCCCCAAAACATGGTCTCTCACAAAACATAGAGTCAAAATTTACAATATATGTTATCGTTAGACCCAAACCTTCGTCCCATTTTTGATCGATGGGGTAACTTGGCTAAAAAAGACCACCGCCGCCCCACTTCGCGGTTTTGAAAATGATGCCGATACTGTACCCCCATAACATGCCGTCGTACTGCAGAGCAAAAAGCAACCCAACTGGAGCTTATATTGGGCCAAATAGCCAATTATTGCCCTGTAATTTCCCGAAATACTATTGTCAAAAACTCGACATCTTTGAGCACTATTCGGCAAGCGATTCAGGCTCACTTTGGGTTTCAGTCCACAGGTGGTCTTTTCTTAGACTTTAATAACATTCACTTAGGAACTGACGAGCGTCCGGAAGACCTTTATCAAAGACTTGTTAGCTTCATTGATGACAATTTGCTCAAAGCTAATGGTGGTATTCGACACCATGGTGAAAACGTTACAGCTGATGAAGACATGTCCCAAACAATGGAGAACATAATTGTGTGGACATGGCTACGCCTTATCCATCCTTCTTTACCGGCCCTAGTCAAACAGCGCTATGGTGCTGAACTTCGATCACAAACTGTCGCGTCCCTCAAACCTGAAATGTTCCAAGCACTAGACTCCCTCCTTGACGAAGTTAACTCTGCCAACGATGCAAAAGTCCTCTGTACTTGCTTTCCAACAATCCCTCAAACACCCTCAATCCAGTAGTCGCCGTCAAACTCCGAAAGACCTACCATGAACATCTAAAACCCCAACAAAAAGTTGCCCCTTGTGCAGACAAGCAGGTCGACAAAACCAACACTACCTGAGTAGGTGCCCCTACCTCCCAGTCGAAGCCTACTCCCTACCCGCTATCTGACTGTGAAGTAGAAGACTCACAACTACCGAATCAAGACTACCACCAACCGAGTTAGTGTTAAGCAGTCACCCCATCTCCAGGCCTTCTATGCCCATCACCCACAACTCTTGACATTAGACACAGGAGCAGAAACAAGTATGATAAAGACCAGCATTGCCAATGAAATTGGAGCTACTATACAGAAGACTACTCAGAAAGCCATCCAAGCAGATGGTATAACCCAGCTAGCCGTCGGCGGAGAAGTCCATTTGACTTTGTCCTGTAACCACCTTAATTTGAAGTTGGATGCACTTGTCGTTGATAGTTTGGATGTCGATATACTAGCCGGGACTCCTTTCATGATCACCAATGACATCTCCCTCTGGTCATTGAAGCAAGAAGTGACCATTCAAGGATGCGAGAATGTGTATTATGGCTCCAGACAACCAGCTGGGACCATAGGCTCAATCCAACAAACACAAACTACAGTCCTTCGTGCCCCATCATCCTCCACCATAATTTGGCCAGGACAGTACCTTAAATTAGACCTTCCTGATCACATAGACCCAGATTCTATCCTTGCCCTAGAACCCCGTAAGGATTGTTCCAGATCAGACTGTGAGTGGCCAAGCCCCCATATTGTACAGGCAGTCACAAGAAAGATCTGTATACCCAGTCAGACCCCTCACCCTAAACGTATCCCTCATCATGACCATCTGTGTCAGGTCCTACCAACCTACATCCCAGATCCCCGACGTTCCCTAATCTAGCAACAGCACCCTAGTAGCACCCTCCTCTCCTACACCCCATGAACATTCCTTATCTGTCCAGCTAGACCCTGATTCTATCCTAACAAAGAGCATGCACTCCGAATTCAGCCGATTAGTTAAAGAATATGACGAGGGTTTTTACGAGTATCTCTGGATACAACAGTGCTGCCGGTCCCTTTGAAGATGTCATAAATATGGGCCCAGTACAACCACCACAACGCAAAGGCAGACTCCCCCAATATGCGCCGAACAAGCTGGTCGAGCTTAAACACAAATATGACGAGCTTGAATTGCTAGGCATTTTTCAGGTCGCTGAAAACCTTGGCATAACTTAATCCATCATTCCTCATTAAAAAGCCAAGTGGAGAACACCGACTAGTCACTGCCTTTGCTGATGTTGGTCGATACAGCAAGCCACAACCATCTTTATTACCCAATGTCGATTCTACCCTCCAAACAATCGCCAAATGGAAGTACATCATCATATCCAACCTTACCAGCGCTTTCTATCAGATACCACTTGCTAAAGGTTCCATGAAGTACTGTGGCGTTGTAACTCCATTCCGTGGCGTTTGAGTCTACACCCGATCAGCCCTTGAAGAGCTCATGTGTGGCATACTCGGTGATTGCCTAGAAGATGGAATCGCCGCAAAGCTTGCAGACGACTTGTACTGCGGTGCAGACTCGCCTGAGGAACTGCTCATCAACTGGAAGAGGATCCTAGACGCCCTCCAAAAGTGCAATATCAAGCTTTCTCCATCCAAAACCGTTATTTGCCCATGCAGTACCACCATCTTAGACTGGATTTGGACACAGGGAACCCTATCCGCAAGCACCCACAGAATTGCTACAATGTCATCGTGTCTGCCTCCCAATACTGTACAGGGTCTTCGGTCTTTTATAGGAGCCTACAAAGTCCTCGGACGCGTTTTACCAGTGTGCACACATCATTGCACCATTAGAAAGTGCCATCGCAGGACAACAATCATGTGATAAGACTGAGTGGTCAGATACTCTGTCCCAACAATTCAAGTTCGCTCAATCCTCCCTGGCGAATAACAAATCTATTATTACCCTTCCCAAACCATCTGACAAACTATGGATAGTAACCGATGGCTCTAACCAAAAGAGGAATCGGAGCTACCCTTTACGTATCACGTCATCAAACCCTCCTCCTCGCAGGATTTTTCAGTGCCAAGTTAAGAAAGCATCAGGTGAACTGGCTGCCATGTGAGATTGAAGCATTAAGCATCGCTGCCACCATGAAGCACTTTAGCCCTTTCATAATCCAATCACATCACCCCGCTTGTATCCTCACAGATAGCAAGCCATGTGTTCAAGCCATCGACAAACTGCATCGAGGTGAATTTTCAGCGAGCCCTCGCGTTACGTCATTTTTATCCATCGTCAGCAGGTACCAAGCGGATATACAACACCTCGCTGGCTCAGCGAACGTTCCCTCGGATTTCGCCAGTCGAAACGCACCAGAGTGCAATTAACCGCAAAAATCTTCCAGCCAGTGTCGTCACTGAAATTTCATAGCAAAAGATAGGGGGAAAACACTGTTCGAAAGGTGAAAATCGCTTTTTTTTAAAAAATGAGACTACCCGTGGAAGTTTTGTTCAATAAATTATTGTACAATAACGGTAAGCGATCACTTTTATTGATTTCTTTTTATTAAAAGTGTTAACATAACATTTTATTTTGCAAAAGTTTGTTTTTTCCCTATCTACTCTTTATTAAAATCGTGAAAAGCACTGGCTGGGGAATTTCAGATGCTTATGTATAAAAACAAAGCAGCAAATGATATAAATTCCTCAAAATATAACTCTTGCATAAAAAAAAAGTTTACTTCTATAATATGTATAGTTTTTTCCTCTGCATGGTCAAAATTTAATAAAATAGTGAATTAATAATTTTCTATAGTAAATAGACTGAATATATCGCTGTGACACAATTTGCCGCGTGTTTCCTCTTTGTATATCTCTTCTCTGTGATTTGATGATTGCGGATAAATTTCTTGCAAATATATTTCATTTCTGCTCACATTTTTGCAAGATTTTGTAAATTTCAAAAGCTCAGAAAGAAAGAGCGAAAGAATCGGCTAAAAGAAGGGAGCCGATGTTAACGAAGGTAATTTTGTTTGAAATATTGATTTTATAATTGCTTTAAAACCCATAGATAGCCCAACAATCCGCACGCCGTGACGTATCATTCAGTAGTATCTCTGTTTTGCCACATATTGGGAAAATCCTAGAGAGAGTACAATTACAACTCAATCAAAATGACATACTACGTCCCAGTCAACATGATTTTACTAGTGGCTGCTCTACTCCATTGGCTCTGATATCCATCACACAGCCATGGTTTAATGCTACTCACAATACCTGCCGTGACAAAGCAGGCATCCATGCCCTCTTTATGACTTTAAAAAAGCCTTTGATCTAGTTGATCATGGGACCCTGTTGAATAAACTTGCATTGATGAATGTTAATAAAAGCTTCTGGTTGTGGGTCAAAAGCTTCTTATCTGGTAGAACTCAACAGGTCAAGATAAATCAAACACTTTCATCGATCGAGGGTTGCCCAGCTGGAGTACCACAAGGATCTGCTCCTTCGCCGACTTTATTTAATATCCACATTGACGACTTAGATACGAGTGTTCCTGAAGATCTTGAGGTGAGCACATATAAATATGCCGATGACTGCACACAAAGCGAATGCATTATGAAGGGAGAGTGTAGCAACATGCAGAAACTCTTAGACTCCGTTCAGAACTGGTCAAACGCTAATAGAATGAAGTTGAACGCAAAGGAAACGAAAGATATGTGGATTTGCTTTGGGAAATCTATCTCACAGCCTACCAATCTTTATATCGGGGATGTTATGATCGAAAGAGTTAATTCATTCCAGTTACTTGGTGTTAGCTGTCAAAGTAACATGAAATGGAATTCTCACATCAAAGAAATTACTCGTAAGGGAAACAGGAGACTGTGTCATTTAAGGCAGTGCAGGAAGGCTCACCTTCCTACTGAAGTAGGATTGGCAACTTACTGCACCAAAATTCGTCCACTGCTTGAATATGCCGCACCAGTTTGGGGTGGCCTACCTCACTATTTAGTAAACAACCTTGAGCGTATTCAAAGGAGAAGCTTACGTATTATTGGTTTACCGGTTGATACACTTCCCCCGCTTAGTCAGAGAAGAGATAAGCTAACTCTTCGAGAAATGGAGGCAATTACTCGGGACGTAAACCATCCCTGTCACCACCTTGTCCCTATCGCACAGAAGCATGACTATTCCACTAGAATTAAAGAAAGAGGTTCTAATGTAGGTCGCATTATTTCCAGAACCGAAAGACATAAATCATTGTTTATGCCTCGTGCAGTTAAACTTTTTAATAATAAACTTTAAATTACTACTGTAATAGACGGTTCTGCAATTTTAGGCTGATTATAAGACCAAAAAATACGAAATGTTTCTTTGAATTTGCCGTGTCTCGATGCGGGATGCCTGTTGCCATGCGAAAATCGTCGTTTCAAAACACGTATATACGCGATCCTATTGGCTATCAAAAAACCGACAAAACAGCTTACAGGGGGGAGTTTCAGCAAAAATGCTAGTGCAGGAAAATTAAAAGTCATTGAGCTCGCGAAAATGCAAATTGATTTAAAAAAGTTTAAAAGTTTATAAACTATTGAATAATTTTATGTAAACAAAGTTCCTGGTCGCATATATTTTGTACGTATTTCTGTTATTCATCATGGCAAAGTGTATTAAAACAAATGAGGGATATACAAGGTCAAGAAAATCTTTTTTATGCCGGTAAGTACACACTGAATAGTGAAGTATTTATTTATGTTTTTGGCTTTTCTTTTTTATTGTATTTGAAAACAACATCTACAGTATAAACATGTCAAAATGTTTTATAATTTACATAATGTGTTATGGGTAGGATAAAGGCCTATTAAAACCAGACTATGGAAAAAGAGAAGTCCAAAATATTTTCTTCAGGGGCTGGTTGTTCAAAAGCTGGTTAACTTTAACCCAGGGTTAGCACAAACCGTGGGTTAAAATCCTTAACCCAGGTTTAGTTAACCCTGAGTTAAAACTCTGTTGTTCAAAGCTGGGTTAGAGGTGCAGTTAATAGTTAACCCAGGGTTAAGACATTTAGACTATATATACGTTTAAAAATAAATGTAATGTAAGAACGTTTTTGATTGGCTGGAAAGTGTCAAAACTAGGGATAGAATGGGATAGATGGGAGAAATATTGTTTAACAAGCAATAGGTAACTGAAGTTGAACATTTCAGACATGGATTTAAGCATATTGAAAGTTTCAAGAAAAAAATGTACTTGATCAAAGCGGCAAAGCCATTTAAATAAATCAATTTTGGAATTGTAGCCAGTGCTTGAATAATTAAATTTGAGAACAAAATTCCAGCCAATCAAATGAACTTCGAATTATTTTGCAGTTGCAGTTGAAAAGCATTTTTCAACGCATGCATGTTTATCCTATAACAAAACACAAACATAGAAAAGCAAACTGAGCAAAATTGTTTTACAGCTTTCAAAAACAGTGTTTTTACTAGGTAATACACTGCGCTGCAAACAGTAGATGTGCAAGAACTTGTGACTGTTCAACAAATGGCAAATGGAAACTTTGTGAAACAGGTGGTGGTACGGCGAATTGTTTGGCAATACAAGTATATTTTCTAGAGTTATTTTAAGAAGAAACTTGAGTTGAATGTGCTCGGCTTTAATAAATGGTGGTGGCAATCGACATAATAAATGGTGGTGGAAATCGACAAAGATCTCGTGAGGTAAATCCTTATTTAATAAATATTTAATAAATGGTGGTGGCAATCGACAAAGATCTCGTGAGGTAAATCCTTTTTATACTGTACAGTGTACACAATCTTGATTACGGCATTTGTGTACCAAACTATATTTTGAAAACCGGCAGATGTAGCTGTTTCTTTTGGCGTTTTGTAGATTAAGGTACTATTCCATAGACATAGTAACACAATAAAACAGTAAATTATGATGTCCATGCTTAGACCACAGCACCCCAAAATGGACAGAAAGTTGCCGTATCTTTCACATGCTCGTATATAAATTCAAAGCCAACTTGTAGATATAAAATCATTTCAAAGGCTCGTACCGGACGAATAAGAATCTTAATAATAATAGTATTCATAGTAAATTTAGTCAATTTACTTTTTGAGGATGATTTTCCTCCATAAAATCTTTGTACACTGTTTTGGCCCCAGCAAATTCAAGTTAAACTTTTGACATTTTCAGGTAAAATTTGCACAATAAAGTAATTATTTTTGTGAAATGATAACCATTTTTGTAAAATACAGTCAATTTACATGCAATTTGTTTGCGAATTTGCTTTATAAAACGCCAGAAATTCAGTCCTAGAGCTTCAAAAATGTAAAACTTTTCTGGGGGAGGACCCCATGGCCAGACCCCCCTTTTCTCCCAAAACTTAGTATGAGAGTGCCAACAATCACAAAAAGCTTTATTATAATTATTACACGTATAATCCTCCGACATCCCCCCCGAACATCAGATGCTTGGCTACATCCCTGATGGTTGTATTCGAAACCGATTTCAGTTTTAAGATATCCTTAGTCTGCTCTTCTAAATGGATACATGAAATCACCTATAGCTTATTTAAAATTTTTGGGAACCAGGTTTGTGAAGTAATTTACCGGCCAAAAAGTAGCAGTTCCAAAAACAAAAAAGCATACGATTTGTAAGAATGACATGTTCTATGTTTATGGGATATTTAGTACAAACAGGATGAAAAGTAAGGAAATTGAAGCATACTGGCACTTTTGCATGCATTTTTGACAGGCATGCAAAGACATTTGCAACAGATGCCGGGAGATACGTTGGGTGGGAGCGACATTCTCTAATGTTCCAGCACATTACCCTGATCCAGGAAATCCTGGCCACTACATGAACATGTTCAAGACTCCGACTATGCTAAATGATGGACAACAACAACCTGTTGATAATTTCGCCCCTAGAGCCAATCTAAAATGTTTTTTTTTAAAGATGGTGCCATTTCATCTGGCGCTAGTGAGGTGAAAGAAGCAGCAGGTCGGTAGTTTTGTTGAGGAGAAGCACATGCTTGAGTATATCAGACATCTTGAGGAACTGCAAATTGTATCTATGATAAGAGAGAATTCCGGATTGTACTTCTTCGATTCCGAATTCTAGGGGGGGGGGATTGAAAATTTTAAAAACTTGGAGGGGGGCAGCGAAATTTACCAATAACCTCAACAGGGGCCCTGTAAAAATATGAGCTTTTTTCAAGACATCTTCATCCCCCCCCCCTCGGCATAATAAATGTACTTTCCCTTACATGTTTTCTTTTTTCACTCCTTCGACATCCATTTTGAATGTGAGTTAACCGGCCGATTAGCAAGTTAACTCACCTAGCGAGGATAACCTACCTTTGAACAACGCAAAGTAACCTAGGATTAAAATTTAACCCTAGGTTAAGCAAATTTACCCTAGGTTAGCATTAACTAGTCTCCTACGCATACCTACTTAGCAGGCTGTGCCCTCACGTAAGGTATGCTTACTTTGGCCAAGAATTTCTTTCCTCAAATTAGCCAATCACAGCTTTCCCCAAGAAAATTTTGGGGCTTGACCTTTGACCTTGAGGCTTGGGTTGTCAAAAGTTTCAAAACATTTAATCTTGAACATTTCATATCTTCATTTGTATGTATTCATATCTTAAACCGATTGTCTGCAAGTGCTGAGAGATATATTTGTTATACATATACCAGTCTACAAATTTACAATATGGAACAATTGTAAAATCTGTTGGAATTTGTCGAGCTATTGTTTTGAACAGACAGTGTAGTAGAATCGAACAATATCACCTAAAATATTTCGTGATGTTTCTGTAACATGGGTAATATACTGGACAAAGATGTCAAGACAAAGTTATAAAGTTACAGTGTACATTACTGCGGGTGTAGATAATAGATTTATAAATACTAATTGAAGATTACAGAATTCAGCCTATATAAAATACTGAATTGATTCATTGCATATTTCGGTTTCTACATTTGTATATGACTAGCCAGTTTATAAGTACTAGATAAAACATGAGCAGCCGATCTGTATCTGATACACAAACTCGAGCCGAAATTATCGTACTTAAAAATGACCCATCTTTTGAGTTCATTGGCAAAGTAATTTCAAAAATAAACATTGTCTATGCCAAGAAAATCAAAGCTCAGTGCCGTAGCCAGAACGATAATTGGGGGGGGGGCAAATATTCATCTATTCGTGTTCACATACCATAAAAACAATTGATTTCAAAAGAAATTAATAAAGCAGAACACGAATATATGAATATTTGCCCCCCCCCCCTCCAATTATCGTTCTGGCTACGGCACTGTCAAAGCTGAAGCTTATGTGAATCAGGACAAATCTTTATCCGATTTACAAACATTGATTAAACATTCTTTTGTATTTTCCTCGTGAATTATTAATGAATTTGAAAGTTTAATAAAATCGTAATTACAAAAGTCACTCAGATATTGAACGTTTGGAAACTTATAGTATATTTTGTCTTATTGAATATACATGCTGTCATGCAGTTGCGTCAAGTTCAAAACAAGTATTACCAGTGAATAGTTTTATATACATTTAAGCCTTCGATCTATCACGTACATTCGTTGGAAAAATATTCAATATTTTCTACTTCGACTGCTATTGATCAGAAAACTCTATCTGTACACATTTATGGCCATTTAAATATGTACATATTATTATTCAATTATCACATGCTCCTTGTTTACACTTTACAGTTGACATTCAAAGTGGGCGTGTCTAGTGTATTTGAATGCTATTGGCTAATGGAATACAATGGGAAGGCGAATTGCTAGCCAAAGCGCAGACCGTACGTGGAGGGCCCAAACCCGCTAAAGTAGGTCTGCATAGCTGCTACTGGCTTTTGAACAACCGGCCCTAGATGGTGATGTTTACTTGTGGTAAGTTCAAACACTTTTTATTTTAATATTTTTATTTTGTTTTTTAATAATTACCACTCAGATACTGGCCAAATATAGCCTAAAGACTATAGACAGTGCAAGAAAGTTTTCAAAAAACACGTAGTCTTGCTGCATTTGTGTATGTCAGATAAAATTTTCTTTAAAAATGTGTTGAGACGAATTTTAAATTTAAAAATACAATAAATTCAGTCATATATTAAACTGTGTGAATACCCAAGTATTCAAGTCAATATTGTTCCAAAACAACTTTATATATAGTTTTACACTATAATGCAGAACATGCAGCATGCATGCAGCTATTTTCATGCACGTCTTTGCGTCCGGCTATTTTCATATAGTCGCAGGCAATCGAGCGGCCTTGCCGGCCCGAATACCGCTTCAATAAACGAATTAATACTGTAGTATATCGTACAAGAAAGTTAAAAAACATTCCCGCAACAAACTTAAAAAAACTATTTTTGTTGAAACAAGTTCAATACCGTGATAAAAATATACGAATATCCAAAGTATATCTGATAAAATACTGACAGTATTCAAAGTTTCAAAAATCAACTTTTCGGTTTTACACCTGCATGTTTTTCAATGACAATGCTAAGCTATATAATAAAAATAAATCTACATGCAGAAAACTCACCATGCAGTATATGTTCGATGATCAGCTTTTTCGTAAGTCGATTCATATAATGTTTTGAAAAGCTGCCGGTGCAATTAAATGCTATCGTACCTTGCCCCCACTTGATACTTTCACAGACAGATTTTGACAAATAATCCACAGATTGCTGGGCAACACACAATAAGCTATAAACACAGCAGTCGTGCAACACTGCCGTAATATTTGTCATTCGAACTAACTCAAACGCTTTTTGACCATGCCGATATCACACCATAATAGATTGCAGAAAAACTACATCAAAATCGGCGAGCTATATCAGATCAAAGAAGAACAAAAAAAAACTGACGTGTTTGATACTTAAAATAAACGGGGAAAAGGTGGCATTTTAAAACAAACAAACATGTAGAAATACCTTGTTGATTATGTTATCCCTTTTCGTTCTGCACAGTTTAGTTTACAATGTTGAAATGCCAAAAAATATAACCATATATGCAAAGTGTATTAACTAAATGTATTCCTATATATACTGCATCTATATGATATAGTTTCACGTTTTGGACTGTTATCATAACATGAGTGGAACAATCAAAGTTATCGAACTGACGAAAGAGCAGCAAGAGGTAGTTAATTTGACAGGATGTGGACATAACATATGTGTATTTGGAAGGGCTGGAGTTGGAAAAACGACCGTGGTGAAAGAAATACAAAGAGTTTTAAACGCGCAAGGAAAAGAGTGTCAAATCGTATCGTCCAGTGGTATTTCTTGTAATCCGCTGAGCTTCCAGACCACCAGGTCATCGAACGTGCACTTGGAAAGGAAAACGTGGTAAAGGATGTTACTTCGACCCGCGCAATCATATGGGACGAAATTTCAAAGTCGAGCGAACACATTTTCAATTTAATAAATATGATTCAACATTCGGTCTCTAACAACTCGCATCCTTTTGGGGGTGTGCAAAGCCAATTCCGGGTCCATTCAATGATGGGAAATTGATTTATTCCTCGGAATAATTTAATAGAGCATTCCCACATCGTTTTGAGTTGACGACAATTATGCGACAAGGACAGGACGAAGAAAGCCTAAAGAACGCTCTCGATGAGATAAGAATGGGGGATTGCACAGACAAGACGTAGAAGTACCTCCAAAGCCTTTCCAGACAATGTACTCCAGCTCTGACGACAACACTCGCCAGGAAACAGTGCATCTTTTCTTCAAGAAATTGCCCGCTTCTTTGCACAATTTAAACATACTTGCAGAGCTTCCTGGAGAGTTCTTGAAATACGACAGCCAAGATACAGGTCACGGTCAATGTCTTGAAAATTCCATCAACAAGATTTTGGCCTTGAAACGTGGGTGCAATGTTATGCTACTCTATAACATTAATGATAATTTAAGGAATGGCTTGCAAGGAAAGTTCGTGGGAGGAGACCCTAAAAACAAAGAATGTCTCATTGTTAATTTCCCAAAGGTTGGTAATGTTAGCATTTCCCGAAGAACGTGGTACAAGTATGACGAGAATGGAAGAGTCAAGGCCAGTCGCACTCAATTCCCAATCATTCCAAGTTATGCCATAACCGATCATAAAGCACAAAGTCTTACCCTAAGTAGAGTTGTCATGCATTGTTCACAAGAGTTTGTTGCTGGCCAAACTTATGTTGCATTGTCATGAGTAACCTCGTGAATCATCTCTGCAGGTTTTTATAATTTTAATATTATTATCAAACTACTTAAGGTGGCGCAATATAGTTATCACAAAAACCTTGCTCAATAACGCAAACAAAACCGTGTGACCATTTTTACGCGCAGGTCGCGGAAACTGATTAACAAAATGAAAGGAACTTCCAAAATCACCCGACATGAGCAGTTGCTCGCACCATCTCACTGACGTCATTAGAATTTTGCATTTTAGAAAACAATGCGCTATATCTCTATTTTGTAATGCCAAAAACATTTTACAGACGAGTACAACATTTTCGCATTTTCCAAAAGAAATGACATTACAGAATTTTTTTATATTTTGCTAATTGTTAATTTTCTTCCAAGTAAAATAATGTGCGGGGATCATCATGCTTCTTTTCCAACTATACGAAGCGATAGGCCATTTTAGAGTGAATTTCATGTCGTCATAGCAACACAATATCTGTTACTAAAACTAATATAATTTGAATGTATAAATATTAACTAGGGTACCTGCAAGGTAGGGTTTGCTGCGGGCATTAAAAGCAAATAGAACTACAGTAAAAAGTACAAATTATATCATGCACAGTGATTATTCGCAGCGTCTAGTGAGCTGTGAATGGAACGGAGAAGAAGCAATATACATTGAAATAGCAAGTGTCATGCAAGTGTCAAGAGTCATGCAAGCAAAGACCAGGGGTTAAAGGGCAAATCAGAGGTGACATATATTAAACATGTGTGTCTCAATGACATACAGGAAATTAAGGATCAGATTTCATATCAAGTCTGTTTAATGCTAGGCGCATCTACCACATTATATGGACTATATACACAGATTTATCACACTAAGAAACCAAAACTTGATCAAAATATAGAACTGATAGTGGCCAAAGTCCAAAACAAATGTAAGCGTAAGTTGCATAACATTAGACTTGAAAACGCTTTAGAAATTCGATAAAAATTCGAAGACTCAAGCGAGTTTAAAATTTGTGTTCTGCGCATAGAAAGCGCGCACAACCACAATTCCATGCGCTTAATAAAATTTAGTTCAAAACCCCCTCTCTGCATATATTAGGCTGCTGCTACGCTCGCTCGCTTCAGGCTCGGGGTCATACCATTTTTCGCTACTAAGAGTGTAGTAAAAAGTTGCTCAAAAAGGAAAAAGGGTAATTTATAAAGGGTAATACAGTGCTGTAGGAAGTTCTTTGATTGGGGAGCTGAAAGCAAGGGCCAAAGGCCCGAGGAAATGTTAAATTTAGAGTCTCTGAGATGCCATGACTTTAGGGAAGATTTGACAGAATTGTGATGGTCAGAAAACAGCATTTTAGTATGTCAAAATTTACAATTTAGTAGCACTAAATGGGCGAAGGTGTACTTAATAAACCATATATTGGATAAGTTGCAGGAAAGTATGAGAAATATCTTCGTTCTTTGCAGTTTCTCATGGATAATGTAGCTGCTTAAAATTAATCAATTGTCAGTATTTTAAAGATATATTATTTAAATGATAAAGGTCTGCATGATTTGGAAAAAGAATGATTATTAGCAAGCTGCGGCCCTGGATTAGGAGTAGGGTTAGGGTACTACGTCGATGAACTACAAAGACCGCTAAACAGCTAGTGACTTAGACATTTGACTTGGGCTCGGACTTGACATGGTAAATCGACAAACTCCTTACTAAATTAAACCATGTATAAAATACCTAGTATAAACTAGTGTATATAGTATATGCCAAACTTTCCCTGGACGTAATGTTGCTACATCGCTTACTCGTTAATTATCTTTTTTATTAAAATGTACATAATTGAAATATGACAAAAATTTATGGCAAGTTCATGGCAAAAGTTATAAGGTAGATGTTCGATTATTTTTCATATTGGCTGTACGCATTGCATTTTAGGTATTTGTGCATTGCATTTTGGGTCTATCTGTTGATTAAAATTGAGAATGCATGAATTAAATTTGCTGCCTTGATCGCTCCCTGTGGTATCAATAATTGTTACATGTCAAATTTTTCTCCACTATAATAAATAACTGGACCACCCTTTTGAACCAATATTTTTAGGTGGCCCCCTTTTTCGGTTAAAAATACCTCATGACCCACCCCCTTTTTTTTGCCAGCCCACCCCCAGTCATAAATAATGAATGGTCCCTAAATGTCATGATGCATTAAGCTTCCAAAGGCAGTAGCCCAAGTGCTAACCCTGCATGGATGGATCTATAGAGATTTTGTAGGGAGGTGCTCAGATGTGGATTTGTGTCAGTTATGTGCACATCAACCATAGAGGCTTGAGTGACAGCAGACAGCGTATTTGCAGGGCCTTTTTTAAGGATTTTTCAGTGGTGGGGCCACCTACCAAAAGGAACTTTAGAAAAGGAAGGAAAAGTGAAGAAATATAAACTTATGGGGGTCCTGGGGGTTCTCCCCCAGAAAATGTATGGATTTTTGAGTTTCCTATGCTTGATTTCCTGCAATTTCAGCATGATTTTTGCTCATTTTCAGACAAAAAGAGACTTTCACTAGGGGGGGCCAAACTCCTTCAGTTGGGGAGGGGGGCAACATAGGGGGGGGGGGGGCTTTGCCCCCCCTCCAGTATATATGTTAAAAAAGGCCCTGCATATTCACTAGTCTAAGTAGTCTTGCTTGGTTAGTGACTATAAGTGTATTTGAAATATCATAATGTAATTATTGAGTATTGTTCACATTGTAATTGTCGTATCATGTCATTACTTAAATTACTCTTTGTTTCTAATATCTTTTGGCTTTATCATAAAAAATAGCACCCCCTTGCACCCCTTCTATCCAAGGATAGGGATGTTTGAACCCTCCCCCAGTAAATCCACTCTGTCCTAGCCAACAAACTGCCTAAACTGGTCAGCAAGGGTTAATTGTTAAGACCAGTATTCTCAGCTCCTGAATACAGAAGTGTGGGTTAAAAGCCTGCAAGAAGACGTTTTAGTGGCGATATTTTTCATTGCTGTCGAACTAGTTTGACCTAAAAATGTGCATGTATACAGTACACTGTATGTTCTGTCCAACATGACTAGCATAGTTAAACTCTTGTTTTTCTGCAGAACCTTCAATACTTTAGCAACTTAAAATAATTATGTGTTCTTGTGTATGCAATTTCTTTGTTTCAAGTTTGTTTTCACTGCAGTTTTTACCATACCTGGAACTGTGAATGTAGTAATATGTAATACAGTACTCAATCTAACTTTTATATGATTTTATTATACTCTAAATGATAAATTTTATGTTGCATTCTAGACATGCTTTGACATTTTACTTAATTAAAGGGTAATGGCAACAAAAAAATTAATTGTTTTATTTGAACGAAGGTTTAAAATTATCCATAAGAGCTCGTTACAGATTTTTGATATCTTGCTTGATTCCTGAAATATATTCAGTGAAAGCAATAAGCTGTATGCCATCTTGGGTGAGGTTGACTAATGTGTGAGCATTCGAGTCGGAGCCTTTCATTTGCGAGTCGGAGCCTTTCATTTGCGAGCCGGAACCTTTCATTTGCGAGTCGCAAACCTCTCATTTGCAAGCCTTTATTTATACCTTTACAAGCCCGTCTAATCTCTAAATTTGAGATTAGAATTATTTTCATTTTATATTCAGAGCACATCCTATCAAGCGGTAACATTATTTAGTAAAAATGAATGCGTTTTAAATTAATCATGTCTCGCAACATGCATTTGACTTGAGGTTTCTGTAACTAAACTAATTTCAGAAATAACAAATTGTTTTTTCTCAGAAATTTACGAACCTGCCATCATATTTAAGACTATCGTGTTTCACCCTGGCTCTATAGCAAAACAATCTCGCGGATTTCCATGCTATAGTATATATATGCTATATATATATGCTATATTTCCAGCGAAGTTAATATGGCTATCTGGAAGAAACATTTAGAAACCTAGTTTATATACATGCACGTTTCATGGAAGCTCGAAAATGGTGGTATTAGCGCCCAAATTTGTAGATTTGTTGAAATTTAGCAATAAAAGCTTTATAAGTTATAAATTAAATAGTTGTAACAGCAAGAATCTGTTTCCCGTTCGCTTGCTGTCACAGGATACAATTTGATACGCGTACAGACCGATATGATTTGGCTTCTCTTTATTTAGCAATGTGACAAATAACCGTAGATATGCGTAGTACGGTTCAAAAACTATAAACAATAGATAATAAACTGCACTATAGCTAAACATGTAAACTTAAATAACTCACAAATGTTATAACTTCAATTACTGTGCTTCAAACAAGACTTACGTTGTGTCCTTCTTAGCTCTGTCCTTTTCCTTAATAGCTAACGATAACTGAAATTCTTACCAGTGTTTTATAACGGTAGTAGCCTTACTGACACTGGTTAGTTATATTAGTGTCTTATATCTGCACACGGTAATTTATACAAAAAATATACATATTTACACACTACACTGGTCACAGACAATATCTGTAAAGTAATTGCCTTTACAATAGTATTTAAGAAATATTCATAATTAAAGAAATGTACATTATTTATACGTAAACATATCAATCAAGAGAAATATAGTATATTTCACTTGAGTACAGCCAATGCAGATTACGCTTGCATCCAGTGACTATACATGCATGATGATATCATTTTTATTCTCACTGGAAAGAAAATCTAGCTCAGTGGTACTGTTTCAATTCCATTATCATAACTTATTATAAGATTAAGAGTGAGAGAAGTGTACAACCTGCACACTCCACATGCAGGCACGTAGGTTCAACAGTATTTTACAAATACCTATACAAATAAAGAACAAACAATTAAATGAAGTGATGCACTACAATGACCAATGTGCATGCATTTAAATTTCTTTGATTGCCGAACTAAACAAGTAAACATTTTACTTTGTTTTAAAGATTATCATTTTTTTTAAGTGAATCATGCGACATCGTATTCATGTGACTTGTTGTAACCAACATGCACTTAAACCACGCTATTAGGCCGAGGGAATTAAAGTCATAGCAGTACCGTCCTTCGCCCGCATGTCCAAAATGCTGCCGCAAAAAATCATTATTTCAAAATATTTCGTTATTTCAACAATTATGCAGCCAGGCATTCGCTGCCTAGTTTTAAAGTTTGCTGGCATATTACTGAACAGGTTTATTGATGTTCGACCAATATATATTCACACATTTCTAAAAATAATGAATAATGAAAAAAGCCTCATCTATTTTTGAAATTATAAGGACGGTATTCATGACTTTAATTGGGCTTAATTCCCTCGGCGTTACATAAAATATAGACAAATGAGCAAAGCTGTTTCAAAAAATATTGATATTCGAAAATATATATAGCATACCAACCTCTACAAAAATAGCAGAGGTTCCTTTGTAATAAATGGATTATATACTAACCTTTGTGTCGTGTATACTCAGTTCCGACAACTCTTCAGCTGTATACATGTAATATAAAATCAAGCGTTTAAAAATAAAATATTTCTTTCACATCGATAGACAAATAAAAAAGAAAACATTAAAATATTAATTGTTTATTACCTTGTTTAATATCTTCATCAATAAAATCATCCATGGCTGAGATTGCTCGCAAATGAAAGGCTCACAAATGAAAGGGTCGCAAATGAAAGGTCGCGGCTCGCAAATTAAGGCCCGGGCTCACAAATTAAGGCTCGGGCTCGCAGGCTCGCACTTTAGCAACCCCCTCTTGGGTCATAAAAGAAATTTTCTTAACCTCATTAGCTACGATTTTTGTGACGTCCGAAGTCAGATGGGCCTGATAAAATTACTTCTAAGTTACTGAGTAACAATCAAAATGTGTATAAAACTTTTTATTCAGTTCAACATTTGTGATACAAAATAAAAAATAAGTTTTGGGTTTATATTGGTCAGTGGCTGTAAAATATATAAAAATTGCACGACTCCACATACAACGTTGTATGCATATCCTCAATCAGACAGGTTCCGACTTAAGTGGACCTACTGTTTATTCCCTATACTATGGTTCAATAGTGTAAAATTAATATAGAAAGAAGCACTTTGCTTAAAAGAAAATGTGTTTCTGTACATATGGAAGATACAGTAGTCTCTTTCATTGGAATTAGTCATGTTAGTACCCTGGAACCAGAGGGTATTTATTTTCGCCTGTTTTGAATAACCCTCTGGTGAAATTGGCGTAGTTTTCGGGTTCACATTCCACACATAACTTTCAAAAATGGAAGCAAAGGGTTGATTGGCTGCTGACAATAGGTTCGATAGACTACGTGTTCTGATTGGATATTGTAAACATCATAGCCTGTTCGCAGGCGTTTCGTGTTTTGATTGAATTGAAACATTTGAATTTTGAAATGTCTATATTATTAAATAAACGAACACAAGTTGAAAGAAGCAGTTTTATAGGCTGCATTAATAGATAGATTGATAAATTTCCTGAATTAAAAGTTTAACGGAGCATCAATACTGCGCCTTGTCCAATTTGATTCACATTAAAGATGTATTTGCATCTTGCTATCGGTTATGGTAGACCAGGCGGAGGAAAGGGGGTATGGTCCCCCGAAGGCAAAATTTATGAGACTAGACTGTTTAGGACAATTTTGGGTTGCTGATTTCAAAAATCAATGTTATACGGCCAATATCTGGGAACTTCAGCCTCGTTTTCGTGTTTAAACCTCGTTTTCATGTAATTTTCTATGTTGGCCAAAACCTTACAAAAATTACCTTTTTGGGACTGCAGATTGTCCTACCTTGAATATTTGGCGAAGCTCTAATAAATAAATAAATAAATAAATTATTACGAAATTTCTGTCCCAGTCCCTTGCGTGCACTAGCTACGCGTCCAAGATGGCCGATCAAAGAAAATATTGTTTAATTCATTACGACTCAATTTCCACATCTGATCAATTGACAAAACTCAGTAAAAACGCTTTGGATACTCTCATCGAGTGTAAAAACATTCGGGTAAGTCTAGGAGGGGCAAACGCACACAAAATTCAATGCAAAAACATTCCTGAAAACTGCGATGGAAAAGAATACTTTTTTCACCGTGAATGTTATCAAAAATTTACTTTGGCAAAAGCATTACTAAAAAGAAAAGTCGACAAGGAAGGCAATGGAGAAGAGAGTAGAATTAAAGTTACCAGGACCAGTACGAAGCCAAGCCTCGAGTCATCCCACCCAAGAGGAATTTTTCCCGATATGTGTATGATCTGAAGAAGACCCTGAAAGTTAATAAAAAAAGTCAGCATCTTACCAAGATTGTTACTAAAACAGCAGAAAATACATTGAAACAAGCCGCTAGCATAAGAAATGATACTGAAATGTTGATTGAAGTTGGGGAAACAGACTTAATAGCAAAAGAATTCCAGAAACACGAGAAATGCTATCGTGAGTATACAAGGACTGTACGAAAAGAAACGCTGGAAGAAAATTGTGATGAAAAATTTGCTCGTGGTAATTATGACGCTGTTTTATCTATCGTGCAAAATAACATTCTAGATGGACAACAGTGTATTTCTTTGGAAACCTTGCAAACTGTATATGGAATTGGCATTGGGTCATGACAAAGCAGACATAAGTTAAAAGAGAGATTACTTAGAGATCAGCTTATCTTTCTCTCACAAGAATACCATTCTCCGGTTGTCGTTATCAGCAAAGAGTGTCTTCAGACGCAAACTTTGTCCAACACACTCCAATTTTCAAACAAAAGCGTGGTTAAAAAATCAGCGTTTGCTTTGAGAGACGTAGCGTTGAAGTTTATTGACGATGTAGCAGATAACCCTTGGCCGCCAACCGTAGAGAGTCTAAATGAAAGAGCAAGTAAAATTCCTGAACTGATAAAATTTTTCTATATTCACCTGTTATCAAAGAAAGAGCAACATCACGAAGTTTCAGAGAGAGTCAACAGATTGGCAGATTCGTTCAGCCAAGACATATTATCGGCAATATCTAACGGAAAGTTTATTTCTTTAAAACATGCGTCAGTTGGTCTTGGCCTTCACAGTATAACTGGTCAAAAGTTTCCAATCAAAGTTCTGGCAAGGTTAGGACACTCCATCACATATGATCAAATTAATCAAATCGAGACGGCTCAAGCCGAACTTGTAGATCGTTTTCAATCCTTAAACCTCAGTCTGCCTTTACAACCAGCAATGGACGGATGCAAGGTGAGTTGAGCTGTATTAAATATGAATTTAAGTTCGAAATATTGAATATGCAAATGTCATGTATATAACGTAGCCTAATTTTCAAACCAGCATGAAATTAATATTATATTTTATGCAATCCTTTTATATTTTTAGGTTTCAACCATATTTTGGTGGGATAATTTTGACAAAAACGTCGAGACTGCACTAGGATCTGGCTCTGTGCACACAACTCCAGGCATCGCGTTCCAAGAGGAGAGAGATGGTAGTGTAGTGCGCAATGAAGAGGTCAGCATACCTAAATCTAACAGAAGGTCATTTCATTTCACAAAGGAGACAGGCAACGCGCACATTCACGCAACCATTCAACCAAAGAAAGAGCCGCCGTCATTTGCAGGGATGGATATTAATGAAGAGGATCCTGATGCTGAAAAATTGTGTTCCAACTATTTGTTCATGTGGAAATCAGTGAGATTTGTCAGTTCCGGTGATCAGATTCATCCACGATTCTCGGGATGGATAATAACACAACTACAGAAAGCGGAGAGCAAGAAGACCTCCATGACATATCTGCCACCTATCTCAACACCGATAACAGAATATGATACCATTATTCAGCTGTTCAAGGTATCAAGGGAGCTCGCAAAGCAGTCGAATATGTCTTATACACACATCACCTTTGATGTTGGAGCTGCTATTAAAGCCTTTCATGTGATATGGAACAGGCCCACATTCTGGTCAGATATTGTAATACATTTGGGGGACTTCCACGCTATGATGGCATTCTTTGCAGTAATTGGTCGTCTTGTTTCAGGTAGTGGATTTGAGGAAATAGTGTTTCAGGCTGGTTACTGCACATCTGGAAACATCACGGGTGTCATCAGCGGTAAGCATTATAACAGATGCTGGCTTGTCCACGAAGCGTTCTCGGAAGCGCTAGAAAGGCTATTTTTAGTACGATTTTTGCCAAATATTCCAGAAGTTGCAGCCGAGTTCGCAAGAGCGCCTGCTGGTTCGAAGAATGTTCGAGATATCCTTAGTGACGAGAATGTAGTTTCTCACATTCACTCGTATGAGACGCTAAAGGAAAGATGTTTGAAAGGTGATTTTGGAAAGACTCCCTAGTTTTGGATGATATATATGGATCTAGTTGACAGCCAATGTATGCTGCATTTTGCCATTAACAGCAACAACTTCAGTCTCAGATTAATGATGTGGAAGAAATTTTTACCGCTTTGCTTCGCGACGAACAGAGTACACTATGCACGGTATGGTACCTATTATTTGAAGTCACTAGAATATTTAGAGAGCACTCATCCTGGGGCAAGAGAAGAGATAGAAAATGTTGGCTTATCGATTAGACGGAATACAATAGGAATTGGTCAGGCAGTGGATCTTGCCGGAGAGCAGACCTACATGCGAAATGCGAAAACGGCAGGTAGAGTATGCAAATATCTTGAATGGTCAATGTAGTTTTCGCTTACCTCAATCAGTCGATCAGTTTCATTCGGTAAAGCAATCCTCGTTGACTATAATACCTTTATTATACTTTGTATTCTGAAGCAAAATCATGCTGCCATTGCCAAAACCTGTTGTTGAATTTTCGCTGTCTATTTTAGGTGGTGTTACGCAGTTTGCGGTAAAAGAAAGCACAGTAGCGAAGTGGGTGATGAATAGACCTTACCAAACCAGATTCGCAGAGTCTTTAATGGAAATTGCAGGGCTAACCACAACAACTTCAAACCCAAAGAAATGCCTGAGGCCAAGCGAGATTTTGAAATCTGAAAAGATGGTTGACAACGTCCTATCTGCATTAGAAACACAATTCATCAACCCTTTCCGCCCTGACTTGGAACCTGACAAGCTCTACAACTTAGTCCCTGGTTACCCGGCTCCAGAGAACGTATGCAAGTGCCTACTACAAATTGGGGCAACTGGAAAAGAACGCATGGAGGAATTTGAAACCAGATTAACGGATAATACATCCGAGGAAAAGTTTTTCAACCCGATAAAAAAGTTGCGCTGAAGACCTTCAAAGATGCTGTAGTGAAGGCAGCTGTCCGTAGTAAAGGAAAGACCAAAGAACTGGCTTTCCAAAGAGATATCTTGGGACTTCTTGTGGCACATTCTAACAAGCACAAGATGGGGATAAACCTTGAGAAAGCCCTGGCATTTCCACTAGCCCCAGTTGCAATTGCCTTGAGCACTGCTGATGGTGGCATAAGGAAGACTGTGAAGAGTAAGCTTTATCAAGCTTGCATGGACGATTTGACAATCCTGAGTGTTGACGATTTGCCAAGAAGAGAATTGCTGAAGACATACTTCTTGGATCTCGCTGCCGCCATAAGAAGTTTGATAGGCCATATGAACACGATCAGAGATATGGCTATGGCGATTCTGAAAACAATACCTAAGCAGTATTCGAAAATATTCATTGTCTGTGACACATACAATGAAGATAGCATTAAAAAAGGAGAGCGGGTTGCACGGGGAAGCAGTGAGAGGTATTTGCTAAATAGTCCATATATGAAAGTTCCATAAGATATGAAAGTTCTATAAAGAGTCCCTCTTCAACCTAATTGAACGTGGCATTGACGAAGGAAAAGAAGATTTGCATGACAAAACCGTGTTTTTCTCAAATGTATCACACTGCAGAAAAATCACAAGCGGTGGCTCTTTCGTGACAGATGAGCTTTTTAGTGATCACGAGGAAGCGGACACGAAGCTTGTTGCCTTGGTACAAGCCGCTGATGTTGCTTCTGGAGAGGCAGTTATGGTGAGATCGCCATCTGGAGACATTGATATTCTGGCACTATTCTTAGCACATGATTTTGGCGATAATTGTGTCTTCGTCGACAATGGAACTGGCAAAAGTCGCAAGGTAATAGACATCTCGTCTTCCACTCTACCAAGTAACCAAAAACAGGCAATGATTGGTCTCCATGCATTTTCAGGCAATGATTATGTCTCAAGCTTTTTCAGGAAGGGAAAGATTGCGTTTTGGAAAGCAATGCTGAAGAGGACTGAGTTTATTGAACTATTCGCTAGACTAGGAGTCACTACTAATTTATCAAACAGCAGTGCACGACAGATTGAAAAATTTGTCTGCTTCCTCTATGGAGATAAAAGGTTCGAGTCGGTAGACGAACTACGATACAAAATTTTTTCTCAAAAAATCGAAAAGTCGTCAAATTTAGTCTATTGCCTCCTTGCAAAGCAAACCTCCAACTCCACACAATTCGCGCAAATTATGTTGTCCAGATGTACCGCCAGGCAAAATAATTGGTGATGAACCTCGACAATCCAGATAACCACAGATGGGATGACCAAGGGAACGTAATTTGGAGCAATATTTGCTACCCAGAAGATTTATCAGAACTGCCAGTTGATATGGAAGACAAAGATGTGGCTGAAACTGAATTTGATGACGATTTTCTTGGCGATGACGACTTTCTTGGAGATGACTTCGAAGAAGACATTTGAATATCAAAAACAAGACAATCTGCAGTCCCAAAAAGGTAATTTTTGTAAGGTTTTGGCCAACATATAAAATTACATGAAAACGAGGTTTAAACACGAAAACGAGGCTGAAGTTCCCAGATATTGGCCGTATAACATTGATTTTTGAAATCAGCAACCCAAAATTGTCCTAAACAGTCTAGTCTCATAAATTTCGCCTTCGGGGGACCATACCCCCGTTCCTCCGCCTGGTCTATGGGAAGAGTTTAATATTTCAAAGTTCTAACACCGAGAGTAGCACGACGACTTTGCAAAAGCCACAATTTTCTGGAGAAACCCAACTTAATAGTCATTTGCAAATTGAACTATTTCATTGACTCTCACGTCCGTGAACTAAGAAAGTGTGGATGCCGTGTTTATATACTTCACTGTCAAACGAAGAGGACGAGAAAGCAATACTAGATGGAGAGTTTACATTCGCATTTTGTAATCCCGAGTCTATTATTCGAAATGCGAAGTGGAGAGGAATGGTTTCATTTGAAATTTACAAGACAAATTTGCTTGCTTTTGTATTAACAGACAAAGTTCACGTCGGCCCAAAGAGGTGCGTTTAATAAATTTATAAAATACAGATTTTTTTGAATGTATATTGCAGGATTAAATTGAATGTATATTGCAAGATTAAAGTGAATGAATATAAATATATATTAATATTAAATTGAATAGATGTGATGTTTTAAATTGAATGAAATTCAGGAGAATGAATATTGCTACAAATGGGCAGGCATACACTGGACAGTAAACATGCGATAAAACCCTGTCTAGACGGCCTGGCGTCAAGGATAATGATTGGATAATATTTTTAGAATATGATGCATTAAGCCATTATACATTTTTTGCATTCTTTATCCGAACCAGGAATCGCTAACAAATTCACCAGAGGTTTTTCCTTTTTCTTCGCGCGTTTTCTCGCACTTCGCGTTCGACAAACCTAAAAAAACCTCTGGGCCAGGGTATCATGTTAGAGAAACAAGTGTGATTTTCCCACAGGAAGCATATTCCCTATGGGCCATTTGAGGGATAAATTCTTTCCAATGTACAAAATTAGTTGAAAGCATCTGTATTTTCTCCATATAGTTCTGCAATGAATGATATCAAGGAAAGTACTACCTGCTTGGTAGGCCAGGTTTTGACTTACATAAAGCAAGAAGTTATTGCTACTCTTGAGCCTTGTGAAAAGAACCATCAAGCTGAACTGGATAATATTCATCAAGCACTGGAAAATATTCATCAAGAACCATCAAGCACTGGATAATATTCCGGACCTTTTTTCTGGAATTGAAACTGAGGCACTACATGCAGCGTATGTAAAGAAGAATTTTAATTATGTCGCTTACAAAAAAATCTGCCTTGGCATAAGGTATGTAAGGAAAAAGAAAGGTGCCAAACGAGTGATCAGTGGGCAAAATGAAAGTTTCATATATATACCCATTTTGGAAAGTTTGCAGCAATTGTTGGGGAATAAAAAGATAGCTTCCATCATTTTAAGAAGACCAAAATGTTGTGAAAAGGGGGTGCTTTATGACATTTGCGATGGTTCCATTTTTCAAAATGATAATTACTTTAAGGAACAACCTGATGCGCTAGTAATAATTCTTTACCATGATGAGCTGGAAATTTGTAATCTGCTTGGGAGAAAAGCTGGTATTCACAAAGTAGACATGTTTTACTATACGTTAGCAAATTTTGGTCCTAAGTATCGGTCAAAGCTAGCCGCAGTTTGCCTCCTTGCAATTGTCAATGCCAAGTATGTTAAGAAGTATGGTATTGAACATATCCTAGAACCAATAATTAAGGACATCAACATCCTTCATGGTGGTAGTATCATGACAGTAAATGGAATTGAAAAAATTGTGTTTGGCAAAGTATTGGTATGCGCTGGAGATACTTTGGGACAACATTTGTGGGGTGGGTATAAGGAAGGTGTAGGATTTTCTATACACAAATGTAGAACCTGTTACTGTTTATTTCTAAAAATGCAACAGGAATTCCTTGAAGAAGCTCTTGTGTTACGTACACAGGTTAGATACAACAAAGAATGTGAAGAAATCGAAAACGCTCCAACCGACGCAGTGAGAAGTGACTTGTGCACCACATATGGTATTAACAAGCGGAGTGCATTGTGCGATCTTCCAGTTTTGATGTCACAAGACAACTTCCCCAGGATGTTATGCATACTCTGTTGGAGGGAACAGTGCAGTATGAAGTTAGATTGGTCCTCCTTCACTTCATCCAGACAAGTGAACTATAAACGCTTCAACAAATCAATGGTGTGATCAATAATCACAACTATGGATATAGCGAAAACAGAGCGACAAACCTGGGCCGATTAGGCAATCTGTGTCTCAACCTGAAGAAAGTTACAAAGTAAAGTACAGTGCATCCCAGACTAGATTGTCTGTGTATTCCTGGTAGAGGTTATTCAGATTGTGAATATAGTGTTTGCTCCAGTTATTAACGACGAAACTGTTACGTTCTTGCGAGAGCTGATAGCAAAACACCTTGCAAAGTTTAAGGAGCTTTTCCCCGACAAGAATATCATTCCAAAGCAGCATTATCTCTTGCACATTCCTGGTATGATACGACTACTTGGACCTGTGACGCATACGTCATGTTTGTTCATTTGAATCAGCACATAGATACTTTAAGGAGTTGGGAAGGAAGCAAAACTTCAAAAACTTCCTTTATCACTAGCAAAGAGACATCAAATGTTCGAGTGTTGCAATTTTGGCGATTCATCGAAGAATCTGAGCTCCCATCCATTGTTTGCTACAGATAAAAGATGTGGTGTAGTGACGAAAGCTAGCACAGACCAGGTAAAGTCTTTGCAGGAAAAATTCAAGGAGTTTGCAGGGTTCAAAATAACAGTTCATGATTCATGAATCACGAATCAATTTTAATTTTTCACGAAGCAATTTCATAAAAATTTATCAAAATCACGAATCAAAAGTCTCTCAAATTGATAAAAATATACAATAATAAATTCAGTTCTTTGTAAATGTGATGAAGGACCATATATTTTGAAGATATTGTTGTTAGATTGTACTTAAAAACGATTATAATCCCAATCAGAATTCTATTTCTTTGCAAATTTTTTGCGATGTATACTGCAGATTCAGGTTGAGTGTTTAATGACGTCATGACCGCATGATCGTTACAACAACTGAACGCAGTTGTTGCCATGCATGCAATTATATGTTGCTATGCACAAAATTATATTCAGCTAGCTGTCAAATTACAATACATATGCACTCTATAACCTTCACTTTTGCATTTATTTTCGATTTCCATTACAAATATTTATAACACTTGAAAGATTATATATATACATAGCACTTTTAACAAAAATACTACTGCTAAATTCTCTAAATTCAAATAAACGCGGAAAAAAATACAATCTACAAGAACCGTTACAATAGCAAAAAAATGTGGCGCGTAAACGAGCACGGTCGACTTTATGCTCAAGGAAACCCTTTATCTCATGACTTGAGATTGTTGATTATCAATAAAATCATTAATAATGGGGGTAATCGTGCAACAGGCATTTTCCATGGAAAATACACTGATATTGCTCGGCAGTTAGGGGTATCTTCAGCTGTTGTATCTAATATTTGGAAGCGCTACTGCGAAGATGGTAGCATTAGTCCGAAGAAAAATACAGGTGGCACCCCAAGCCACCTTTCTCAAGGGGACCTACAATACGTTGAATTTCTGAAACAGCAGAAACCTACAATTACATACGATGAAATCATGCAACAATTGCACGAATTTGGCGATTTGCCGTACGGTACAACTTCAACGACAGCATTGTCCGAGGCAGTTCGACATCGGCTGCCTAGTGGTAAAGAGTACAGCTTTAAAAAGTTAAATATTGTCGCCCAAGAACGGTTTACGCTACAAAATATGGCATACACACAGCTTTTCATAGATTACCTACATGAGAAGGATCCATACACGCTAAAATTTTTCGATGAGTGTGGTCTCAAACTTCCTCAACACGCCTCGCGAACTTACGGACACGCTCCTATTGGGGAACGAGCAATTGAACTTCAACGATACGCGGAAACGCCTAACACAACAGTCAATCTTATGTGTTCTTTGACAGGGGTCGATTACGCCAACACAGTAAATGGTAGTGCAGATACTATAGATTTTCTTAGATTTTTTGAAGAAGCCTATCATTCAGAAAACCCAAGAACTGCAAGACCTGTTTTAGAGCCAGGTTCAGTTATAGTGATGGACAACTGTGCCACCCATCATAACCAAGGCGGTCAAATTCTACAAGAATTTCTGAACGACCTGGAGATTGAACTAGTATACATGCCTGCATATTCTCCGGACTTTAACCCTGCGGAATATGTGTTCGGTAAGATGCGAACCGTCATGAAATACAGCTTCGGTAATAACACTGACATTACTGTCGCTCAGTGTATCCAAAACATGTACACTTCTCTGGAGTTAATTTCCCCAAGTGACATGAAAGGATTTTTTGAAGTCACTGGTTACCTACAAGTTTAAGTGCAATGCATGCTGTATATACTTTATCTCAAACACATATTAAATAATGACAGTTGTCATTTTCTGTGATATGCCGCAAATATTTCACTTATTTAAATTATGATTAATATCAAATATATGTACAGTATAAACTAGATACTGAAGAAAATGTTTTTGTAGTGTCATAGTATAAGTATTCAACTAAACCAGAGTTCAAAACTATACAAACCCTAACAAAATTAAAACAACGACAATATATAATAACTTGTGCTATACCAAAATGAGTGACTTTCATAAACAAGTTTGTACTAAAAATAGAAATGTGTATAGCTACCTTTTGAAGAAAACTATAAAGTTCGTTATATTTTTATACAATTTTACTCTTTGCTCTTTCGTTTCTGCAGGTGTAATAACGCTGCCGCCGCTTCTGCTTCCATCTGTAGGTATTCTTCGTCAGATGTTGCACCCTGAGTTTCATCAATATCATGTTGAAAGACTTCGACTGCTGTGCTCGAACTTTCGTTTTCGGTAGTTGATTCCATTTCCGCCTGCTGTAGTTGCAAGGCTAAGCGAAAATCGTCTTTTTCTTGACTATATACAAATATAGGGTTACTGCTTGCGGCACTGTTTTGTCTCTTTGTTGGAAATTGGATAGAAAATTGTTCTTCAAGAACTCTCTTTTGGGGGGCCATCCTGTGATCAGTATCTCGCCGTGTTTGAGTTGATGTAGCCGAGGATGTAGCCGTGTGTCATTTGTGATTCTTTGTTTACAACCGAATGTAAAAGACTCAGAACGTTTTTCCGAGTTGGGAGAGTACCCTTTAATTTGCTTTGCAAAAGGGCAACATCCTTGTTCAAAATTAGCCAATTTCTGCGCCCACAAGATGTACTATATCTGTGAGGCTGTTCATTTAGAATGATGTCCTCGATTCTTTTATCTGCAGAGTTATTTGTTCTTTCCACGGCCGATTTTGCACTTTCTAGATCATGTTTTGCTTTTCGTAACTGGCTTTCTAGTTTTTCTACGTCTTTGTTAATGTTTGCTCGATTAGATTTTTGATTCGCGTGCTTTGAAAGTATCCCGCACGAAAATTCAGATTTGCATGGACTGAAATGGCATGATTTTCTGGTGTGTCCTAATTTTAAATGGCAATTTCCACATGTTGAAAGATGCCCAGTGTTTTGCATGTTTGCCCTTTCAAGCTTGTTATCAAGGTCTTTGAGTTCAATTTTTTTCACCGTTAATTCTTTGTCAATGTTTTGAATAATTTCCTCGTATCTTTTCACGTGTCGTTCTAAAGGTAAAACTGGTTCAGGACTTGAATTTATAGTGGTACTACAACCAAGATTATAGCTGTTGTCATTCACACACAAAATCTTTGGGTTTCCTTGTTTATCAACGTTGTTTTGTGCGACGTTTTGAGATACATATAGACAACGTCTGCTTCGAGATTGTCCTGTCAAATGTTGGCTTTTACACGTACTGTTCGATGACTGTGTTGGCTGTGCAGGTAGCGGTGACTCATTTTCGGCAATACGAATGACGATTGTTTTTAGTCCTTTATTTACCAGTCGTGCTATCTGGGACTGAAAGTACTTGTGAGACAAGTCAATTTCTGGTCGATTATCTTCCGTCAAAATCATTCGCAACGATTCGGCTGGCAGCAGCATCTTCGCAATATGAGGAACTTCTTGTAACATTCGAGAGCAAAATCCATCGTAACTGTAAGACAATAACTCATCCGTACTAATAAATAACGGGGTAACCCTTCGCTTAGAATAATCAAGGTAGTCAAACTGAATTTCGATTATGTTATCCATCTCTGACAAATGCGAACACGTGTAAACAACACAAGAACAAAATGCCTTCCCGCCCTTAGCAACATATAATTTGCCACTTGACAACACCCGCGTTTATCTGTTGGAACGTTCACCTGATCGTGACGTCATTAAACACTCAACCTGAATCCGCAGTAATAAGATAATAAGTGGTATATATTTGAAAATTGCAGTGCTTCCACTTTTTAACTTCCAATTAGTGAAAATTCCTTAAAATTTCCTTAAAATAAAAAATCAATTCACGAACCATTTTTTCAGAATTAATTCGAACCCTGGTTTGGACTATTGCCCGGTATTAACCTGGAACAGGTTTACACCACAAGTTGGATAATTTTAAATGGTATGAAATACACAAAAACTGCCATACTTGTTACGGATGTGGCAGGGGAACCTTCACTTCCCATCTTTGGCAAATTGAAAAAGATCTGGGTCATTGACAAGTTTGTGTACTTTCAATTGTCACTGTTGGAAACCCACTCATTCGACGAAATGCGTTAAGCCAACTGTGTCAAACACGTTGATCCAGAAGTTGCACACTTTGTGTCTAACGACGACTTGGTAGACTTCAACATGTTGCATTTGAAGCAAGATCATTTAGGGAAAAGCTACGTTCCTGCAAAATACCACTTGAACAATATTATGGAGGAGATTTTAAAAGACACTAACCCAATGCATTAAGGACACCAACACTGATTTCCCAACAGACCTTACTTGCATCACTGGTCACGTCACTCTGTGGTCATGGTGAGTAAAATGATTTGAAAACAGCTACTTTTAAATGAATTAAACTAACTTTTTGATGCAGTTTAAATAACACTATGATTTACTTTGTCTTTGAAGATTAAATTAAACATTTATGAAACCCACCTCAAAATAATAAACAGAGTATAGCTGTGTTCAAATATTTTGAAAACCAAAGACTGCATTTGAGTGTTTATTCAATGTAATAAATAGTTTGCGTGTTCCTTGAAATAATAATAGACCAAATTAAAATTAAAATTCTTGCTACGATTCACGTTTTGCTATTTTACTGTACTTGGTTCGATTCACTTGTTGCTGAAAACAAAATAGTTTTCTCGGTAAAAATGCTCGAAATGAGAATAACTTCACTTTATTTTTTTGACTAATTTGTTACTTGAAATAAGAATTGATTTAAAAACATTTTACTTGTTTTTTAGAAATAAAAAATTCTTATGAACAAGGGCTTCATCTAAACACTTGTTTTCTGTAATTTATTTCTTGAAACAAGCGTGGTTTTCTTTATAAGAATTCTTGAACTAAAAATAACTTGGCTTTATTCTTATTTTGAGTATTTATAAGAATGAAGTTACGAAGTTTTTACTTGTTAAAGAAATCAAAATTCTTATGAAGAGGATTTCCACTAGATTACTCATTTTGAGTACTTTATTCCTTAAAAAAAGAATAATTTTCTTGATTAGAATTCTCAAATTAAGAATTATTCCTTTTATTCTTATTTAAAGTACATTGTTACTTGAAATAAGAATTGAGTTAAGAACTTTTTACTTCTTTTCAGAAATTAAAAATTCTTATCCAGACGAATTTTCCTAGTTACTCATTCTAAGTAATTCATTGCTTTAATACAACAAGTATAATTTTCTTCGTAAGAATTCTCGATATAAGAATATTTTCACTCTACTCTTATGTTAAGTAATTTCCTTCTTGAAATAAGAATAGGTTGATTTTTTTTATTCTTGCTTAGTAAATATTTTCTTATTTCAAGCAATTTAAAATTTTAGTTAAGAAGGACTTTGCTTGTTTACTTATTCTGAATAATAAATTACTTGAAACAAGAATATTTTTCTTGATAAGAATTCAGAATTTTGCTGTGCATGCGCCCACGGTATTTGATGAACTTTAGACTTAGCTAGTGCGTTCCTTAAACTTCCTTTCCCCGGGTGTAAATAGCCAGGTGGAATTAGTACCCTTGCCCCAGGCTAATGCCCGCAAATTGCTTCAAAAGTTCATTATTAGAATTAGTAATAAAGAAACATTTAATGGCCACACTGACCCCATTTTTGCTGAAGTTAACATATTGAAATTCGAAAAAATCTATTTGTATCAGCTAGGGAAATTTATATATTTATATCGAAATAATTTACTACGCAAAAGTTTTGAGAATCTCTTTATTCGTACGAGTCAAGTTCATAACTATAATACACGTCATTCTGCCTTGTATCACATCCCCTTTTGCAGAACAAACATTAGAAAATTCTCAGTTAGTTACCAAGCCCCGACATTTTTTAATTACATTAAGTTGCGATATTCGCAATGCGTCAAGTGTTTATTTAGTTTCAGTCTAAATTAAAAAAATACTTGTTTCCCTCATAATTGCCTTAACATTAATTATTTTTCTTCTTCATTTGACAATTGAATATTTTTATTTTATTGCTTTTATTATTCATCTGTAATGATATATTTTTAATATTGTAATTACTGTATTTTGATATCAGTATATTGATATATCAGTATGATTGTTTCCATATACCGTCTCTATATCTATCAGAGGAAGTTTGTATATAACCTGAAGTTGAGGCCCTAATTTTAAATAGGGCCTGACACAAAACCTGTCTACACTGTGGGATTCCCATCCATCTGGTGGATGGGAAATCTGATTGGTTGATTAGCATCATGAAAGATTTTGATTGGTTGCAAGTTCACATAAACAATAGTTTTAAAAATAGCTCGGTCAAGGCGACAATTATTAAGGTCAAATGCATGTATCTAATTCCATTATCGAATTTCTTTTCTTTTATGCTTTATGGCAGAAAATAAATCAAACAAACAGTATTTTGAAAGGGCTTTATCAAAATCTTTGACAAAGTTTGGACATGTGACACTGAAAGAACAGCAAAACTAGTCATGTATTCGAAAGCTTGTTGTTGACAGCCAAGATGTCTTTGCTGTTCTGCCAACTGGCTTCGGCAAAAGTCTTATTTATCAGGTCCTACCAGCATTGTTTTCTGAGCTAGATCACCTTTTTCGTGGTACGTGTGAGAAACATTTGATATTAAGGGAAAATGGCATCATATGTCTTCACCAGAAGTGAACATGTTTGATTGACAGTTTAAGAATTTTGTATAAAGCATGCGTTTTATGTATATTGTGAATAATATAGGTTGAAGGTTATTAAACAGTACATAGCAAACGAGCACGAAGTTTAT